TACAATTCTTTGGTTCCTATATGAAAACCCTTTTTTGACCTGCCTGTCCTCAACTTTTTCTTCAGTAAAATTTTCTTTGGATAGCAGACCTCGTGTACGTGTAGCCCATGCTGTGCAATTTCATCATATGAATGACCAGCCTGGCGTAAAAACTTTATGACCATTTGCTTAGCTTCATCCATATTTTGTGTTCTTACTATTGCCCAAAGATCAACTCTTTTGATAAACTTTGATAATTTTTTGCTTGTTTCTATATTTATTTTGCTTACTTCCTGACGCCATCGTTTTACTTTGCCGCCAAAATTTGATCTTACTTTATTACTAACATGGCATTTGTAAAGATTATGCCCAAAATTTTGCCCGGGCTGTTCGAATACTTTTGGGAGGGGAGTGTACACTTACGTCACAAAAGTCAGATTTTGTCGAATTCGATTATGTCGAATCTAGTTTTGCTTCAGATTTGTCGAATCGAATGCCCCTTTCACACGATCAGATTTTGTCGAATAAGATAAAAGTTAAAAGCCTCAATTCTGTTTATGAAATGGAGTAGGTTGCTTCAGCTGCCAGAGTTATAGCACTGGTATTAAAAAAACGAAGAAACAAGAGGCGAAAACGAAAAGATGGACAAATAAAAGGCTGAATCAATGTCCTGTATTTGGAACATACGATACACATTTGAACGCAGGGGCGGATACAGAATAAAAGTTGACGGTCGCACATAAACACTACCCAGCAGGCGGTCTAGGGGGCCTCCCCCCAGGAACCAGAGCAACTAGGTTTAATTTCAAAGGCAAAAACCCTAAAGCTCACAATGTAGATTATTGGAACCACTATAAATAAAAGGAATGATTTCGCCTTTTTTCAAGAAAATCATCTTGATTTTTTGTCTAGAATATTATTTTGATGTCTTGTAAGCGTTAACTTTCTAACTGCGATTTGTCCCGCTAAACAAGACTGATACACTTTGATTGATGAAACGCCTTAATGGACGCCCTTATCTTTAGGAGCGGAAGTTGCCTCACCAACGAGGTTTGCAGGCCTTGTAGTAGTTTTGAGGGTGGCGACGAGACTGGGGCCCTGAAACTTCAAATTTTTCAGTAAAACATTTTTCTTGTTGGGGATACGAGCTGAAACGGCTATTGTCTTTCCTTTTGTTTGTCGCTCAAAGTTTAAATCCAATCAGAGAAAAGTGTATTAATAGAGCATGCGCAGTTGCTTCCATTTTGCCGCGAAATACTGGTTTCATATCTCGCTCTCGCAGCTTCGCTTGCTTGGATAAAACTCGAGTTGCACGATGTTTTATCGTTCTATTGTTGTTTATAAAGTACCTTTTTGTGTAGAGGCCTAGATGGAGTGGCCCTCTAAGCAAAATTAGGCTACAGCACACAGGAAATTAGTCTTGTGTTTGTAGCTGGATTTATTATGAACCGAAGGAATTATCATGGCGGGATTCCGGGTGCAGAATTGTTCCGTTATGTTTATCTATCAAGAAGTCTTGTTATAGTGAGGACTGTGAATCAAATAATAAAATGGACATCGGGTATTATCACTGTAAATTTGAAAACTATGTTGGCTTTACACAATCTTGAACGGAAAAATATTTTACGTCTGGGCCTAACAACATAAACGAAATTGCATCATTGAGCAGAGCTTCAATGTCAACCAAAGCTTTGATATTAATATTTTTGGTTATCTAAGCCCAATTACGACCAACAAATCCGTAGGAAACTAGATAACGCATGGGCTCCGACGCTGGTTGGAAAGTTCGGGGGGGGGGGCAAGGGGGATTTTCACAAGCGGAGTTATCCAGATTTACCCCCACTCCCGTAAGTCTTTGATTGTAAAGAAAAGCAAAGTATTCACACTCTTCATTTCTAGATTTATCCCTCCCCTTATTTCTGTCACTGACGCACAAATTAGCAAGTTTAGTTTATTATCTAAACTCTAAAATAATTTAGAATTTGCATAGTGTTCTTGGTTGTTTGAAACACGCTAATTTAAAACAACTGGCAAGGAAAATGAGAAACAACTCATTAAAACATATCATAGACTGGTCTAAATGGAGTCATTTTTGATAAGGTTATTTGTGACTTCCAAAAAAGGAAGTGGTACTGTGACAATAAGATTATCAGAATTCTGAAACTATGTCTTCCTCATCCTAAGAAATCCCTTTGCCTGTCTTAACTAATGACCCCATAGAATAAACAAGTTTTTGGTGGGTTTTTGGTTAGCTTGCATGTCACTGAACAGAACAGTGAAAGATTACTTTAGTTATCAAAATGGGAAACTTAAGGGTGGACAGACCACTTTAAGGTGTTCACAGTTAAACAAACATCCCCTTTAAATCATGCCCACACATCTGCAAAAATGAGAAATGGTCAATCAGATAACTCCAGTGAATGCCATATGTTCTTGATTTATTAGGGAAAGTGAAGGAAAATTCAAGTAATAGAAACATAATTTATTAGTTCTTATGAGGTAACCTATAGCATTTTAAGCACTAGCTTTTGACTGCTGAACTTATAAAAATTGCTTACTTTACTTAAAACATGCAGCTTTTCTAAATAGCAGAGAGAGTGACAGACTTCCTCCTCTATTCTTTCTCTGCATTAAAATGAAGAGCCTTCTGTCTTTCATACTTTGAACTGGAGTTACAGTGTTGGTGAACAAATTCATATTGGGGGAGGGGTGCTGCCCGTAGAGGGGTGCTTCCCATTCAGCAAATAGTTCTAAAGGAAATGTAGTAGAGTATTATTGAAAATACACTACTTGCACAAACTGTAGTTATGATGCAGTCCATGCTGTAGTTATAAAAGAATGTTATACAGTGATGAATGATCAATGTTGAATAAAATTATTTATAGGTCGGAAAAGAATGCATTGAATCAACAAAATCAAAATATACACTGCTGTTGGAAATCAAATTAATTATAAATACTTTGACCAATGCAAAATATATCCTGACAGTTGTGGACATGCATCCCATGGTAACTTTCTAAGTTCATCCCATGTTTTTACATTGATACAGCAAAATATTTTTCTGAAATTTTGCCAAATACCTACTTTGTACTTGGTGCAATCGGCAATCAACTGGGGTTTCCCTTTTATTACAAATAATTAACATTGCGTTCCTTTATGGACATACTTTGCAAAAAAACTAGTAACCAAATTGATGTTTCCTTTAAACAAATTGTAAGAACTTGCCATTGGCATAAGACCTTTGCTTTTTGACATGAGGAGTTTATTTAGAAAAAGACATAAGCAACAATTTTGTGCAACAACTCAAAATAGTCCTGCCCAATATAAAAAAATTATTTGGTTATTAGCTGTATGTGGGACTCAGGGTCCTTTAAAGCACAAAAATTAAATTATTTCAATCTGGATACCGTGTTTACAAAGATTCTTGCTCCTATGCAATTTGCAGCAAAGCAGTTGTTTCAAACAAATAAAAATATATAAAGGAGAAGGGGCATTATCATCAGAATTTGAAGTGCGAGATTTCCAAGACAACAAACGGATTTCCAGGGGCTTTCAAAAACAAAACATTGTGATTTTCAACCAAAGGTGCATCCGATTTCCACGGAGTGATTTTTTCCTCGTGGTAATTTGCGATTCTGGTTGTTACGCGTAGCTGCGATACCGGCCTAATGCAGACTGACAGCATCCTAGCATAGAGAACAATTGTAAGAGTGTATGGTCAATTGAAACTTTTTTCTCTTGCTCGTCTGTTGAATATTGATGCCTAACTCGCTTAGAATCGCCCCTCGGTTCACTTTGCGTTGAGATCAAACTTTCCCTCCAAAACGCTGGCATTCCCGAACCTTACTGCGCATGTTCCATCAATACATTTTTCAAAAGTCTCGTTTGCATTTTAAACTTTGGCCGTTCGTATCCCCAACAATTTCCCTTTTAAAAGGTTTTCCAAATTTTCCAGCAAATCCAAACAAGCTGTTGAGACAAAACATCTTGAGATTCAGAAGTGTACACTTCCTGTGCACCTCTTCCGTATGGATAAAGAAAATTGGGATTTTTTTCATTCACAACTTTCAACCTCGTCCACTTTCTTCCCTTGCCAGCAGTTGTGCGGCACAGTAATCTAACAGTAATTTACAGTAATTTACAGACACAAATATGCACAAATATGTGAAAACTTGACTTTTGATTGGTGAGATTTGGTAAAATATTTGCATAACAAAGAGCCCTGCATATTCGTGCGGCACAGGCGACATGCCTAAAAATCATACTGTTTACGGTCTAGGATGGTCTTTGAATTTATTCTATATAGAATCAAATTGTGGCATTGTGTGTGAGATCGACCAAGGTTCGGTCCTGTGTTTACTGTGTAAAGAGAGGTGAATGTCTTATCTGTAAGGAGAAAAATAAAAGATTGTGGTGAACATGATTGCCTTATTTCAATGACTGAAGACTAAAACTAAATTCTGAAAATCTGACAGTCTTCCGTGCGACCTGTGCGACACCCTGAATGAATAATTCAATAAATAATTGTGTTTCTTCCTTTTTGTTGAACTTTAGCTGCGTTCACTCCATTTTTTCTTTAAAATGATTGCAAACAGACTGAAACAATACAGAACATGGTAATTCGGATGACGTAGCAGCGAGGGCGAGCAAGAATGTCATTCATTCACCTTTCGATTTGTCGAATGGAATCCTAGAAATGGCGTTAGCAAAAACGCGATTCCTAACAAATTCAATTTATTTTCAATTTGAACGCCGATCTTCGGGCCTATGTACATGGAATGCACCCTGTCTCGGTACAAATTTAGGGAACCCCGGTTTCAAATTTGACCATCATTTCCCCCTCCAAAAAGTGACCGCCACCCCGGCAAAAATCTGACCTTTTACCAAAGCCCCGAACCCTCTGATGTCGGACTACTCTTTGCCCCTCCAGTCATGTTCATTTTGTTTATAATTATTAATTCAACACAGTGCTCCCGAGAAAAATGTTCAACTTCAAATTATCCTTAAAAACCCCGACTTACCCATACATTGTTTTAAAAAGATCTCCAAATCCTCTTTTTGCTAAAGCTTTTAGCTGTCCAGGTTTCTTTGGAGCATTTTTGAACAAGGAAATCCCTTCGGTGGATATTGCTCTCATCCATTCAAACAACTTTCTATCGTTGTTGATTACATCTTGAAATTCGAATAACTGCATGGTATCTTTTTTCTCTGCTCCCCATAAAATGTTTTGCAGCCCTGGAATAGCATGTCTTCCTTTCTGTGTTGCTCGTTGCGTTGAATAAGACCTCTCTTGCAGCCACGATAAAGTGAAATTACTCTCGTGGCCAGAATTCCATTTGACTGCAAGGCGTCCATCCTGAAACAACGCATCGCGAAATCCAAGGTCTGAATCATGCAAAACGTCGGGTAAGAGAGTAAGGCTTTGGCCTGAAGTTTCATGAAAACAAAGAGGACATTGGCAATTGTCTCTCAGAAATTCATATGGAAAGCAAGTAACTTGACCGCCGTCCAAAACAAGCTGAACTTCCTGGCTCTCGTTGTCGTACTTTACAACGCCTGATGAACACAATCGATTCAGTGTGAGACGTACTGAAAAAGAAAGCTTTTCGAAGAACTTCCTTGACGAAAATCGCAGCATCTTCAATTGTCTCGCACATAGAAATAGTAGAGCTAGAATGCGCGCTCTATTGTTCGCCTATTGTTTTCTGCGTAATACCAATGGGCAGCAAAGATGGTAGCAACATGTTGGCAAAAAGCTTTTGTGGCGTACGTTGTACACAAATAAGAAGTTATGGACTTACCGATTCTGCGTGGTGATATGAGGAAAAAAATTTCATGAAACCTTTCCAGCGCCAAAATAGAAGAAGGTAAGGGACGTTTTTACTCTTTCCTTACGCCACAGCGAGTCGTTTTACGGTTTTTTTTCGTATTTTGTTTGGACTCCTTTCTTTACCAAATTTCCTTTCCTAGGGCAGCTTAGTAATTAATTATGGCTTTATTCAGTTCAAGTTCAGTATTATTAGACAACCTTTAACCATTATAAATGGGTATGCGTTATATTTTTGAGTAGTACTTAATAAATTCCTCAAATTTTTGGCCTAGCAGAAACGCGGAAGTTACTGGTAAACAAAAGTGTCAACAACAGCGTGATTCAGTGTCTAGAAAGTCTTGTTGAAACTTTTGAATCAACTTTTTCCAGTTCAAATTAATATATGTAAACAGCGTTGTTGTTTTCAGGTCTCTTTGTGTGCTTTCCAAATTTACTTTTTGAGCATATCAAAGATGTTGTTCATCAGAAGGATGAAGTCGCTGGTTGCTTTGCTGTCCTTAAATTCTTGCAACCCCTTCTCTCATATTTCTCAAAAATATGTTTGCAGATGCCACAGAATGGCTTAAAGTCTGTGCTGAACACTGACCTTCATTTTGTGATTCTGCCACTGAATATGCTTTGTCTTAAGTTAATTTGCAAGATTTAGTATGTCATTTTTTGTGTTCTATAGAGTGCAAGAACATACTCCCAAGATATTCTTTGTCCACCTGGGGTACAAAAGATCTTGATGGTGGAAAAGGCATTTCTTGCAAGCTTCAGCATGTGGCAGGTATCAAGAATTACAAAGATCTTTTCATTGGGGTTTGATGGATGTGGAAATTATGTGCAAAGGTTTTTTATATCACATCCAAGTTTCTCAGCCATGCTAACATTCTTAAGAGCACCATCAAAGATGACTGCATGAACTTTAGCTCCTCTCTCAGCAAGGAGGTTAATTGCTTCACTTATGAGCTGTTTCAATATTTTTGCATTTAGGTTATTTGTTAAAAAGTTACCAATAGGGACATACCATGGTATTTCTTCAGGTCAGTAGTTTTTCGCAACCCCACCCCCCCCCCACCCCTGCTTATTATAATCCTGTATAAAAAACAGAATAGGAATGGAAATATAACCTATCTATGCATTTCCACATAAACTCATTAAATAAAGAGATATATTGATCTATGCATATTTAAGTATGTATTTACTGAAATACATGCCCCCCCCCCCCTTCCACCAAAGTTTGTTAGGAAATTTTGCTACAATGTAAGAAATGATAGGAAAATTTATCTTCGGCATCCGAGTAAATTCACCTATTGCACCCTCTTTGAAGAATTAATGCCACGAACCATAAGATGACTTTTAATTTGGTTCACTGCCCTCCCGATTTTATGTACCTACTGTCTGTTTGTGAACATAGTAGAAATATCATTAATGAAAATCATTTCGAATACTTAATAAAAGTATCATAGAATTTTTGGAAGATATTTTTTTCCTATTCAAATTCCTATCAAGAATAACGAGAAACACAGTACACACAACTGTGTTTGTTTGTACTTACTTACTTGTGCGTACTTACTTGTGTTTGTTTGACCGGGAAGCAAGTCTTTTTTAGGAATCCATCGATTCTGGCAGCCGAAAGCAGCACACGACACTACCATTTCTTTTATCAAAGTTCAATTATCATTCAATATTAGCAACAGACAGTGTATTAGATTAATTAGAAATTCAAGCGCGTATACGGTGATAGGGGTAGGCTATACTGTCCGCTGTGATTTCCCGCGTATTTTTTTGCCAACTTGTTGCTACCATTTTGGTTCCCCATAGTTCGCACGCGTCACGTGATAGACCACGCATTCTAGCGCTACTATTTCTATGGTCTCGCATAAAGTCATAAACATGCATGTCCTCACGTACACCTCAGTAAACAGCGCATTTTCGTACAACCAAATTGGAATAAACTCGAGTACAGCACCACATCAAAGAATAAGAATAACTCAGGCATCGCGGAGCAGGGGGGGCTTTAGCCAAATATTAAGTATCAAACTACCAGAAAAGCCTCTTTTCATACGGTTTTAGCCTCCTCCCACTTTTCTCAATGCTCCGCGGTGCCTGGAATAACTTAATCTGTGATGTGGTTTGCGGCCCATTCGATTTCTTGTTCTTATCCCAGTACTACTCTTATTCTATGGCCACATTTCCCATTGGGGCCCATTATTATCATCATTATTATTATTATTATTATTATTATTATTATTATTATAGAAAGCAATAGAGGGATCCTCTCTTTTTGCCGATATACCTGGCTTCTCCTCACCATCCATCATAACTGGAGACAATCTGCGCCCAGATCTACTTCTGCGTACAAAGGAAAACATTCTTTATGTTTTGGAACTAACGATAGGATTTGAAACTAACCTTAACTGCAATGCAGAAAGGAAACGTTCAAAATATGCTCGCCTTGTCTCAGATCTAAGACCAAGGTTCAAATCTGTCATATTTGTAAATCTCTCCATCAGCTCTCTTGGCATCTTCGGCGACTCATGCAGCTCATTCCTTGAAATGTGTCACTCTCTTTCCATCGATGATCAACACAAACGATATCTCATTTCTAAGCTTTCTACGATATCCATTCGTACCACCTATTACATTTTTTGCTGTAGGAACAAAACATGGACTAACCCAGAGCTACTCCCCTTTTAACGTTTTTTTTTTCTTTTCTCTTTACTACGATTGTAATAGTCTTATTTTGTAAAAACAGGCTAGCCAGTTACAAATTACCTTGTAATAGTGAGATTTGTAATTGTAGTTTTAACTGGAATTCAAAATGAAAAGTTTCCATTATTATTATTAAACTGTCTGTACGTTTTAGAGCTAACCATAGGCTTTGAAACAAATCTCAACTGCAATGCTGTCAGAAAGTTAGAGAAATATGCCACCCTCGTATCTGACTTAAAACGTCAGTTTAAGTCAGTCTCGTTTGTCAATCTTTCCATCAGTTCACTCGGTATTTTTGGCGAATCCTGCAGCTCATTCATCGACATGTGTGACTCTTTGTCCATTGACCATCAACAGAAACGCTACCTCATCTCCAAACTTACAAGCATCTCCATTCGCACCACATACTATATATTCTGCTGTAGAAACAAAACTTGGACTAATCCAGAGCTACTCCCCTTTTAACATTTTTTTCCTATTCTCATTACTACGATGTAATAGTTTTTATTTTGTAAACACAGGCTAGCCAGTTACAAATTACCTTGTAATAGTGAGATTTGTAATTGTAGTTTTAACAGGAATTCAAAATGAAAAGTTTCCATTATTATTGTTATTATTATTATTATTATTATTATTATTATTATTATTATTATTATTATTATTATTATTATTATTATTATTTATTATTTTATTATTATTATATTATTATTATTATTATTATTACTTATTCTTTCAAGTACCTCGGTCGTCATTTTGACTTTGAAATGACAAACCAAGAACATAAATCTGACCTTTTATCATCACTGTCAAACATGCTTAAACAAATCGATTCCCAGCCTCTTCATGCAAAAAATAAGCTACGTCTTTATCACAACTTCGTTCTTTCTAAAATTTCCTGGAACCTTACTGTAGCAGATCTTTCAAAGACGTGGGTTGTCGAGAATCTTGACAACCTTGTATCCAAATACATCCGCCAGTGGCTCGACCTCCCAATAAGTGCTACCTTGAGTAGCATTATTCTTTCTAAAAACCAGTTTGGACTCAGCCTAACTTTACCATCCACCAAATTCCTACAGTGTCAAACAGTTTTACGAAACGCATTGAAATCTTCACCAAACGATAACATTCGCTCTTTATGGAAAAATACCAGCAGTGGCACAAATATACAATATGATATATATAGGAACACCAAAGAAGCATTAAAGGCTGTCCAGCATGAGCATAAAGATCGTCTGCAAAACATCCTAACCTCCCAAGGATCTTTATTATCACATCTCTTTAACCAGAATCTTCCACAAATTAACAAACTTTGGTCCAAGGTGCAAAGTAGCATGCCTCAGAATATTTTCAATTTTACGATAAGGTATCTGAACAATACCCTTGCCACACAGAAAAACCTGAAAAAATGGAACTTGAGCCAGACCTCTGACTGTTCTTTCTGTTTTCTGCCAGAAACCCTCCTTCATGTCGTGCTGGCTGCAAAACATATCTGGAACAAGGCCGATACACCTGGCGACATAACTCTATCCTAAACTTTCTAGCTACGTCACTAAAAGCTGTCAATGAATCTACCGTCTACGCTGATATACCTGGCTTTCTTTCACCATCAATCATAACTGGAGAAAACCTTCGCCCTGATCTTCTCTTGAGGACTAACAACAATTACCTCTACATTTTAGAGCTAACTGTTGGCTTCGAATCCAATCTTGAGACAAATGCTACAAGAAAACAAAGCAAGTATGCTCCTCTCTTATCTGGTTTACAGCGGCAGTTCAAATGTGTCTTCTTTGTTAATCTTTCTATGAGCTCTCTTGGCATCTTCGGCAATTCCTGCAATTCATTCTTCAAAATGTGTGACTCTCTCTCCATCGATCAGCAACAAAAACAGTATCTCATTTCTAAACTTTCCAACATTGCCATCCGTACTACGTACTACATATTTTGTTGCAAAAATAAGCCATGGACAAATCCGGAATTACATCCTTTTTAACTTTAGTTGTTTTATTTTATTTTATTTTTCTCAGTTTTTCCTTTTACCTTACGATTGTTATAGTTTTTTCTTGTAAAACCAGGCTAGCCAATTGCAAATTACCTTGTAATAGTGAGATTTGTAATTGTAGTTTTAATTGAATTGAAAATGAAAAGTTTCCATTATTATTATTATTATTATTATTATTATTATTATTATTATTATTATTATTATTATTATTATCGGAACCGTCAACGGAACCGTCAACGGAACCGTCAACGGAACCGTCAACGGAACCGTCAACGGAACATTCATACGGAACCGTCAACGGAACTCATGATAATGATCTACTTAACAAATATAAGGACTGCTCCAGACAATCACTCAAGAAAGAATTAAAACGTCTGAAATTGTTAAGTGCTCCACCTACTGAAATTAAATTTGTATCCCGCCTTCTTCGATCAAAACTCAGCCAGGATCGTAACATATGCAGCTCTGCAACAACATCCCAAGATTACGATAAGCTCATCTCGAAGAACCTCTGGAGTTTCGTAAAAAATGTTATCGAAAAACAGTCTGCCGTTCTGCCATCATTCTCTGTTAACCGTTGTACACAATTTTTCGTTAAAATGTTTTCAGCAGTCTTCCCAGACCGGCAATTTGTCATACCTCCATGGATTCCTTCTCTTTCTCAACCTTCAGTTCCATTTGATACAGAACCCCCGTCTTATAAAAAAGTGACAAAAGTTATTCGCAAAATGAAGTCAGCAGGATCTCCATGCCCTTTGGACAATATTTCTATTATCAAGAGATGTCCTTACCTCCGGTCATTTCTGACTGAAATAATACGTGTTGTGTGGACCACGGGCCACGTTCCTAGCGAATGGAAAAAAGCTTGTACAGTTTTAGTTTATAAAAAAGGCAGCATTGATGATCCGGCAAACTTTCGACCTATTATCCTCGAGTCTGTACCGCTAAAAATATTTACCTCTTGCCTGCGTGATGCTCAGTTTTCCTTTCTCAAACAAAATGATTTCATTGAACACGAGATCCAGAAAGGGTTCACTCCTAACATCTCTGGATTGCTGGAACATACTTCACTGATGGCCCATATTATCAATAAAGCACGCATAAAGCAACGCTCTGTGGTTGTCACTCTTTTGGATATAAAAAACGCATTTTGAGAGGTCCATCATAACTTTATCATTAAAGCTATGGACTATCATCACATCCCTGCTCACTTTCAAGATCTCGTGTCTAATCTTTATACTGATTTCCACACTTCAATTATAACCGATAATTTCAGGTCTCCGGCCATTCCAGTCAAAAGAGGAGTACTGCAAGGGGACTGCCTCAGCCCTCTCATTTTCAATTTATGTTTCAACACCTTTATTCAGCTGGTAAAACAAGACAAATATAAACAACTTGGATTTTCTCCTCATGACGGCAATGATCGCTTGTTTAACCCGGTTCACTGGTTTCAATTCGCTGATGATGCTGCAGTTGTCACAAGTAATGAACACGAAAATCAATTATTGCTAAACTGTTTTACAAGATGGTGCCAATGGGCAAATATGATCATCCGCGTAGACAAGTGCATCACCTTTGGAATTAAAATGTTTGCAACTAAATCTGCACAGTTTCAGCCTAAACTCTTCATTAACAACGATCCTGTCCCTTTTGTGAAACATGGCGAATCTTTCAAATACCTGGGTCGTTTCTTCAATTATGATATGAAGAACCAGGAACACAAGGATCACTTGACCTCTTCTCTCCGTGAGATGCTCAAAGTTATCGATTCCTTGAAAATTCACCCGCGGAACAAAATTCTACTGTTTAATCAATACAACCTTTCAAAGCTCTATTGGGATCTCACAGTTGCTAATCTGTCCAAAACGTGGGTTTGCGAAAACTTAGATCAGCTTGTCACAAAATTCGTTCGACAGTGGCTCGAGCTTCCAATATCTTCGACACTGAGTGGCATAGTTCTTTCACGTAAACTCTTTGGTCTTGAGCTTCTGCTTCCTTCCGTAAAGTTTCAACAGTGCCAGATTGTTCTTCAAAACTCACTCAAATCTTCGCCCAACGAAAACATCAAATTCCTGAAATGTGTAAGGGATGAACACACTGAAAAGCTCAAAACTCAGTTAACATCTCAAGGCTTCATCATTTCATTCCTGCTTGAGCATTCCTATACAAAGTTAACCTCACTCTGGTCTGCAGCTCAAAGTAAACTTCCAAAAAACATCTTCAACTTTACGATAAGATATCTCAACAACACACTAGCCACAAGGAACAACCTCTGCTTATGAAAAATTAGCTCTTCTCCAGATTGCTCATTCTGCCTTCAGTCTGAATCACTTCTTCATGTCGTAGCTGGATGTAACAAATACCTTGAGCAAGGGCGTTTTACTTGGAGGCAATATGCTCACATTCCCGCTTATTTATCACCATGTATCATAACTGGCGATTCGTTCCGTCCCGACATGCTTATCAAAACTGCTTCCAAGTGTCTGTATGTCATCGAATTAACTGTTGGGTTCGAGACTAACCTGGATAATAACGCTTCGCGTAAAGCTGAGAAGTACCGTTCCCTTCTAAAGGAACTACGCCCTAAGTTCAAAAAAGTAAACTTTGTTAATCTTTCCATCAGCTGTCTCGGTATCTTTGGTAACTCCTGTGACTCATTCATCGATATGTGTGACGAACTAAAACTTGATTACCAACACCGTAATTTCATAATTAAAAAACTGTCAGCAATAATTATACGCACATCCTATTATATATTCTGTATGCGCAATAAGACTTGGACAAACCCTGAACTGCTCTCCTTCTAAAGATTCTTTGCACTCATATGATTTCATTTGAATGTTATAACTTTTGTAAAATTAGTAAACTTGTTACCAGGCTAGCCGATAGTAACTACCTGTAAAGTGAGGTTACTGTTGTAAGTAGAAGAATATAAAATAAAAATGTTTTCATCATTATTATTGTCAAAATTGTTTCTGTTGCTTTTTGTTGTGTCCACTACGTATACTGCTGGCTAATGCCTAGGCAGACTATTTTTGTTGTTCTATTTTCTTTCATAAAAAGATTTAACAATCTCGCAGTTTTGGCTGAGTACCCATTTTTGACATTGTTCGATTACTAATTTTGCCTCCTTCTCTCCTTCACATAGTCTCTTGATATGACACTCCAATTGCTTGCTGTAACAGCCTAGAAAGTCAAATACAACATTGATTTGATCTATTTCGTATCCACGATTTAACCGTTCCAGTGACTTTCTCATTTCAGAATACTTGTCTTGTTTTTCTTTCTCTCTCTTGGCAATACATCCAGGTGCACATATAGTCCCCTCTATCAAACTGACCTTTTTTCCTACTTTGTCAATTATCAGCATATCAGGCTTAATGGCATTGTTGCTTGGTCTTTTGTCTAAGTGCATCGGTATGTCCCACATAATCTTAGCACGATCATTTTCGATGCTTGCAAGAGGTAATGCTTGCTTGTACCATGGAACTCCACGATTATTTCCATCAAATTCAAACTTTGCTCGTATTAGATGATAAATAGGTCTTAACATTCTATCGTGTCGTGCCTTGTAGAGTGTTTGTGCTAATGCTGCACAGGAGCACAGCAAATGAACGACTGTTTCTTCTGCTTGCTTACATAGACTACATGTTGTATTTGCAGTTTCCATCTTTAACTTGTACTTTGAATACGCTTTGGTAGGTAGTAACTGTTGCTTTATTGATTCATTTGTCGATAAGACTATATCTGGGATGTTTTTCCAGCTTCGAAAAATGTTTCTACTGTTTTTTGATATTTCATCACTATCTAGTATTGAAACCGTGTAGAATCCTAACCAAGGTTGGTTTCTAACTCTTTCTTCATATAGTCTTTGAATGATACTTCCTAGTCTGCGTTGGATCTGTATATAGTTGTCATCTTTTAACTCCACTCTTTCCTGTTCATAGCTTAATACAGACTTTTCCTCTAAAAGGCTCAAGTCAGCTTTGAAATGTTCCTTTGCATACCTTGTTGCTTCAACAAAAGTTGACTTGAAGTTCTTTTTGCTTTTGTAATGTTGGAACGAGCGTACCAGCTTTATTCTTGGATCTTTGCTTATGTTAATGTGATGTGCAACCTTAATTTTTGAGATCTTATAGGTATCCTCTACAGACTTGAAGCCCCTTCCACCACATTTCTGTGGCAAATAGAGCATTGCTATTGATTCTGAGATGTGTTTTCCTTTATGCATCTCGACTACCTTTCTGCTTTTCCTGTCAAGATTTTGAATATCTGCTATCAACCAATTACTTGTCCCCATGAAGTATTCTAATGTAGGCAAAGCAAAGACGATGCAAGCTGTCTGTTTTCTTGGTACTGACAAGGGTGATGACCATATAACATTCAATCTTCGTAGATACTCTTTTTCTGCTTGTTGGAACGTGAACTTGTCCAGCTGTTCGAAATTTTCATACTTTCCAAGGAATTTGTACTTGTCGCTAGATTCCATAACTGAGATGGAATCCTTTGCTCCTATTGGTAAATCTTCGCTCTTTGATACTTTCCCTCTAACTACATGCAAAGAAGCACACTTTTCTAGGCCCCAGGACATCCCAATATCTTCATACATTTCCTTAACTTTCTTTGTCACGACTGATATTTTGTTCTCTGACTTTGCATAGAGTTTTAAATCGTCAACATATAATAGGTGTGTTATCTTCATTGTCCTGTCGTGCGTCAGTTGGTAACCCTCATATCCTCTAATCGTCCAAGCTATTGGGTCAAGACATAGTACAAAAAGCTTGACAACAAAGCTGTCTCCTTGCAGTATACCTCTCTTGACATTTATTGGCTCCAATTGTTCCTTTCCATTTACTGTATCGACGGTTATTGAGATTTTCCAGCCTTTCATTATGTTTTCTACAAACTTTATGATTCGTTTGTTTGTCTTATTCATTGATAACACCTTAAGAATCCAAGCGTGTGTCACGGAATCAAATGCTTTTCTTACATCAGTCCAAACCATTGATAAATTCTTTTTATTCATTTTTGCATCTTCTAGGATCATTTTGTCAATTAACATGTTGTCAGTGCATCCCATTACTCCAGGTCTACCTCCTCTCTGATCCATCTGTAGCGTCTTTAATGGTAGATATTCGCCTACGAGTGAAGTGATTGACTTGTACATCGTATTTAAGCAGGTGATGGGACGATGGTCAGGTGCTTTTGGTTGGAGCTTTTTTGGGTGTAGCCCACATCTTCCTTCAAGTAACCATGTGGGAATAGGTGTCTGCTTGTTAATCAGTTCAGTGACTGCTACCGATATACCTTCGTGTGTAGTTGTAAACGCTTTGAGCCAGTAATTCACTATTTTATCTTTACCGGGTGACGACCAGTTTTTTTTTCGTTTTAAGCATATTCGTGAATTTCTCCTTTGTGATATTTACGATTTCATCATCATTGACTGCTGTTGACCGGCTAATGGCTTGTTCAACGTCTTTGATCCATTTTGCTTCCAGATTTACCTTCGATTCTTCGCTCCAAATTTTTGGCCAGTAGTCTTCAAAATCTTCTTTGGAAAGTGTTGTTTGGCTTCCGGTTTTGTCGCTTCTTGTCTTAAAACTCACATCATCCGAGTCATCGTTTTTCAGGATTTCTCTAAACGTGTTGTATACTTTTCTTTGGTCTGTGTCATATAGCCTGTTAATTTTGTTTCTCACTATCTGGCCTTTTTTCTTTTCCTTATTGTATTTCATTGATTTTACCACACTAATCCTGTGTTCCCTTATTTCCAGTAACCCATTTAGGGTTATTCTACCCTTCAGTTCTCTTTTCATCCACCTCCTGTTTCTTCTCATGTTTCTCGTAAGTTTCTTATTATTCTTTATTCTCTGTATTTCCTCGGCAATTTGTGAGATCTTGCCCCTAATTTTGTTCATTTTCTCATTCATTCGTTTTTCCCAGACTGGAATTCCCTTTTGCTTTCCCTGGCTGTTGCTGTTGTTATTCCCATCTTTATGATCGCATGCTAACTTCCATCCACAAATCGTTGCATACATTGCACAGTTCACATCCCACAGGTATTTCGTTGGTTCTTCCTTTGGGCTATGCATTTCCAAACCCATAAGAATTCCTTGCAGGTCTTGCAGTTCTTTACATGTTGGCTTCTTTTTTACATATGTGTTTAAACCACGTCTACTCCAGTCCCCAGGGATTGTTTTTACATCAAGATATTTTTGTTTGACTTTTTCTTGTATTCCTTTGAAATGACTGTCTAGCTCCGCATCTGGCGTAAAGGGTGGATTTTCAATGCTCCTTTGTTCGGTTTCTACATTATTCAATGCAGCATTGTCTTGTATTTGGCATTCTGTTTGTTCTATTATCTCATTTTGTATTGTCTGTTGGTCTGTTATTGTCACCTTCTCAATGCGTGCAGCTTGGTCTCGCAAGTTCTGTGCTGTTTTGCCTAAATCTGCGTAACCAATTTCTTCCCAAAAGATTTTTGTGAGCTCCATCACTCCAGTCTTTCGTCCATTTGGTTTGCGTGGGCAGTCAGCTCTTGTATGGGTACTTTTGGCCTTTTCTTTGCAGTTGAGTAGATCCATATTCATTTTTGCGGTCCAATTTGTTTTTGATTGGCGTCGAGCATGGCTGCTTTGATGTTGTTCCCCATCTTCCATTCTGTATTTCGCTTTTGCGACTCCTGTTTGACTTTGGAAGTGTTGCAGGTCGCTAATTATACATTGGTATATAGATATCAATAATATAATTACATGCTCCTTTCCTAAAATACGCATAATGAGAGCATTATTTTAGGTTCGCCTGCGAGATTCCAAACACGTCCTCTCAGCACGGCGCCATCATCATTATAATAATAATTATTATTATGGCTAATTAAGTTATTCACAGACACCTAGGTGTTAATTGGTCCGGATAATATAGGAGGGAGCAATCAGCAACAAGCTGACAAAGTTTCCATTATTATTATTATTATTATCATTATTATTAATATTGGTTGCTTTATTTTTCTCAGTTTTTCCTTTTACCTTACGATTGTTATAGTTTTTTCTTGTAAAACCAGGCTAGCCAATTGCAAATTACCTTGTAATAATGAGATTTGTAATTGTAGTTTAAGTTGAATTGAAAATGAAATGTTTCCATTATTATTATTATTATTATTATAAAATTATTTACAGTAGGCGAAGCAAATTTTTTAGCTAATATAACAGCTAATTAAAGCCTACTATTTATACTAAATTTACAAATCTTAAACTAATTACAATGAATAGATAAAATATTATAGGAAATGTACAAATTAAAAGGATGACTCATTAGATAAAAATATACAATTATTTGATGACTATTTCAAGAATCCAATCTGCGCAACGCGAGGTTTGCATAGTTTGCAGTTGCATTTTGTATCTTTCCAAATTATAATCTTTTTCTTAAATATTGCGAGGCTAGAAGATGTTTTAATGTCATTTGTAAGCTCTTGCCAGAGCTTGGATCCCATAGAGGTTGTACTTTCTATACCATAACAATTTGATTTTGGTTTTGATAGCGATATTCGGGATATGCTTCTAAGATTATAGCATGTATTTGTTTCAGTAAAGATTTCTTTCATGAAACTTGGGTTGAGATTATGTAAAGTTTTATATATTTCTGTAAGAAGCAATTGCAGATTTTTATCATGGATAGACGTCGAGTTGTCTTTTTCAAGAAGAGTTTGAAAGTTTAGGCAAGACGCAAAGACTTTTCATGAATTCTATTTATTCTGTTGTTCATCTGTCGATCACAAAACATCCAAATTAAAGGGCAGTAGCTAAATTGTGATAAAATGAAGACGTGCATGGTCTGTTTTACTTTTCTGTCATCCATGTAGTTGGAGATTCGGGAAAAAGCATGTAGCTTTTGGCTGGCCTTTTTGCATATCGATTGTACGTGTCCTTTGAACGACAAATTATTATCAATACTTATTCCAAGAAGTTTTTGTTCTTTACTTGGTTTAATTGTCGAATTTTTTTATTTTCAGAGATTTGTCATTGCTGCCTTTACCAAAATTTGTAAGATGGCATTTGTCCCCTTTCAGTTTCATATAATCATTTTGAAACCATTCTTTCAGAATAACTACGTCTTGTTCTAGTGTTTTAATAGCCTGCTTAATGTCTTGGTGGATGACATATAGCGTTGTGTCATCAGCGTAATTGCATATTTGGCTATTTGATATAAACATAAACATGTCATTTATGTATATATTGAACAAGAGAGGTCCCAAAACTGATCCTTTCGGCACACCTACACTCGTGGTTTTCCATTCACTGAAAGAGTAGTTTATTTTGACTCTTTGTTTTCTCTGGCTAAGGTACTATAATTTGAAATTCAAGGCGCTTCTACTAAAACCATAAGCATTGAGTTTAGCAATCATTAGGTCATGATTCAGACAGTCGAATGCTTTTGACAGATCCATCAATAGTGTACTGGCTGTTTGTTTAGTATCTAGAGCTTTTTTGCAATTTTCGATGAGTCTGAGTAATGTATGTTGGGTGCTATAATTCCTTCTGAAACCACATAGCAGTGGTGATAGAAAACCGTGAGCGAAGGGAGTAATTTGTGATTCCATGATTCTCTCATATATTTTCAATGCTGATGGTAAGGTAGCAATTGGTCTATAATTTTTCTTACTGAATTTATCACCTTTTTTATGCAACGATGATATGTCTCCTAATTTGAGTTATTTTGGAAATTTCATATTAGATAGGTCCTCATTAAATGTTCTTTGTAAAATTTCAGAGAAAATGTCTGCATATTCTTTAAATATCCTAGCAGGTATACTTTCTATTGGTGAGGTCTTTCTGGTATTAAGTTTTGTTTATCTGATCCCAAATTTCCCCACTCTTAACTTCCCTAAATTCAAAGGGCTGTGGGTCAGGGTACATTTCTCTTATTTTTATGATACTTGGGTGGTTTTTATATTTCTCAATGGCTTCATCAATTGGGTCATTTATACCATCTTTAACTGATATATATCTGTGACTTATATCTTGTTGAATTCTTAGATCTTGTATTATATTTATAAAGTAGTTGTTAAATAATTCTGCAAGCATGTTTGTTAATAGAGTTAAGAATGTTGTCTTGGATATGTTGAAACTTTCCGTCTAGGTCTGTCAACTTACGGGGCAAAAGATCTGTTGAGTTAATATCTAAAATATAATCGTTTTCATTAAATTCTTAAAATCTCGTTTGAGCTGCGGTATACGCTTACTTCTACTTACTTTTTTATTAAGTATAAAAAAGTTTGGCATGTGATCTGAAATTTGGGAAATTAAATTACCACTCCATGAATTATTCTCAATCAAGTTTATAAAAATGTTATCAATAAGGGAAGGCTTATGATTATCTGTGTATCTTGATGGTTGTAAGATTACAGGTTGCAGAATGTTCGCAAACGTTATGTTAAGAAACTCTTCTACAGTAGACCGTTTATCGTATGCAAGTAAATCAAGATTGAAATCTCCAGAAACTATGATTAGCTTGTTTTCTTTCATTAATTTTTTGAGAGTAACGTTAAGATACCTAAAAACTGTGCTGGGTATCTACGAGGATGATTATATATAACTCCTGAGAGAACATTAGTGCTATTTTCGTTATCAATTTCAACCCATTTCGCCTCAAATTCACATTTCTCAGATTTAAAAGACTTTGTTAACTCATTTCTTTTATGAAAGTTTAAGCTGTCTTTAATAAAAAAGCCACACCCATCATTTTTACTACTGCCTTGAATTCCAATATACGAATGGAACCAGGGACGTTGAGGTTCTTAAAACGGGCATCGTTAGATTTAGAATGCCACGTTTCATTTAGGGCTACTATGTCAAAGTTTAAACTTAGGTCAAGTAGTAAAACTTAGCTCTCCAGCCTTTCAAAATTGTCTAATAATGAGGATATGTTGGTGTGTATGATACTGAACCTATCCTTGCCAGATAAGCTATTATTCTTAATAAGTTTATGAAACTTGTGATTTGAATAGTAATCAAAATTGTTATAAAAATTTACATGATTATCTATGTCGTTATCATGCCGTGTAGTTTGCATAAATCTAACTTTACCAGTTGATAGTCATTGACGTCAATGCAAGAATTTTGACAGTTAGGTCAAGCAATTCATTTGATTCACATGGCAAATGGAAATTGATTTATATAGCATTGATGACAACTTTGTCGACTTGTGGGTTGGAGACGGGAACATCTTTGGAGCAATTCCGTTCAAAGTCTGAAATATTAAGGGGATTAAAAGCTTTACCGCTTTTGACTGGCCAACATGTTGAGTCACGAAGCAATGGATTGGAAAGGGAGAGAATTTTTTAAACAAAAAGCACAAAACCATGAAAGGCTTTTATCCAACAAAAATGATTAAAATTGATTCTTTGTTAATGAGGAACATTTGAAATGAAACCAGGAATCGCATAAATCGCAACAGATAGAAGAGTGATCGTCATTAACGATTTTTAAACATTTCGGATTTGGACAGATAACATTAAAATTATTACTCAAATCAAGGATAGTGTTAATGCGATTTGACACGCAACCAAACAGCCTCTTTTTGAACCCTGTCACGGAGTTTGAAGTGAGTGACGTAATAAGTAACTTAGATGCTAAAAAGTCAGCTGATGCTTATGGTATTCCTATCAAACTAGTCAAACTAATAAAAGCTGCTATTGTTTGTCCATTAACTTTATTAATAAACGAATCATTTACCACTGGCTACTGTCCCCAAATTTTGAAGTATGCTAAAGTTATATCAATTTTTAAAGCCAGCTCCTCACTTGAGGTAACGAATTATCGCCCAATATCTATTCCTTGTTTATATTACTATTATTTATATTACATCTTTATATTATTGACTGGAATGTATTAGGTATTCTTCTAAAATTTTAAAACTTATTAAAATTCACTGGCTGGAGCGGACACATCCACTAATCGTTTTCTGTTGTGAAGAGCTGTCTTTACTGGATTTCAGATTGTACTGTTTACTTTGTTTTAGACGCGCGTTTGGTTGGATAAAACTATTATGATCAGGCAAGGAGATTTTTCAGATAAGAAACTTGAAACTTCTCTATGGATCAGAAAAAAATTAAAATGGGAATTTTTTAAGTAATTATAAAACACCAGTGTATGATAAGCTCCCTGTTATTTGTAAACATCCTCAACTCCTATCGTAAAAAAAAAATTAAAAAAAAATTGTTATAAATCAAATAAATTAATATAAATTAGCCATATGGAATAATAGGGAGGATAATATTACCTATTCAATATAAATTGCTATGATAAAGTTGGTGAGAGGCCAGAAAACACTGCAGAAGCTGAAGCAGAAGTATTTGATCAAAGAAGAGTGTTGAATCTTGCGAATCGAGCATATGCACCTGCTCTCAAATCACCAATTTCAATTGTAAAAAACGAAAAAACATAAGCCCTCTGAAAAGTGTTGAAATATCCTTGGAACAAGGGCAAAAATGAAAGGCTCAATCCTTGATGCTTCTTTATTGTGAAAAAGATATTTTATACAAAACTGATCTGCAGCAAATAGCTTTAGAAAAAGTAGGGTGTAGGGCCTGAAGTGTGCACACCCTACTTTAGCAGCTTAAAGTAGTGAAAAAAGGGCAGGGCAGAAAAAGTAGCCTGTGCTCCAGTCCCCTAACTTGAAATTAGAGGTCTGGAACACAGCCTAAGATAAAGTAGAATCGTTGTTAATTGACTTGAAAGAATATTTCTTTTTATCATTAAACATAGGTAACCATAGTTGATATCCAATTTCGATCTAATGCTGGTTATGCTCAGCAGATGTTGCTATATTTCTTACGTTAAGTAACGTTCGTGTTACGTTCATTCCAATTTAGAAATTTTCTTTATCGTTTTTAGTAATTTTGTGCCTAGTGATAATCACAATAACTAAAATTTTGGTAATTATAAAGAAACTAGAAATATGGAATTAGGGCTCTTTTCAAATATCAATTCGGCGGGTACAGTAGATTTACATGTCGAACGAAAAATTCCTCAGCTAAAGTTGGAATTTTGATCTTCTACGACCCCCGAAAATCAGCCACCTGTTTTCCTCGGTCTATCATGAAAGCAGTTGCTACAGCCATTGCATTCGGTCAGGCGTTTAGATATATACATCATCTTGCAATGACAATATATTATTAAATGTAAGAAAGTGATTAAATGTTTACTTTTGATCAAATACCATAGGCTCAGAAAATTAATGATAATCCCTAATGGCAGCTATTATCGAGGAAGAAGAAACACACAAATGAAATGATTGAAAGTTTATTTTTAAACCATAATCAGTTTCTTTAGGTTGAGATTCATTTTGCTGTAAACGCAATTATCTAATGCAACAAATCTTATGCGTGAAACCAATAATATAAAAAACTAATCTAAAAATTGGTAAAGCACTTCGTTATTGAGCCCCCCCCCCTCTCGGTTTTCGTCAGGAGGGGCTGAAGCCCCAGAGCCCCCCCCCTGAGTTTATGCCTATGTCAAATACTGTTTTATAACAATGTTTTCTGTATAGTGTTTAAAGCTCTGCACTCAAGCAACAAAGCGTTCTAGGGACTGTCGGCAGTGCTAGTAGCATCCAAGGTAATTAAGCGGTAAATTTTTTATTGATGGCCCTCCAGGAAATTTTCCAAAGACTCAATGAAATGTCCGAAGTTAACTGTTCGGACTCCGGAATTTGTTTCATCCCAAAATCTATATGACCAGTGTGGGTTCCAAAATTTTTATTTGGCAATTTGAACTTGACTTCTATAAATTCGTATGTTTCTAACCACAAACTAATATTGGAAAGAATATATCAAATGTATTAGGAGTCCAGGACAATATCTTTAGCATTCAGAAATAATATTTCATTTTGCTTTGAAATTGGGTACGTTGAATTTTTTTGTCTGGGCACTTTTTACAATGGGGGTTCTTGATCGAAAATATACAGTGGTTGCTTCAAATAGATAGCGTTTGGCAAATTTTGATAGTCAGCGCTTCATTCATTCTTATTGTAAGGAGAAATCAAGAGTGTTGGACAAAAAACGTGTTCATCAAGCTACTGTAATAAAGGCAAGTGCCTATTTTCCTTAGTTAACAAGCCTTTTACCATGTGATAAATCGGACACTAAGCCTATTTATCTTTGGGGCAGAAGGTTGGCCTATCAAAAATTTGGTGCAGAAATTTTGGCGCTGGTATTGGAATGGAGCAACGTTGACAATGGCGGCGCCAGCCACTACGCTCTTGGACAAAACAAAAAAATTTAGGCCACGACCTTTTAGCAATAGAAAACGCCCTTTCACAAACAAGGAACGCCAATAACTAACTGTTGCCTATGTAAAGGCAGTTTGAAAATCAAAGGATGACATCAAAAAAGTACGTTGCCAAAATATTATCCCTCTCCCAACATTATCTCATCGGATTTAGACGAAATTCAAAATTGATCCTGCCGAGAACAAGGGGGAGACGTGCCCCCCCCGTCCCCCTTTTTTATATACCATTAAAAGTAACTCCTGTTTAGCAGAAAGTCTAGAACTGTCTAGAAAACTCTCACCTCTTGACAGCATTGTACAAGATAAAAGGATAAGCCTGTCTGAAGAGTCGTTTGATAAGAAAAACGCACATGCAAGTACGCAGATGTAAACATGGCGATGACGTCATTGACAGGGCTTGTTTCAGTCGCACAGGGTTGAAAATTATGGAAATTTGGTGCACTCCTGTCTATAGCCATTGATGGAGAAAAAAGCGCCAATCTAGATGTTTCTATTACGTAGCTAGTTCAGTGTAATCCCCATATAACGAACCCCGTGTATAACGAACTTCCCGGTATAACAAACTTAAGTTCTGGTCCTTTGAATTCTGCCTAACAGACTCCTTACAAATTCTATCGGTATAAGGAGCCCTGTATATAACGAACTATCGATATTACGAACCAAGTTTTGGTTCCCTTCATCACAATTACCCTCGATATCAGGCACTGCGCAGTCCTTTGGGCTAGCTAGGGCTATAGCCCCTCCTCCCACTTTTTGCAATAATAGACTAGAAATATTTTGGAAGTTTTACTCTAACGCAACTTTGGATAGTTTACTCCTATGTAGTAGCAGTTCTTCTTGACTGGAAACCTTTTTTTATTTGCTAGGTGTTTTACCTTCGATGTGATGTATTTTCTAACTTGGTTAGCTTTGTGTCTTGTTTTTAATATGATGGCATTTCCGGTGTTCTAGAGGGCGTGGCCTCAAAAAATTTTCATACAAACCCATTTCAGCCTCTCAAGTTTTAAACTGGTGCGCGGTCCCTGCTTGATATAACGAACTTTCCATAAATTTTTCATCTGTTGTTCATACTTAATTATTTTTGGTGTTCATTTATCGCTTCCACTTGTGGGAAATCATTTATTGTCTTCGGCAAAACATGCTGATGATACATTTCAAGCACTGGCTGACAAACCCAAAGTACGAGATGAAAGTTTGATCGCGTCAAACATAAATGGATATTACTGTAAATGAATACATTGACACCAACGAACACCTTACAAATGAGAAATTGGCAATGAGCGACGATGAAATTTTATTGGGAGACCGAGATGAAATGTGAAAAGAAGAAGACAAATAAGAATGTGATCAAAGGCATCATTCAGCCGCCGACTAGAAGTGAAGTGATACCAGCTTTGCAAATCCCAAAGCATAAAAGAAACCTAAAGATATTCATTCTTGATTACTAACCATTAGAAATATTTGAATTCAGCTTGGTTTTTTGGAGTGTAATATGCACAGAAGTTGGAGATAGTTTAAACAGGCACACATAACGTTACCCTGGGCACCACACTCAAATATAAAATAAATGGATATCTCTATTTCGTTTTATATATAGTGAGTCTGGTACCCAGGGAAACATAATGTGTACTATGAAAATATCTAAAACATGTTTTCTCTCGGTTAAACGAACTCCCAATAGAACCAACTATTTTCTGGTTCCCTTTGGAGTTCGCTATATCGGGATATGTATTTCTCACAACAAATTCTTGATAAAAACATTTAATTGAATTTTGGGAACGAAAAAAATTGGTGCTTCTCAAAACTAGAAGGGACTATTGGCAAATAGCATTGTGGGACATGTACTTCAAACCAAGAGGTAAAAAATGGGCAATTATCATCTTACATGCACATTTTAAAAACATTCCATACTCAATGTCTTGCAAACTGTCATACTCTGCAGCGCTTAGAAAACCAAACAAAATACTCTGCAACGAGATCAAAATTTTGCGGATGTCCGCAAAGACCGAAAATCCTGCAACATGCTGATAGCATTAATTTGGCATTCATGAACAACGTAATTTTATCATCAAACAGATTCTGGAGCTCTATTAATATCAATAAAGTGTGCTCGTGCAATTATTCCAGATTTACAACCAGACAAGCATGGCTTATTTGTTTTATAACACACTAAATGCGGTATATCAATGGCGGCGCCAGCCACTAAGCTCTGAGGGGGGACAAACCAAAAAATTCAAGCTACGCCTTTTTAACCACCAGAAAACGCCCTTTTATCAACAGGGAACGCCAATTTCATCCGAAGGAACGCCTACGACTAACTTTTGTTTGAAAATTGACAGTTTCAAAATCATTGGATTACATCACAAAAAGTACGGTGTCAAATTATTACCCCTCCCCCAACATTTTCTCATCGAATTTAGACGAAATACAAAATCGATTCTGCTGAGAACTTGGGGGGGGGGGAGTGTCTCCTTCAGTCCCCCCGTGGCGCCGCTACTGGGTATAGTATCCCTTTGAATACGGAAAAAATACATTACTTGCACTCAGTATCTAAATTCATTCTTTCTTCTCTCTGCTCAGTACCTGCCATATCCATATGGGACGCCTCTATTTTCCGGACGCACTCCATACATGCCCCCCATGTCCCGTCCGTTATTGCCAAAATCGCTAACATCATAATCATCAGTATCTTCATCATCTTCATTCATCATATCACCATAGAACATTCCGCCGTCTGGCCTTCCATGCGCCGTGCGCGGTCTTTCATATGGGTCCGGAGGCATACCATACTCAGTCTCATAACGTGGATCGATGCCTCCCTCCCAAGATTGGTACGGATAATCATCATCATTTGAACCATTAAGCAAGTCTTCTGGATGTCCGTAGAACAAGTCCGGTCTATCAAGGATGTCTGAGTTGTATGGGTTTTCATCATCATAATAAAGAAGATTATTCGGGTCGTCTTCGCCATCTTCTGCATGATTTTCAACCATTTCAAGCCACTGTGAATTATGCCATCTGAATTTCTCGATCAAGATTTTCTTTCCCCATTCTTCGTCACACTCCTGCAGATAATATGAATGATGAAGAAAATACGTCATCCTAGGACAACAGGGCCGCATTTAAGTCTGCTGGGGCCCTGGGCCCAAAGTCGACACAAATATACCAAAAAACTAGTTCACGCTCTTTTTATTTACCCTTTTCAGCATGGTCAAACATTTTTCACCGGAGAAACCTTTGTATGACAAATTGTGCAACAAACTAAGTGCAATCATTGCATTGGGGGAAGCTCCAGCCAGGAAAAGCGAAAGTTTCAAAAGCCCTGGGGTAAAAATAAAACAGGAGGCCCCTGCGAGCGGAGCGAGCTGAAAATTCTTGTGACCACGCCCTTTATCTTAAAATGGAATTCGTTACTTTGCGAGGCCCCTTAGCTTCATTCAAACACAAAATTGAAATCAAGAGCACTTAAAAGGCTTTTAAAATTTTGCACGGGGCCCCCTAAATCGAAGAATTTTTGGGGGCCCCTTGACCCGGGCCCAGTGGGCCCATGGGTAAATGCGTCACAGGAGGACAGTACAAAAAAGGAATGTTTGGTAACTGTACCGATTAGAGACATGGCACACTAAACATAACTCTCCTCGAAGACGTTTTTTGATGACCAGGTAAGCAGAAATTCCTATTCAATGGTGACGCGCTGTCACTCACTTTCAAGGCCTGGAGAACGGAATAATCTAAAACATTAAAGGCAACCTTCTTAAAATGACCTTAAGGTAGCTCTCACCTAGGCGATTTTTAAGATGATCCTCAAAACATTTCGCGGCGCAGTATGCAAAGTGTATCATCTTGACGAAAAATAAAACTTGAGTTCAAATTTTCGTCAAAGTTTTGATGATCATCACAATGACGTTGGTTCACGCATTTTGATTTGATGATTATAATATCTTTTTTGCAAACAGAAAACGCTTGGGGACCTGTTCTTTTAACACAGGTCATTCACTTTAAAGCTTATACATAGAGCTGAAGTCAAATGAGTTATGATTATTATGGTGTTCACGAGGTATCAGCCATGTCAACAATATACTTTTTTCATGTTGTGTCTCGAAAACACTAAGAACGCGATACTTATTGGGGAGTGAAACCAGCATTCTTTCAAAGGTCCTTTGCGCAAGAGCCTTCAACCGCACTCATTAAAAAATCTCACTCATTTTCAAAACTGAAACTTGACAGGTTTGTATATGTAAACTTCTGATAACAGCTGGCTACAGACCCCTGATCATATTTACTTGTATTGCAAATTTTATATGCAAGATGGGGTAATAGGGGGGGGGGTGTACAGACTGACTTACCGATATAATATCCAGTGTTCCATCGCAGATCTTTCTGACTTCTTCGTTTTTATCGTGCATCAAGTCAATCAAATAGGCTGGCGCCTCTGTGGCATGGTTAAGAAAACATAATAATGGAAACAGCTCTCAAGGGATGGCCATACAGCGAGCATATATATATATATATGTATCATAGAGTTGAAGAATCTCTATCCTCCTGAAGATCTCCAAGATCTCCTGAAGATCTCAGAACATCTCCTGAAGAGTGCGTTACTCACGAAACAGGCTTGTAGAGATAAACCATGTAGTCTTATTTTCTTCAACTCTATGATATATCACGCTCTACGTGCTAACGTATTGAGCACTGTGCTACGGAAGTATCAAAAGACAAATTTCTATATATATATATATATATGTGCTCAAAAACATTGATTCTGAAGAAGCTTATAGCGAAACGTCAACCAAGTTGTTTTTTTATTGAGTATCTATATATATATACATGGTTATAGAGAAAGTATAACTGCTGCTGAGCGGATGAGAGAGTTTGAAAGTAGCCTGCACACAGAGGGATTAAAAAAGGTCCAAATTTACCCTCTGGCCTATAGCTCTTGATGTTTCGATTCCCCGTTTAATGATTATGCTTAAAGCAGTCACTTTGTGTTTCACGCTTAATATAATGAAAGGCTAGCTTATAAAGAAGATTATAGAAGAAAGAGAGAAAGCTTAAATTTTACCCGGGTTGTCAGATGGGTGTCGGGATGTTTGATCTGTTTGGTCACGCCTATTTATGATTGGCTCTTCTCAACATAAACAAGCAAAGTGGCTATCCGAAATTTTAGAACCGGTCCTAACACCTCATTCATCTCGGTGTATGGAAAACTCCTTTTCTTGGCCCTTTTATCCAAAACTTGGATTCAGAAGCCGATAAAATATTTATGTACTCGGTTGACATCAGCAGGTTGTTTACCAACGTGCCACTGCCATTTGATGAGACTGTAGGGATCTAAATTGCCCCCAATCCCTGAGGACATTGCTAGATGGTGTTGCTATGGGTAATTTTCAGGCAAAACAACGGTTGCGAAATGAAAACAGCTACAGCGTATTTGCAAAAGAACAAAAAGCCCAAAAATGTGATTCGGCAATTGATCCACATTTAATCACAAATCCAGAGTTTGCCAAAACATATGCTAGTGACGACAATTTAAATATCATTGGACAGGCAAAGTCATATTTTCATTTAGGAGTTTTAGAATATGTTTACATCAAAATAAAGGATCCCGACTTGTGTAGACAGAAAGAGTTAATTTTTTGAGAAAATCCTGGCTTAGTTACTCTTGTAAAATCCTGGAAAAGAAACCGCTAATCCTGGAAAATCCAGAAAATCGAATGAAGTAATAGTAATAGGGGCTATGGACAAACAGATCAGGGTCAATTTTAAGGAATTTTTGTTATTGCACACATTCAACATTTTTGGGTTTTGCCTTTTTAAAATATTCATGACCACACCCATCAAACTAGGTAAGTGTAATGTAATGGAAAGAGAAGGCATCGCCTTTCACTCGTGTAGTTGCCAGGAAAAGACGTTTCAAGCCTGTTCAGTGACAAAAAGCTACAAAGGATACGCGTTTCTTTGATAATGACGTTCCTCGTTGCCTGGTGAAATATCATTTGGTAAAACACAAAGACAACTTGGAGCACAACTTCGTCATCTTCTTGTTTCGCTAAAATGACAATTATTCAGACGTTTAGCTAAATATATGTTCATTATAAAGGTCAGAGGAACAGAATTTAAGAAGAATAAAAATCTTTGATAAACCTATTTAAAAGAAAAGGATAGACAACAACCGAAAGTTCAGGGCAAACCGAAATGTATGGTCAAAAGACTTGCTGTAAGCATCTTAAACACGTGTTAATGCAAGTGTGCTAAAAATATGGACTAAAATGGCATTATTTGACTGAAAAATGAACATTTTTTTCTTGGTATTAGACAGACAGAGAAATGAGAATAGGATGAAGCCACGTCAGTTAGTTATGAAGAAGTCAGATAGGAAGAAGCCAAGTTATGAAGGAGGCAAATGAAGGAAGCAATTTACGAAGAAGGGAAGATTAAAAGAAGCAAGTTAGAACGTAGTCAAGTTAGGAAGAAGACAAGTTAGGAAGAAGACAAGCTAGGAAGAAGACAAGCTAGGAAGAAGTCAAGCTAGGAAAAAGTCAAGTTATAAAGGACCGCGTGTCAGGAAGAAGGCAAACCATTTAGCTCAGTTAAGAAATGGTCAGTGCTGGACATTGAAAAAAATTCAGAAATCTCAAAACTTAAAACAAAAATATCAAAGAAAAAGTTGTATTCTTAAAAGACTCCGGCACCGAAATTTTGTGATTTTCTTACAATGTGACTGGCTGATTTGAATTAAACGTTAGAGGCGAATTCTCGCAAATTCTTCACAAACAGCTACAAAAGTCCCTTGCTTTCTGAAATGGTATCTAAATGGAAAAAGAATCCTTTCCAGCATGTCAGTATTAAGGCCAAAACTGCTAAAAAAACCAAAATAAAAAACTCTTAGTAAACAATGTGTCGATAAGTTCTTGGTTGACAGAACACAGGAATACCTCTAAGCAGCTCGATAAGGTCTTGGATAATACCCGATTTAGCCAGCATCGTAGCACAGCCTTCGTCACTAGCGATTGTACCAGTAAGAATTGTCACCTCAAGAACAAGGTCGTCTTCAACAGCACCTGAAACATTCAAAGCGGAACAATATATAGTATATATATAAATATATATAATTATACAAGAACAAACAATTGATTCGCATTTTTTTCAAAGATTCTAGTCTAAAATCTAGAAATATGACATAGCAGGATTTGGAATAAAAGAGCAGTTGGGCCATGAGGAAATGAAAACGGCTCTCTGTGCAATAGCTTTCCCTAAATAAATAATTTGATTCCCGTGCACTTTAAAACAGTGGGAACTCAAATTTTCTGATTCATTACTACTTAGCTAAGGAAAAACACTAGTTTTGCAGTTTTCCTTGGTGTGTGTTTTTTTTCAAGACTACTTTACCCCACCATCAGCCGTAAGATATACACACCGACCCCTTCATACCATGACTCAGTGTCTGATCAGTATTCCTCTAGGGCGTGATTTAATGCTGTTAAGGCTTTGTAAAGGTTTTGAATCACAAGGGCAAAGATTCAAAACTGAGTAAAGTGGCCTCTCAAACGCATCGATATTCAACAACTAAATCCTCTTCATTCAGTTTTCCTAATCAATCTGTTCGTTATAGGGGATTAATTTTTGCTTTCCTACATGCTACAAGTTTTTTATGCCTGGTGCAACTAGATTTTATGACAGTGAAAATTATGTTTGCACTCTTGTTTAGGGGGACTGAAGAAAAAAGGAGGGTTCCACATCTCCCAGCCTTTTGAATAAATATTAATTGTTGACCCAAACCGAATCTTTGCTCGCCTATAAATACACTTCTTTGTTTTTATTAGAATACTTAAATTTTTGTCCAGCCTGGATATTATCAAAAAATGTTGGTTTTTAGCCTGAATATATCCTTAAATTATTTTCTTTCTTTAAAATATGATATTGTTTCAGGTTTCAGATTTACAGATTTCTACCACAGAGTGATTTACTGCTCGGATTTTGTCAGATAAAATCCGAATTTTCAAGGGCCAAATTTGGTTCTAGAAATTGATCAATATTAGTCATAAATTATATCTTTATTTGATAGTGAAGAGCAGGACAGTGCCAATTTGTGTCTATCAATTTTTAAATTTTGCCCCAGATTTGAAAATTTATGCAGTTATATTACGTAAGGTAAAACAAGGAAGAAGTCGATCAAAACCATCGCTTTCCCCCAGTGGAAACTCAATTTAATAATAAAAATTGATCATCAGAATTTGCTTCTAAGTATGCAATTTCTGGCAAATTTGGAGCAATAGATTATAAAATTTTTCCCCTTCGGCGGCAACCATGGTGCCGTCGCAGGTAGTAACTTCATTTTACCCTTGTCCTAAGCTACAGATGTCAGGGGCGTTCACTGTAAGTATGAAGAAACAGAGACCAGACAAAAAGTGCATTTTAAATATCTTTGAAGATACTCGTTTTTAAAATAAGCTTTATGGGATACACTAGCCACATATTATCAAAACCCGCCCTTAGGACTAGGACTAACTCATTTAATTTGTTCTGTGGACATTTGCTACACTGTTCACCATTGTCTACATTCCAAAGTGAATTCATTTCACACATATTCAGTAATCTAACCGCGGTGATTAGGAAAGAAAATTCCCGGTAAGATATGGTCAACTTTTGATTTGTGCTACAACACCAAGGGCCAAAACCACAGTTACATTGGAAATTTGTTTATCAGCTTACTAATTTTGTTTCGAATTCCCGTAAAACCGCATTGCTACGGGAGAAACGTAACAGAATTTTAAACCGAATTAAGTCTACAATCATATCATTCTTCTCACACCCGGGCTGACATGGTAGCTGGCTCGCTAATAATAAAAATAATATATAATCTCGCCAAATCTCCATTTCGGATTAGTCACTATAACACAAACACAGAATTGCTAGGAAAGATGTCATGTGCAGTAAAGTACCACAGGCTAACTTCCACTTGAGTTTCAAGAAGTTCAACCAATCTCTCAATTTCTATCAGGCCTTTTTGCGTTGCTTTTTAGAATTTGTTCCATTCCTGGAAGGTTTTTTTTGAATTGTTCACATTGCCATAAATGTTCTATGTTTTCTTCATGTAATCCACATCTGTAACTTATATCAAAATATTTTCTTTTGAAATAGCTTTTAAAATGTTGGGATTGGGAACTGGCCCTCACTTCCCGTAACACCAAGTTACTTCTTAAGGTAAATTGTTCCCGCTTAGGTACTTGCTCAGTGTGTCCTACCCTGGGTACCAGACTCACTATATATTTTATATAGTGAGTCTGGTACTCAGGGTAAGTGTGTCTACAAGTTCACCGATGTTTTTGCCAAACCTTGGGGAGACGAGCAAGAGAAAGTTTTTTAAATGAGTGAGGAAATCCACCATCCTGGATTCAAAGAGCATGGGCTCATTTTTTACAACACACTTTCGATATACACACTAGCATTTCACAAGATGAGGTATCAAAGCTTCCCTCAATCTCATCAAAAATCATTATGGGGAAACTACCCTGCTGCATATAAAATTCAACAGACGGTGATTATTATTCTCAAACATAATTATATTGCCTTTACACTCTCTTTTCATAAGAACAATTTTATAAGAACACGAGCTTCAAAATTTGTCAAAAGTTGAAAACAACTTAAGAACAAGCTGAGGCTGAGCTACCGTAAAATGTAACTTTTGAACAATGTTTCATCTCAAAAACGAGGAGTTTTTTGTCATCTTGGGGTGCTTTTCCCGTGAATATTCTAACATGGCGGCAAATGAAGATTTTCTCACGCACTTTGTTTGCAAATGAGGCCTGGATCCCTCCCTAGGGTGAAAAGCTAGCAATCGCACTGCTTAAACCCTACAAATTTAAGAACAAAGTAAGCACAATTCAGCCTCAGATTTTCGAAAAAATTAAGAACAACCAGCCTGAACTTCAATTTACTGCCTTTTATAAACAAACTTGTAATGGTAAATTTTATTAACCTCCCTTAAGGCACCGCAATGGGAAAAACCTTTGCCCCAAATTATGCCAACATATTCATGACAACAATAGAACAACATATCTTGAGCAATGCCCCGATGGGGTAGCCTGCTGCAGACTCTTGAATTGAATTGTACGATGGGGCGTAGTCAAATATTTTGGAAAAGATTTATTGATGACATAATCTTCATCTAGCAAGCACAAGCTTGAAATTCTACAGGAATTTATACAATACACCCTATATAATCCACAAAAAATAGATATAAAAACCATATATAGTCGACGCCCTTCTTAAAGTCACGCATCTGGTTACAGTCAAAGCAAATTTAGACCCAAATATGCAAAGCTGTTCCATCAAATTTTGACCCAAATATGCAAAGCTGTTCCATCAAATTTTGACCCAAATAGCCCCACTTACAATGTCTTAGTTTTCTGGCAAGCGGTGCTTGACTTTTTAGTATGGTTTTTAAATAAGAAACAAATATCAACCAAGGGTATAACCATAGAAATTGGTGTAACACTTAAGGTGAAAGGAAATCAGAATCAATCTAGAAATCTATTCCATCCAGCCCAAGATCACGCTGGCAATTTCTATTTCGTGTCACTGGTAGTCTGTATCATTTTACTTTTGGAGTAGACAAATGACAAGCATAACCTACTTTCTTGTTACAGTTGCATCAGAAAAACAACAAAATAGATCCGTTGGTAGAAAACATTTGCCCTGCAAAAATCATTTTTGCTGTGCGAAAAGGTCCTACTTTCATGGTTGGGGGGGGGGGACTTTCGTGGTGAACCATCCCCCCATACCCCATGTTGAAAATATTAGAGGACCTTTAACCCGCGTTTTTGGTTCTGTTATTCAAACTTGTTACGTTGTTTATACACAGTACCACAAAAATCTCAAAATCAGGTGAAAGTCATATCGCATATCGTATTTCAGTTTTAAGTTGTAAAATGTTACGTTTGAATTCGCATGAAAGTCGCTTGACGCTTTTACCAAATTAGTTTTTTTCGCGAAAGAACTCGCACGGTTAGGGAATTTCCAACACCCCCCCCCCCCACTCAAGTGACGCCCCTGATTGTATACTCAGTTCAATCAAGCCATTCATTATTTAATTATACCAGCTTTTGTTCTTGGTATACTTGTTTTGTCAAACGTGTTTCTTTCATGTTTATTAGTTTATGTAGGTACAAAAGCCTTCTTAATTTCATTCGATAAACCATTGGCATAAGTCCACATTCATATAGTAAGCCTTGATTGGGTGTTGATTTTGGTATTGAAGTGGTTATGGTTATCGCATCTTTTTGAATATTTTCAAGGATTTCTAAAAATATTTGTTGCATATAAGTCCATGTTTCACTTCCTTATAAGATTTCAGAGATAAGTACAGCTTCAATGTTATGCTTATTTCCATGCTTTGTTTTTTGAATGCTGGTTGGCTGATTAAGAATTTGATTTCATTAATGATTGCCTTTGATGAATTTTTCCTGCTATTAATGCATTCCTCTACTGTTCCTCTGCTATTTTTTATATCTCCTAAGTAATTATATTTGCTCACCTCTTTTAGGGTTGCCTCATTAAGCTTTAGTTTCCTACCTTGGCCTTTACTCTGTTTGTTTTTAAAATTCATTATCATTCTTTCACTCTTATCAAGGTTAAAGTTTGGTAGATTTTGTTTTTGAAATTCTTCTGCTATGTTCAATATTTGTTGCATTTTCTGTACTGAAATAGATGCAAACAGAATATCATCTTGACACAATAGAGTGGGATAACCATCCTTCCATATCATATTCCTTGTCTCTTTATAATTATAGGTTCCATTTCTTTATCACATATCGGGGCTGCTAATATTATGCCTTGTTTAAGATTCTCGCCTATTTCAATGTCCTGAGTTATTCCACATGGTGTATTTATTTTTAGATGCTTCTTCAGTGGCGATTCTAGCATTAAAAATCTGGGGGGGGGGGCTAGCCGGGGGCCAAACTTTCAGTTATAGGAGCCAACGCTAGCTATTACTTTGGGAACTAGTAGAATGTAAAGCAGTGGTGTGGTGGCTCGAAATTAGCTAGCCACAAGGCACCGGTTCTTAGATCCCCATAGATAAGTATGTCCGTGGTACAGCTCTATCAAGGCTGTTATCATTATGCCAAATAGTTTTATTAGTGGTGTAAGGAGCAGCTGTGATAGCATTGAGGAGAATAAAGAGAGCAACCCTAACAAAGTGAAAAAACGATTGAACATCTTCTGCAGAAAATATTGAATTTTTAATAGAATCACTGCTTGCCACACAAATAGGTGATCTAGGGTTGATCTTCCCTTTCTCCCACCAGCAGCAGCCACTGAAAAGCCATTTTCTATATTTTTCCTTAGCCTTTTTAGTATCAACTTTTCAAAGATTTTGCTGATATGGATAGTTAGAAATATTCCTCGCCAGTTTTTTAATTGTTTCCTATTACCTTTTCACTTGTATATTGTTTTAACTATTAATCTTTTCCACGTTTTTGGTGTAACCCCCTTTTCAAACGCAATATTTATAACTTTCAAAATTGATGTTTTCAGTTTTTTTCCACAATTCATACAAAATTCATTACACATATTATCTAACCCTGGACTTTTCTTTGTTTTTAAGCTACATATTTAAAACATTTTGGAGTTCCCCTTTCACGAATGTTGCATTCTCTGGGAACCTACTATCACCTTGTTTTCTTCCAATGTTTTTGAACAGGATTGTTTTTACCCTTACATTATTCTTGCATTTATTTTCTGTTACCTACTTGATTATAGTCTCTTGAAATAGCCCCCATGCTCTCTGAGGATTTCAATAGTGTCCATAAGTTCTTTTACATTTTCATTTATAATTGATGCCACTCTTAATTTATGAAACTCAGCACTATTTACTTTTGATTTCTTAATTCTATGCAAATTTGCTTTAAGCTTTTTCAATTTTTCTATATTAGTTTTTTCAATGATTTTTTTGCTAATTGTCTTGATTCATATTTTTGTGAAATCTTTTGTTTAATGAAATCGTAGTAATCTTAATGAGTAAATTAAGTTTATATTGTAAGTTTTTTTCATTTTCTCAAGACCAATTTGTGACCATTTTTAAACAATTTCAAAATGAAGTAAACATAAATGAAAACCTTTTTGAAGCCCTTAAAAAGAGAAAAGGTCTACCACGAAAAACTAAAAACCTGGCTATTTTTGCACTTGAGGCATCAGCTTTCAATTTATGGTTGACATATATTGAGCCAAGTCTGTTTCTTTGATTAGATATAAAGAGCAAGTTAATTGACTCCTACTGTATACAATTTAATGTACTTTCCAACAATAAGCAAGCTGAAGATCGTTTTCACCCACGTAACCTTGGGCATAGCAACTGTTGCTATCCGCCATTACTGTATTCCAAATAGAGGCACCTCAAGTCAAGAACTTGTGTGCCTGCTACCAGAGCAAATGCCAGAGCAAGGTGACATAATGCGAAACAGACTGTTGCAAGTCTCCTAATGGCTGCAGTCAATTCTAAAGAAGGACGTCGCCATAATACCGCAATTTACATTACCGTTCGGGACTCACAGCAAAACCAGCACAAAGCTATTTTTGCAAAAAGTGGTTCTTTATGCACACAACACACTCTCTATGTTAAATGAAGGCCTTTTTAACGAAATGAAATAAATTGATCACCTGGGATAAGTTTGCTCTTAATGTAAGCAAGAAGATCATACTCCTTTAGCATCACCGAGTAATCCATATCTGGAACGTTCAAGTTGCCAAGAATGCCAACACACTCAATAACAAATTCCTCATCGCCGTAGCTCTTTATTATGTTGGCCAAATCTGGTATGTAATTCTTAAAAAGAAAAATACTTTTAACAATAAAACGTTATGGGAAATAAAGGTTATAAAACTACGAAGTTTTAAATACAAGAGTAAAAAAGAGCTATAAGCAGTAAAAATCGTGGATAACGAAGACTTCTTTAGCGAATATCATTTTCCAAACTTCATCTCGAAGTCGGAGTTGTTTTTCCGAATCAAAGAGGGTCATGGATTAAATGTCTTTATAGCGTTCAAATTTCTGAAGGTTTTAGATAATTTTTACTGGTGGCAAAATAATTGTCTATCTTATGTAAAAAAATGAAATTGCTAAAGGCTAGACTAATATTCCTAAAAAGTCTATCAGTTCATATGAAAATAACACATCGCAGCAAAAAAGCTGAACAAATGGCAATACCATGAAATCCTTTTTGGTTGGACCATCGTGCTGTGAAATGTTTCTAATCATCTTCATGAGTAAGGGGTCCTTGAACTTCAAAGCTCTACGCATTAGAAGTCTAAGGCCATTCCCTTCACATATCAGCTGGGCATTTCTTTTATTCGATGCTAAGTTGATGCACAGAGCAATCAGCTCAATGTCCACACGATCTGACTTGCATTCAAGAATCATTTTCATAACCTACAGATAAATAATCAATTACTTTGAATTGACGATAAAATTTTATCAGAAAGTGAGAGCCTCTCCAATTTGCTAGCATTGTTTTGGATGGCATTGTTTCCTGTTTCCAACTACTTCCTGTTTTTTTCTAATAATTACTAGACTGATCGTAATTTTATACACATAAAAAATCAGATTTGCTAGCAAAAGACCTACTGTTAATCAGTTGTTAGTGGTTCATTCAGCGAGGGCAGAAATGCAACATGGTGTCGGCTTAAGGAGGGACAGTAATGCCAATTTAGAACAACACAGCGTCTCATAGAAAGGCTATATTTCCCATTACTTAAACCTAAACGAAAGTGTCCATAAAAAGATTCAAATGGAAAACAGCAACCACAAACAAATTCTGATTATTGGACGCAAATTATTCCTTTCTTTGCGCAGCAAAAACTTTTGAAATTTCACTTTTCTTTTATCTTAAAAAATGGGAGCCGGTGGAAAATTCCGCGCCTGTACAGGATAATTTTTACCCGGGCTCTAACTCAAGTTTACATCACCTAGGGTTCCTAGGCAGCTCCAAAAAAACCTTTTTACCTTTCAAAAGGGCAGAGTTTTCTAAAAAATGTTTTAGACTGCCAACAGTGCCTTGCAGATGTGTGCCTGCAAACATACTAACAACTCAATTTTGCTAATGTTTTAAGGAGGCAAGCCGTTCAGGTTTGGTGTTAATTTACACCTGATAATTATATTGGATAGTTCCCATATCAAGGGTAGTGGAATTCTGTACTAATCAGGACTAAAATAAGAAAGAATAAAAATAAGAAAGAATGAGAATAAAAATAAGAAAGAATAACAAAGAATAAGAAATAACGATAAACACAAGTGAAAAATGCAGAACTCACCACTGGGATGCAATCCGTATAGCTGAAGAAAGACTTGTACCGATCATCTAGACTTATATGATACAGAATGCACAAAACTACGATACAGTGATGCTCTGAAGGTATCAAAGAGACAAGCTTAGGAACAAGTGCATTTTTCACCGCCTTCTCTCTAAGATCAGTGTCAAACGTCAAGTTTAGCAGCAGTCGAAGGGTTATATTCAGCAGATCATCATTTTCATGAGGTATAAGAGCTGCTATCTTCTCGATTATGTTGTTTTCAGCCATTTCGATTTTGTTTTCCTGGAAAATGCTCAATTTCTTAAGAAACGATACGACAAGAATGAGGAGCTCAGAGTTGTCCCGACCAAGCAAGCCCATAAGCAGAGTGACAATCTTCTTATTTTTCATTTTGATTTCAACCTTCGTATCTTCACCTAAATTCAACAGCAGATAAACGGTCACCCTCAAAAGATGCTCCTGCTTCTGCAGTAGGGTTTGGTATTTCTTGTAGCTTCTTTCGTAGTCTTTTTTCGTGGATGCATCTTTCTCAAGTGCATTACGCTTTGCATCAATCTCATCTGTCCATTGTGTGTACTTTTTTAGTTCATAGTCAAGAATGGTCATACACATCGCGCCAGTCTTTTGGCTTAAGACTACAGGGTGGAACTCTGAGAAACTCGAGAAGCAGAAAAACGTGTAAATAATATTTGTTGTCAACTCTGTGCTGACTTTCCATTCTTCTCGCAATATTCGGGCCAATGCACTTACAACGGTTTCTAGAACGAAAATCATCGAATTTTTGAAAAACAATAATGCAGTCACAAAAGGTTGCAATGTAACGTACCAAGTTCTTAAGTGATGTCTTAACAAATATAGGTTTTTGATTTTTTTTAACTTGTATATTATAACCTGAAAGAGCATCGTGAAATATCTCTAAATTTGCAATATCATTAAATATTTTACGAGTTGAGATCTGTCAATATAAGCAAAGGCTCTTTCGCCCACCAAACCTAATAGATTTGGCCTTGGTTCATGCCTCGGTTCATACCGTGAATAGCAGTAATCCGTTAGCAACTGCAAATCTTCCATTTGCCATATCTCTTTCAATTATTGACATAATTAACTGATTCGCATAATTAGAAGTATTTCATTGTGATATTTTATGTTTGGTGATTAAAATTCTAAAAACGGATTTTTATTACGTAGGACTTTATGAAACTTCGACGTTAAACGACGAGAAAAAAAGAAAACATATAATATATATGATGAATAAACCATATTATACGAAAAATATAATATGTTTTATTAATAAATGACTATACTACATTGTTTGGCATTAGCTTTGGATTTTCTTTAGATAAAATGAAAGCTGGTCACTTTATTGGCCGATAAACGAACAAGATCACATCAAAGTAATTATTTTTATTCTCTCTAATTGCTAGATTAAATCACTATTTCAATGTTATTGCTTACACAACATATGAATGTCTTGAAAATGCAATATTATATTGACATTCGAAAGTTGACACTATAAATTGTTGAAACATAGAATTATTTTTATGCAATAAATGAAAACAACCAAAATTCTTGTTAAAGCAAGCTTATAGAAACTGAATCCCTGGTTTTGATTATAGATTCATTGATTGATGATAATGATTGGTTGATTTTCATAATAGTTGATGCTGGTGGTTATAGTCTATGATTGATGTGATAACAATGATGACGGTGATGATGATGATGATTGATTGATGATTATGCTTGATACTTATCATGATTTATGCTGATGATTATTAAAGTAAATGGTAATAATGGGGATTGATGGATATGATAATTGATTTATGCTTACAATCGATGCTGATGTTTATTGATGATGATTACTAATAACTGACCAGTGATTGTTATATCTTAGATGCTAATGATTATAATTAATGTTGAAGATTGCTTAATTATTCATGGTGATAAGTCATTTATTTTTTATGCAATAGTATGAGATGCTTTCAAAATAGTTGTCAAAAGCAGTATTCACCAATTGTCAAAACATGACTCATGGTTCATTCTCATACCTGCAATCTTCTAACTAACACAAACAAAGTCAGTCAATATGAAATGTCAATGTATTAATGGACTGAGAGTTCACAAAGATGACATTGCCAATTCATATAGAAATTATTATATATTTATATAGCATGCCTGGTTAAAATAATATTTAAGTCAGGCTTATCCCACAGTAAAAAATTCACAAATCAAACAATAATTTCACACCCCTCCTACTTTCTGCAAAATATTGACATGGCAAATATTCAATTTCTGCTTAACCGACTTGCTTTCTAAAGATTTTATGGGTAACCTTGTCTTCTTAAACAAAATATTTTAATATAAAGGTATATTTAGCTCATACCTATCAAGGTTTACGTTTCTTGCTTAAGTCCTGTGCAATTGAGGTTACTTTTAAATCTTGGAGTGTACATTCAAAATCTTGTTTTTTCCACTTATGATATGTTTTTTTAATATTTTTGTTTTGAACAACATGAAATATTTTGAATGATAACTCATGAGAGCATGCTAGCTAACCAAAACTTTATTCTGTATATTCTGACAAAATACAAAAATTTGAAACTAAAAGGTGTTAATCAATTGAAGCAATATGTCCAAAGTTTACAGTTTACACCCCGAGAAATGGAAACTTTGGACATATTTCTTTTTGTCAAAATATGGACATTGGACATATTCATATGCACATATTTAATATAAACTTTGGACATATCAACTTTCCATTTCTTGGTGTAAACTGTAAACTTTTTCATTATGCAGTGCTCATACTAAGTCTTGAGCTTTTGTTATTACATTAAGTTTTTCATTCTGTACTTTTTCCAAAAAATAGATAACTAATGACAATTTGAAATGAAAAATACAGTAAGTTATCTCATATTTTTTTAATGTTTTTGACAGTATTTGTTTTCCTTAACAAAATTGATAGGCACATATCAAATAGAGATAAATGCATGTCTTGTCTATATCTTAAATTAACATTCCTTGACACCAACTTGAAGGTATTCAAAAGTGAGGGAATATAATAATGTATCATAAGGTATAATTCAAACAACAGAGCCTTAGTCAAAAAGTCATATAACTAAGAAAACCTCACCATTTTGTGCAATTTCTTCTAAATTATCTGGATTCCTTGCCAGTTGAAGAATGAAAGCAGTTCCTTTTATTTTTTGTGGGGTATCTTCATAAAGTAGCTCTATGTACTCTTCAATGTCATTTAAATTTGCAGATTCATCAAATTCATTGCTGTCCAGAGGATCAATATCTTGGGACTTCTTTTTTGCTGGTGCTAAAGCTTGAAACAATAAAACTCAATTATTAAAGTATTAACTTGCAAATCTATCTAGGTGCATATTAGATTTTGTACAATTTCAAATGAGTGTTTTTTTATGAATTACCTGAAAATTGGTAAGCTAAGAATACAAGGCTTGCTAAGAAGATATTAGCATGGTTTAAGAAAAGCTGCATTTCTATGTTTAAGTAGCTTTAAAAATTGCATGCTCATATTTGATTTGAACTGAAATTGAATGATAAGAGGTGTAAAAATGACAATAATCTACATAAGAGATAATATACAAAAAGAAGATGACTAATTTCTCTATTCTATCATGCTTGCTTAATGCAAGCAAAATTTAACAATTTGCTTAATATATACCTTCACTAGAAGTATCCTTCTGCTTTTCTGATCTCTTTTGCAAATAATACAACAACTGTTCTACTTCAGGCAGTTTACTTGGATGTATCAATTTGCATTTTTCAACTATTTCATTTGCCAAAGCAGCAATATTTGTGTTTGGATTTAAACTTTTTAAGCGTATTCTGTAAAAGTAAAAAAAAATATTTCAAAAAGAGAACTCTTGGCAAAGAGATAACCTTAAAATACTAGTTATATTTATCAACTGATTCAATTTTAGAAAATAAGGTTTTAAAAGTATCAGCTAGAAAATTGCAGCTTTTCGCTGCAAGGTATTAGTAGACAAAAAAATCTTATCTGGTGTATCATGCAAAGAAATGTTAGATAAGTGCAAATGCAAAACCATCTGTGATTGACTGCAAGCCGAAAATTGTCTCATGGCTAGTCAAGAGGGAGCATATGGGGAATAGGTTGAATAATTCTTGGTTTTATGAAAGTTTGGGAAATAAGCTTCGAATATAAAAGGTCAACACTAATGATTTACTGTTGCTGATACACTTTTACAAAACTTTGCAAATAATTCTAACATTATATTATAACACACATATTATAATGTTAAAACGATAAAAGCTTAATGGCCAGTCATATTTGATACAAGGTTTGAATCTACACATGAATTCAAACAGTACTTGACAAAAAATTGATGGCAAACTACTTAGTAAACTGCTTTAGCAGATAATAAAAAAGGCAATTTTTGAAAGTAAGAAATTAACCTAAAATGAAAATTTACAGTAACAGCAAATTTTAAATTAATATGCATTTTGACTTACACTTTTTGCTTTGCCTGTCTCTCCCCAATCATTGCATCTCCAACCCCATCAATGATTGTTGCCTCTAGTTCATAATGAACGACAATGGCATTTTCTGTAGGATGCACATCAATTGATCTGCCTTTAACTCTCCTAAAGGTATCAAATACATATCTTAGATTCAGTTAATGATGGCAAATTGGAAACGGAAGACTACACTGAATGCATCACCTTTACACTTATCAGAAAAAGTCACTGAAAGACATCTTTGCTACTTTCAACAACAGCAACTTTACAAGATACAAGACTAAAACCGAGGAAAAATTTATATGTTTAATGCAATGTCTTGTTAAGCCCAATATTTGTGTTAAGCAAAAAAAAATTCCATACCCGTTTTAAAGGCAAGAATTTTTGCCTTATTAATGAGTGGACATTAAGGCTTTCCCTGCACTGCATAATCACAGCATCACTTAATTTTACATGTCTTCAGACGAACTTTGCAACAGCTTATGTGTTACCTCTTTGAAATTGGACATTAGACGCCTTAAAATTCCTTTGAAGTGCTCATTTAACAGGCCAGAAGTATTCTAAATATTCGGCCTAAAAAATATGTATACAGAATATTTCCTCAAAATCAAGCTCCTAGAATAATCATTGTAAACAACGGTCATCGCCAAGCCAAGAAATAATCTTCGTGTACCTTTTCAAAAATTTAGCATCGTCCTCCATTTCTGGAACTTTGCAGACGAATCAACAAGGTTTTCCTGCGAGAGTATTGCAGGTCAATCTATCTTTCAATGTGATATGAACCCTTGCAAACTCTGATTCTCCATAACAGCATAGCTTGCCTAGGCCATAAATGAAAACTTGAAGAACTGGGAACGAGGACATCCGGGCAACAAGCATCGTGTTACCATGGTAGAGGACAGGTGCAATTGTGTGCTGTTGGGGTACCATAAATCCTCGAATTGGCCCCCCTCGATAAAGCCCCCCTCGAATAAGCCCCCACCCTAGAACTACAAATTGTCAATAAGCCCCCCCCCCTCGAATAAGCCCCCACTGCTACCGTAAATTTTCAAATTTGACCCCTCCATTTGATGATTTTCGCCATCTGAAGTTGCCTATGGCGTTTTATTGAATTACACAACAAATTCATACTTTTGGTAGTAATTAATTAAATAGTCATAAAGAAATTTATACTAAAATAAGCTAGTATAGGTCTTTTAATGATGTCTTCTTAATGTCAACAATAATTCTGTAAACCCCCCTTCCCCCCTCGTATGAGCTCCCCCCCCCTCGAGTAAGCCCTCATCCAAAAATATGAAAAGTAAATAAGCCCCCCCGGGGGGGGGGGTAAAACAAGGATTTGCAGTACTTTAAAAATGTCCAAGTTATGTATAAAATTAGTCGATTTATATAAAAAACAAGACTAAATATTTAACAAGAAATTGAAAAAATATCTTCTAGAAACTACTTGAAGGTCACTGAAGTTTGCAAAATGCTCAGAGGAGTATCAGACGAAAAAGCTTTTAGTATGTTGTAAAATGTTTGGATTTTTCAAAGCCATTTTCAAAATCTGTATCCCAAAAAAATTGTTGACATTCTAAAAGGCGGACAATTCTGATCAGCCGACAAATTTTTTTCCCCGATCGTTTATTGGTCAAAGTCACATAAAAAACTTTCTAAAAAGCAGACATTTAATGAGCGGACACTCTAATTAACGGAAAATATTGTTGGAAAAAATAGTCAATTTGGTTTTTTTTCTTTCCAATTAGCGGACATTATAAAAAATTTAGGAGCCAGTGAGCAAAAAAATTAGATGAATGAATATTTGTTCAAACATTTATTTCAAACACTTTGACACTTGACAATCTAGTTGGCTTTTTACAGCTTCGAGCTTCTCTACAGCCCAGTTTACTAACTTTTTTGTCCATGAAAGTGTTGTGTTACGCCCAATTTGGTTATTTTTTCCTTTTTTAGTGTCTAGGTTCAACCCGATAGCCACTAATTACCCAGACTACACCCAGAGGTGGCGCCAGAAATCTTCCGACAGAGGGGTTGGAGCTTCCGACAGGGGGCTAAAATCACTGAAATATGCAGTTTTCGTACGTTATTTTGTCAAATTTGCTCCGACAATAACCTAAAATTTCCTCCGATGGGGGGGGGGCTAGGTGCTTCCAACGGAGGGGGTGTAGACCCCCGCCCTCCCCTGGCACCACCACTGATTACACCTTTTAAATACAAAACTAGGGTCTATTTTCAACTTTGGGACTTATATTGCAAAACTTTCCAAAAAGCGGACACTTCCAATTAGCGGACACCTTGCTCTGGCCCCGAGGGTGTCCGCTAATTGGAGAGAATAATGTACTCATTTCCTGTTAGATAAACCACGTAACCACATTTGCTTCGAGGCCATCATCCTAATACTTTTGTCGCGTAAGTTCGCTGAAACAAAAAGGGAGACCTTCATTTAGATAGTTAACCTACTTTGAAGGCTCCTCCTTAAACTTCTGCTTCGTTTTGTCGTTTTAATCATGCTATTACTGTTGTTGTGTTTTGTAATTTTTCATAATCAATGCAACAAGTTTTTGCATTGTAGCAGAATTTGAAATAAATCAAATCAAATCAAAATTCTCAACTATTTGAATTTCAGATAACTTTTTTCGGCAGGAATGCAGCACTCGATATGAATAAATTTGTTTATCGCTATTTATATATCTTAAAAGATTCAAGCATCGGTGCAACAGATAATAAACCTTAAATCTGGACAATTTTGTATTTGCAAAGGGGTTGATATTAACCATCCCTACTTGCTACAGCTTAGGCTTCGCCCCTGTGCTAAATACTTACCAATTTTGAGCTTGCACAATTCTTCGCCTGAAAAATGAGCTTCTTCTTCCAACGCCAAACAATTACATTTATTTTGATTAAACTTCCCGAAGACTTATTTTTTATGTCGTTGTTCCCTTAAAATCCACATTTTTTTATTTCTAGTGGACTTGATGGTTTGTATGGTTTAACGTATTTCACACAAAAAATTCGTTTGTAACCAGATTCCGAGGGGCGAACGGTAGAAAACGAAGATACTTCATCCCTGGGAGCGAATTCGATTAATACCCATTCAAGGGTAATCTTTAAGCGATGCAGCGATTCTTACAAAAGCGATTGTGACTTACTGGGTAAATTTACAAATTCCAAATGCTTTGCAAATTTAAACCCCGACCGACAAACTGACACTTTTAAAATTCGCAACAACAAAGTGGAGAGGATACAAACTGCAAAGTAGAAGAACAGTGGTGTAGTGCTATCAAAATAACAAGGGGGGATCTTGCACAAAATGTTGCTAAAACAATAGCAAAAGTAGAAATTTGCTAATTTTCGGCATTAACCAGGGGAGCTCAGCCCCCTGAGCCCCCTAGCATTACATCCCTGCAAAGGAACACTTCCAAGATTTAAGAGTACGATCATTAAGAGCCAACATTGATACATTAAGAAAACCCACATTATACAACAGACATTGAGACATTCTCCTAATACCTTTAGTCAAAAAGAAGTGTCTAGCATGGTAACGTATAGAGGAACCACATTTGAAAAAATCACATTCTCGACTTTTTATAAACGATGGTTACTACAAAAATTGTTTTGATCAACAAGCATTTTAATAGTGTGTATGCACATGAAAATTATTAATCAACTTTCTATTAACAGTTCATAGTCTTCATAGACTGTAATCAGTTTTTAAATCTGGCAACTTTACAGCAATTAAAAATCGCGTTAGAATTATTGACAACATCAAGAAATATATCCCCTTCAAAACTAAAGATATAGCATCAACTGGTGCACATTTGTTGGTTACTTGCGAGCCTGCGCAGCGCTTCTTGGACGGGATCGAGCAGAGCCGCTTCGTTTGAGTCCTTTCGCCTCTCCGAGGGCGACAAGAGCATTGTTCACTGCTGATATAACTTCCTAAAAACAATTTCAATTGAAATTTAGGATTAAATGAAAGGAGAGAGAAAAGCAGTGCATCGATAAGGTTTTTACATCCTTTTATAACTAAATGAATATTTTTTCATTGCGAAGCCGTATGGATTTGTTTCATAAATATGTTTCAATATAATTCCACCAATCAGTCCACGAAAAGAAGCTGTTTGTACTGCAGCGGTAACACGGGAGGTGAACGTAGTAACGGGCTGCTTGGCCGAATAGACACCTGTAAACGCCCAGGTTCACGAAGAGTATTGCTGAAAGTCAATAGTTAAAGAAACGAATTCATGATTGACATCAGCCGCACAGCTTTCATGATTAATAAACATTATCCCTCTTACAAACACTGTCCCGCTCAAAATGCTCGTTTACAGTTTTGTGACCCAGCCCCTTCAAGCTGTAAACATTTCTTTGAAACCAGATACAAGAAATGTACGTCTAGAGATCGAAATAAAAATATTCACTAACCCCATTCGAAGTAAATTTTATCTTTGCTTCACTTAAAACATCTTGAAATTTCTTGCTTCTCAACTCATCTCGGACATCATCTGCAAGGATTTGATACAATAAAAAAAAACTTTGTCAAGAAATGAATATTTAGTACGCAAAGGTTGATGGAAAACAACAACAAAACTGTTGGTTTACGCCTCTAAGGTTTTGCTTGTAGCTTAACATGGCAAAAACAAAACGTCTTTTAATTTGTATTTCAATACAATTTAAACAAAATGACACTGAACTAGCAACGAAAGAAGGGAAAGCTGACAAGGATGCCAATTTTATGTGGACTGGCAAGATACTGCACTTTTAACACGAGTATTTATCGAAAACAAGGCAGCCAAGATGGCGAAAGGTCTTGATTGGGAGACAGTGAAAACTAAATTGAATGAAATAGCCAATCGCTGAACTAATTTTGATGCGGATAAAATTTATCCAGCACAGTGTAAACGGGGTCTGAAACTGCTTCGGTGTCATTTTGAAATCTGAGAGCACGATAGACTTATTTTGATATGAAATTACTTTGCATGGTATGCTGAATTTAACACCGTCCAATTTGGATTTTTTTTCCAAATAGGTAATTGATTTAGGATTTCTACCAAAAAGATTCACTCTGGAAACAAAAGCAGGTTCAGAAGACGTTTTCTATCTGAAGCCCTATCCGAACAGAATGCTTGTGTCTTCTACTTATCACGTCATTCTAACACAGAAATCCCTTTCATGTTATCACCTTCATCATAGCAACATCTCCTTACCGTATTCCCCAAGTTCAGCAACAACAGTACTAAAGTTTTCGACGACGTCTTCATTATCTTTGTTCGCTCTAGCAGTACATAAAAACGAGTGGTAAAAAGGCAGCTGCACATCAGTTCTATTACTTTGTGTTTAAATCGAAGCACGTGCCAACCAATAGGGTAGGGAGAACTCGCCTCTATTCAACCACGAATCACAAAAAATTCCCGGTATCTATACCTGTTAGTTACAGTCTGTTAACGAAAGAACAAAAGCGGGTTGGGTTAAATAATGCCTAACATGATATTCAAGCCTAGACATGCTAGCTGGTATGACAGAAAAAAAGGTGACACTCAGCCTTTGATTGTTAAACATAGTTACTGGGCAAAGTATAGCGGCACCAAAACGAAATAATATCGCAAGCCGAGTCGCAACTTCCATTTGGGTCCCGTTTACACGATACCGGATTCACTTCATACCGGATTCACTTCATACCGGATTCACTTCATATCGGGTTTGTTTCATACCAGATAGGCCTTCTGTTTACACGACAGTAGTTACTCCGCACTGCGGGGTGCAGTCTTTGGTTTCGGGGCCTCTGCGTTGGTAATTAATCCGGTATCGTGTAAACGCAGCCTTGATAGGTAGATATATCATCTCTTCTAAAAGCGGCGGTGACTCGTCTCCAATGTATTGTAAACGAGGCCCTGATCCACACGATTTGCACGTGATCATGCTACGTTCACGTATTATGTTATAAAGACCATAAATTGTCCACGACCACAAGCAGCAGCAGCTTTTATATCAAAATTTCAGTTATGCTTAATAAATAAATCTAAAAACCTTGAAGTCTTTGATGAACAACAAAAGTAGACTTTTACAAAGTAAAATGGTAAGTAAAGACCGATAATGAAAGGGAAATAGAAAACTCACAAATATGCTTGTAACAGTACATCGATTCCCGCAGGACCATCCTCGCATCGAATAAGCTCGTAGGCAGAAGCCTCTGTTTAATTGATAAATAGTGATCTAAGCGAATTGCACTGGAATTCGGTATTAATAAACAGGAGAGTCAAAGTGGAACTAAAATAAACTTTGTACTTCTATGCGGTGAGAAACTAAATCCTTGAAAATAGTGCGATTGGGAAAGAAGCCATAATGAATCAGAAGGTGTTGATTACGAAAGATAACAAAAGAGACGGGCCTAATAAATGTTTAAACGTTTCGAAAATCGAAAAATCGAAATCGAAAAATGGATGTTTCCATTCAGAAAATGTTTAACCGTTACCTTAATGTAAGGCCAACAACTGTTGCAGAAACCGGGACAAAACTAAAATGGGACCTTGGTGACGTTGCTTACACATTTAATAGCAACGAAATACTTTGCTATTGGTATGTCTCACTAAAAACCACTAAAACAAAATTCATATTGACTGAGAAGCATATGCACGTTATTCTTTGGGTTCCCCCTTGATTGGTGGCTCGAAGCTCGAGGCAAATCTGCCCCCTCCCCCTACCCGCTTGTTGTACTTTATAAAAAAACCCTGAAATTGGTTACAGCATTTAAAGATTTAAAACAAGACAAATTTAGGCATACCATCCACTTCGACAATACTGGCCAATGCCATGGCAGCATTTTTGACAACTTTCGGATCCTAAAACGGAAAAAGAATAACATCAAAGCAAGCTATGGATGTCAAAAAGCAAGGATGTATCTTTAAGCAGTCATTAGCTCACAGAGATCTGAGTACACTAGCAGCTGATGTAGGGTCCTTCTCTGATACACAGAAAGCCACCTATTCTTTCATAGAATATTGTCTGTATTCGCCTTCTATGCTGGCACATCTGCTTGGCGTGTTTCGATCAGCGTCTGGAATCAAACTCTTTTTTTGCCAACATTCTACATTTTATGCTGTGATTGGTGTTAGGCATCAAAATTCTTGTATGCAGCCCAAATTTAGCCGAAATGGGTGCAATGACAGAGGACTTTTATCTATCGACGGGAGCTTCTCCAGACAGGAAGGTTTCATCAAGCGTTTAAAGCAATCGACAGATACTAAAATTGACCAATCACTGAGTGTGATTTCACACACACAGTCAATGATTGGCTTATATTGATTGACATAATATTGATGAATATCGATCTGTCGATTGCCTTTAAAGTGGTATTAATTCGTACCATGCACTTTGGCACGGTCACGCCAGGACTTAATTATTTGTTTATCCTGGTTATATATATTTTAAATAACTTCTTACTGCCAGTCATTATGTTTATTGCGTCTGGTTGATCTGCGCACACAAGACGCTGTGATGTCTTTGACAACGGCCATCTATTAAGGGCCTAGGCAACTGAAGTAGAATCCCATTTAGTCTGACCTCGAAGGGGCGGGTAAGGGGGGTTGGCTGTTAGAGGAGAAGGCCCAACGTTGATTGTTATGGACTTATGTGCCATATGATTACAGTACAAAAAAGTGCAATGAAGGTATCACGATTACTTTTTTGTGCGTTTCAAGGGCTTGAACGATCAATGATATAACATTGTTGTCGGACATAATCTCAATATTCTCATCTGAAACGATAAAATATCATTATCAGAAAATAACAATTACGTAACAAATTAAAAGTATATTATTACAAATGAAAAAATCAAATAAGATATATTGGAGAATATCATTTTACAATATTTGCCAACTAATTTTATATGGTTGGAATCACAATTCTATGAAAATTTGCCTCCTACAAACTAGGGTATTAAATATGCAGCACAGGTGCTAAGAGACTGGGTTCACATGACCAAATTAATCGAAAATAAAATAAGGACTAATATAAAACATAAGATATAGATAAAGCTATCCATTTCTTCCTTGGTTTTTGACGATTTAATATTGTTAAAAAGTAACTATATCCAATGTAAGATCGACAGTCTTATCAAAAGGCCCCAATTACATATTATGCTAGCATGCCCTTTTTCTCGTTACTTCTACTTAACATACTTCATACCTTCCATTGAAAGTGACCACAAAGCAGAACAGGCGGCTTCGATAACGCCAGACTGCTCAGCGTGCTTTTCAAAGACGTTGATAACATCTTGCAGGCCTTTCTCTTCAGTAACAATCTTTGCATTCCCTTCGTTAACCGATAAACTCCAAAGAGCTCCACAACAGTTCCCCGCTATTGCTGAGCTGTTTGGAAATGCCCTAAGAGCGGCTAAGATGTCTTGTACTCCTCCAAGTTTGCCAATGACTTCAGCAGCAACCTCTTTTGGAAAAAAGGAATTGAAAATATCAAAACTACAAAAGATAACAAAGACGGGTGCAAAAAAGTGGTCAACGGTGCTTACTGGTAGAGATGTACACGCTTGATTAATATAACAGAACAGTTCTCACTTAACGCGATCACCAGACTTCTAAAATGCCAAAGTATATATAATAATTCAAAATATAAACATTCAAAAAGTTCTTAGACTAAGGGGAAATTTTATTAACTTATCATACTATATCTAGCAAAGTATATATATCACACTATATCATACTATTATAATACTATACCTATTAATTTCATCACCTTTTCTATCTTTCCGGTATATTCACATTTATGATTTCTTAAAAAATATCTATTCGCTGGGTTTTCAAGACAATATCAGAATTGACCTATTTCAGTTGGTATCATGTTCAATGTATAGAAAAATGAAGATTATGTGAACCATACAGAGATTTTCTCAAGATAGAAAAAACTACCAACATTTGGAACAGTTTAGCAATCTAAAAATGGTTTGCCAAAATAAGATTAGATAAACAATGCATCCACTGAATCTAATGGTTATTTCTCTGCTGTATGATGAGAGCACATGGCTTTTGTACTACATCGATTGAGACATTTCCCACGAAACAACGAATCTCTCAATTAAAGGTAAATCTAAAGATGGCAGCAATGTGTAGTGCATTATCGTTCCCTCTATTACGAATCCTAACCGCTTTTTTTCTTTTAAAAATATTAATGGCTTATTCTTTACAAACTTGTGATAGAGGTGGAGTTTAGCTTATTAAGTAAGGAAATCCAGCCATCTAGGAACAATTTTGGTTTACTATAGAAAAGGAAAAAGGTTATGGAAAACGCTTTTTCTTGTGACTTGTATAACATTTGTTTAGACTATCAACACTGTTCTAATAGAAAGGAGGGCGAAAGTAGTATTATTCAGGAAAAGAAATGACAAATTGAAAAACACAACGCAAATTGCGTGGTGTTCCATGCAATTTTAATAGGCATATACAGAGTTTGATGTAAGTAGTTGTCTGTTTCTCATTTCGAACTTTGTCTCTGTTGAGTCTAATTTAAAAAAGGAATAACAGCGTCTTCCGAATTAATTCTTAAAAAATGTTGAGGCAATCTGAGTTTGTACAATGAATAGTTGTGCAAATAACATGTTATCATATGAGAAGAAATTCATGAGAACAAGTACTATACCATCTGCTGACAAAGTCATCAGTAGCTGTGTGGCAGCGACCTGAAGGTCCAGTGATCCAGCATGGGACTGTAAAGAGTAATACAGTTGTCTAGTCCCATGGAGAAATAAACATAAGAATTATCATGCACATCTGGGAGGAAACCATAAAGCTATATATAGATTTTAATAGGGTATGATTCATGCTTGTCAATATGCAGGTGCTTCATGTAACATACATGGATATACAAACAAGAGTGCAGCTGACTCCGAAGCATGCAGCTATCTATGTTCGTGTTGCTACAGAAGCAACAAATAGGATGGCAGTAGGCCAGAGGAATTTATTTGTTACAGTCGAAACATACAATTCTTCTTACAGATAAATAGCAAACTGAAGAATTCCATTAAAAAGTTGGCTACACTGATTTGAACTACATTTAAACTAAACTTAACTACATCTAGAAAATATCAACACTGTTCATTAAATCTGTTCTCTTTCCCCTTTAATAATGCTGACTTACTTATTCAAGATGCTTGACAACATATTCAGTGCGGTTTTAACTGGCAACAATATAAGTTTGAAAAAATTTTAATGGAAAGTAGAAACACGCGATCATATTCCGTATGGGTGTTAAAAAAAGATTTGCAAGTATTTAGAGTGCAATAGCACGCAAGCACTAGAATAGCTTCAGTGAACACTCACGAATGCGAACACTCATGCAAAGAATGCCACGAAAATGACAAGAAGTCATAAAAATTGTAGTGTTACCTTCATTGCTAATGCCACTGGTGATACTAGATCTTTCGTATACATGACGTCACCTTCGTCAGCTGAATTACATTAAAATAGAAAGAATTATTATCTTTATCTCAAGATGAGCTTGTAAATTTGACAAATATTGTTCTTTCAGGAAATAATGCTTAAGAAACATAAATGAATTAAAGTTTATATGCATGAATAATTTAAACAATAAAATGGTAAGAGTCCAATGCAAGAATGTGATACATAAACATACATACATACATACATAAACATAAAAAATACAATGACAATCATAGCGCATTTGGTTAGATGTCAGATATGCATGTGTGCCAATAAGCATCTTTATAGACTTAAAAACGTAGCGCACTGAGATATGAAAGGTTTATGACTACATAGCTGTGCTGCTTTAGGGGATCTTAGACAAGACAAAGAATTTTTTTTAAAATCAAAAAACTCTGTATCTGGTAACTAATAACAATATACTTTAGATGGGGTTTAGAGACAGGAAAATCTACCCTAACTGACTTTGACTAAAGGCCGGTACCGAGAATAATCCAGGCATATTTTCCTTGTTTTGAAATAATCGCTGGGATAAAACAAATATATTTTTGGAATATTACTATTCGAGTATGTTTGTGGTTTGTTTCCTGAAACAAAGATTTGTGTTGTTGTTTAGTTTGCTGTCAGATTTAACTACAATGAAGATTATGAACAACTTTCAATCAATAAAGAAAAAAAGGTTTATGAATGAAAAGGCAGTATAAACCAACCAGTTGTGGCGAGTGAGGCCAGCAACAAGCAGCCTTTGATTTGCACCTTCAAAGTTGCTGCATGTGCTTTTAGGATTTCAGCTATCAGTTTCTTTCCTCCTGAAGTGATGGATTTTCCTGAAAAATATCGACTTCTGTTTAATAAAGACGAATAACAAGGATTCATAAATAGTTGAAATTACAACGCATAAGAGAAAGTAAGACATTTAATTTGCACAAGAGCTATCTTTGTACATAGAGCTAATAAATATTCTAACATGCACGAAATACGTTTTCAAACAATCTCAATACGGTACGATAGGTCTTGGGCCAATCTACGACTTTGTCACAACTTCCTAAAACATTGCAGCAATTGGCTGAAAGATTTGTATCCGCAAAAGGGCGATTTTCTTTATTATCATTTTCTACGCCCTATGTCTTTGTATTTATAAGACGAACGCAAAAAACACCAACACCTTAAATCCTCTACCCTTAGTGCATCTATCACGACCCCCGTTCGTACTGGAATACAGCTTTACTGAGGTTGCTTTTGAAAATCTTTTTTGGTATCAAGATTTAAGAAGCTTAAAAGGAAAACTTCCAATTGAAATAGCCAAAACTGATAATACATGGATAGAAGAAATTAAATGACCCTTTCGTACAATTGACTTCGCAGAGAAACATACTGTGGCAGCTGTAACTTTAAGTCAAAATATTATCATATAACTTATTCCAAGACTTTCGAAATGATAGCAACGCAAGTAAACACTCGAGTAAATATAAACATAAAAATCATTCATACCCACCTTTGTTTACAAAATCGATTAATACGTTCAAAGCATCTTCCTAGACAGGATAAAATTTTTTGGAATTTTGAAGGAAGCTTTTAACAAGGAGAATTTCTAAAGGTAGTAAAGGCTTCATCTCAATTATTTTGAAAAACGTAACAGTTGCCGACTTTGCTTTAAAAATACGACGTCATCTTACTGCGTCCGTAAAGTGAGGCAATAGCGAAAAAGAGGCTTATGTAGTAAGTCTAATTTCAACTGATTCCATCGCATATTGGGTCCATATAAAATTTTTGGAAAGCACTTAGTTAGATGTATTCACAAAAGGTAACCGCACTGAAAATTCTAAACACTCTAGGTACAGATGTTTGTGTTGAGGTATACCTGACATTGTGGATTCCCTTTGTTATCTTTCATGTAAGCTAAAACAAGATACAATTAAGATACAATGAAATGCCTAAAATTAATTGATAAAATATGCCTTTGGCACCCCAATACTTCAAGATAGCCAAGAAAAGCGGAAACAAAGCAAACTTAAGTACTTTTCATCAATTTTCTCTCTCACATTACTTTCGATTCGACGTTTAAACTTTTGCGTAGTGTCGGACTGAAATCTTCAAACTAATAAATACAATTTAGAGAGGAAGAAAAGTCCTAAGGCGTGATTGAATCAGATATTGCTACAATCGTTTGGTTCTTTTTCAGACCAAAGCTGAAATACTGGAAACGTTTCATATCACTTAAAGAGGAGCCGGTAATCCCGAAATAATTTTATATATATTCTTAAGTTAGTATAACTACAGCTGCATATTGTAAGCTCATCAGTATTAGGTTATGTATTAGCATTAGTATTAGGTTACTTTTTAAAAGGCTAAGGAAAATAAAATCAGGTTTCAAAGTTCAGTTAATAAGTTACTTACGAAGGCAGTTCAAAATCAGAATTCATTTATAAGCTAAAGGTCACAGAATATGAGAAAGAATCACACTGCTACCTCCGTTTCAACGATGCAAGAAACAATTCACTAACAGGCCTACATTAATCATTGAGCTACTTAGTTCAATTCTCAGACTATATCAAGTGCACAAATGTCTGGAAAAGATGTTTTGGAAAACAAATTTCGGAGACTTTGCGTTTGCGACTTAGAGTAACCAGCCAAGTAAGTTTTCACAGAAAGCATTAATACTTCCTTTTTTGCTCCTTCATTTGACACAGTTGCAGATCAAACATAAATTTCTAGAAGCAATTTTTCTGACACATGGGAAGGAATAGTTTCATGTCTTGATCGAATATTATTCTATACATGGGTGTATAACAAATTCTTCTGCAATACTGCAGTAAATGTTGATAGTAGATAGCCTCGCGTACATAAGACTCTCTTGAAAATACAAGAAAGCGAGAAGAAATCTCCATTTCATGGACCACTTGAAAATTCGAAGATGCGAAAAAGAAATCCCAGTCTGGGTGCCAAAATTCCAAAATAAATAATATATTGCAGGGTCGTTCTAGATTGTAGTAATATTTCAAGCAGCAACTCAAAACGGTTTTCTGTTCATCAAGTATAAAAGGCTGGGTGAAGGTAAGGTATCAGCTATATTTCGATTGCTTTTGCGAAACGTGGAACGAAATTAGCCGACGGGAACATAGGCATCTTTGGATCTCCTCGATACGATCAAAATTTTAAAAAAATTGGGAAAAAAGTAAATAACGAATCGTACCTAAAACGGCTTCAACCCCTTTTTCCTTAGGTACTTTTGGTACATCTGGAGATAAAGAATAAAACACATGACCTTAATTGATGGAAATAAGATAAAACAACAAAGATTTGTTTAGCATTTCAAAAGAGGTGCCACCTAAAAAGATGCGAGAGAAGAATGAGATCACTAACCAGTTTTAATTAGCTTTGGACCCACGCACTTTTTATTAATTTTAACCAAGGTGAATGAAGATAAAGACATTAACAAGTCAAGTTTAGCCATTTTTAACTAGTTTTAACCACAAGTCCAGCACTGGTTGTGATTACCATTTCTCTCAAGCCACGGGAGAAACTGGCTTAATATCGTCCAACACATTTGTCAGATAAGATGCATAAATTGCTCCTTTTGAAAATGCTTACGTTTTTGGCCCATTTATACGCACAAGACGTTAGACAAGGGCTACATGCAAAGAAAGACATAAACGGTGTTTCCATTAGCTCTATTACTTTTCAATGCAAGTAAGCAAAAAGACTTCCTTTACCAAAATACAATCATAACAAAATCGATCTGTTCTTTAAACTCCACTGTAGAAAGGCGCTTATGAAAAGGCAAGCAACAAAAATAATGAAAGTACCTTATCATTGCCCGTCTAGATTTTTAAATTAATGGTGCAGCATATTTCAAAACACAATTTCAAATAAAATTTTTTTGTCCATTCCCCATTCATCCATTTATTTACTCCTTGACTTGGCTACCCCCAATTTATCATTCCAAGTTGGTTAGCTGTGTTTAAACCATTTATATGTCATGTTTTATTGTTTTCACGTAAATACAAGTAGCTTGCTTCAAACATATCAGATCTTTTAAGGCTGATTTTAGCTTTTAAAGGTAAGCGACATGTCACTTTGAATAACTGCAATTAACTGGGGCTACAGAATCAGGAGTACTATATAATCTTATTTAATATGGCACGTATAGCATAATATACATTCAAACTTTTTCAGGATCAACAATTTTACAGTATCACTAAAGTAAGTAGAGAAATATTTCTATATCGTAAATGAAAAAGAATGTCACTCACCTTTTCCAGTGTCTAAAGAATAATGAAAAAAAAAAGAAATCAATACTGATAATCGAGATGAAAATTACAAAGATCAAAAGTTCCACAAAAATTATCAAACAGTAACGCTCAATATATATATGCATGAATTTTAGACAGAAGAAATGGCTTTGGAAATTTTTTTCATACAAATTAAGGAACATAGAAAACGCTGGGCTATATCAGTCAGTTCACTATTGTTCTAATTTACTATACACGATGGCAATAGAATTGCTAGAAGATGTTACTCTTATATCAAAAGACAATTCACAAAATATAATCAAAATAGGGCGGCAAGTCAATGATTATGAAAACAGTTAAAATGTTAACTGATTGCATCATAAAGGATTTGGCGCCACCCAGAAGCACCTTTCCAGGGTTTAATGGCCCCTAGTTTGTCAGCAAAGGTCCGTGTATGTTTGCAGAAATATTTCTATTTCTGTGCGGACAATCCTGGCCATTCTTTTGAGGAAATCACCGAAACACGTGCCAGGTCGCATGCATTTACAGTCCAACGTCAAAAGCCACTACCACCCCTCGCATCGTACTTTACGTACATGGCGAGTGCCTACTTTAATAACAGACATACCAACAGGGAACAGGGGGTAGGGGAGAAAATATCGAGACAGGATGTTCAGATTGTTGGGATAAGAATAGACCAAGCCACTCTGGGAAACTGGGACCAGGTCTGGACCTGCTAAGACTTTTACCTGGCAAAAGTATGCCTATGTATTCTTTAGTCTTTATACATTAAAAATATTTCAATGTACTTCGAAAGATACCCCTTTTGAATCTTTCTAGCCCCCATCAAAGACTCTGACATTTGAGAATACAAAGAGAAAAAAGAAAAAAGAAGAGAAAAGGGAACTTACTTTCATCAGTAGCTGGCGACAGACCCATCAAAGATGAACCATAAAGTTTTAGACACTCTTGCACATATGGTAAGTCCACAAGCTCTCTTCAAAGTAAAACAATATTTGAGATTAGAGATGAAAATTTGAAACTCTTCCTAAAATGGCTGTAGGGAAAACATCGGTGTCAGAAAAAACATTGAAGCTTACAATAGGGTCGATGAACTATAAACATTAAAAAATCATGCAAAAACTGTTAACGGTTCTTTTTATCCAGTCAAGTAAGGCATCGTTTTCAGGAAGCCTCGCACGCAACAATGTTTTTTTACAAACGTTTGTATGTATGGCGGGCGGTAGAATTGGTACTATAGGTAAAACCCCCTTTATAGATCCCACGACAGAGAATTCTTGAGCCCAATCTCCAGTGAGAAAAAAATCAGCGAAATGCGAAAAGTTCGTGCGAAATACGTCTTGGGCATGCGCAGTTATCTTTTGCTGGGATTTCTCGCGAAGAATTTCTCTGCGAAAAAAAGGTAAAACGAGTTTAAAACTTTTTTCGCTTTTCGCTTTTCGCAAAATCCTTCAACAGCCAATCATATTTCGTATCCCTTTGTCACGCTTCCAAACTCTATATTCCAATGTCGTGAGGTCAACAAAAGCATTCAAAGGAATTTTTTCGCGTGAAGTATTTCGCAGCGAAATTTCGCAATACTTTTTCTAACTGGAGATTGGGCTTTAGTAAAAAAGGTGCAATAAAGTCGTTGATTAAAACTTTCTTTTTCTTTTTACAGGCAAAATATATTTGTGAAAGCTGTCTGTGACTAACATGATATCCTCTTACTCAATTTTCGGGAGTTTCATTTAGCAACGGGACAGGAAAAGCCTCTTTGTGGCATTGATATTAATTTGGTTTGTGGCACAGGCTAGTCGAAGCCAAGCATCGTCAAATAAAGGGATTGGAAAAGTTATTGAAGTGTGTACTTGATGGGACACCCTTTTGTCTCTTTTTAAAACACATGCAATCCTAGAGCTCATTCTAACTGGATTTTCACATGATTCTATTTATTCACGCAGATTCGGGTCTATTTGCCCTGACTACCCAAACCCCCCATTCTGAATTTATAGAAATGTTAAGAGAATGAGACAAAATATTTCAAAAACAATATCGCAGCACAGAAGGCCTTTCTGTTTCTGACACTGTCGGAGAACTGGTCTCTTTGGCCTTGTAGTAATTACGATGTCACAAGGTGCCTACATCAAATGTCCTCACAAGCAATGTATATGACATCAATGCTATATTATAGAGCCCGCCCATAGGAGCTACCTTGAATCAAGTTACCTGTCAATCAATAATCAAGAAAAAGTTAGTCATCTACATATCTATATCTATAGTTATTGACTCACTGCGCCGTTGGCCTTTGCTGAAAATTTCTTCGGAGCATAGTGCGAATAACTTGACAGAGATCAGGAGAATATGCCTACAAGAAAAAATCAGATTCGACCAAATACATCTCAATGAATTCAATATTATACAATATAATACATAACAATTCAAAATTATACAAAATAATTATATATGATAAAATATATATATGATAATAAAAAGCAGTTACCTTTGCAACAGTCTCGAGAACATCTTCCAGTACTTGCGGTGACTGTTTGATCTGGAAAAGTGTGCCTCCTATTTGAGCGGCCTAAAATTCAGATGAACAGGCGATGACATCGAGATCAAAGCAACGAGATAGATACAGAGCTTGAAGTTCATTTAATCTTCAATTCAAATTAATTTTTTTCGTATAAAAAATATGCAAAATGGCAATACTATAAAAATACTGTAACACACACGACCTAAGAAAAGAATAGACTTATCTAGGGTGAGTCATTTACAAAATGGCATAATTAAAAACAAAGCAGTAAAGATGCTAACAGAAACAAGATTGGCTACATACTTTTTAATCTGAAAGAAGGTAATATAGCATGGGGATTACGTTTAATTTTTCTCTGATTTCATAACACTTATATTTTGACAACATTTGCTTTCTCGGGGATTGGGTAAAATTTCTTTCTTTTTTAAATAACTACCTTTAACAATAATTTTATTATTTTCTATTTTATATCTGGAAGCAAAGACATGGAAATATCAGGTCATTGCGTAATAATGTATCCGCTAATGAGCACAGGAGAGTAACATTTCATGACGCAGTTATGAAATACCCAATACAAAATACAAAATGAATATCCTTCAAACTTTTCAAGTGCTGCTGCTCGACTGCATCCTCAAGCCCAACATCAATATTATTCAATATTATCATTGTCAGTAATTTAAGTATTAATTATCATCCTTACCAAAACCTTACTGGATATCAAATTCATTAAGGTTTAAAATGTTATAATTAGCACCCTTTTACATTGAAAATTTTCACAATCAGTAGGAAATTCTTCAAAGTGACGAGAGGGCAAACCAATAAGAATAAAAGTTCTTGTAATGTAGTGAATTGCTGTAAAAATTCAAAATATCAAGTAGTTGATATAATCAATAAAAGAATTGTGGTCAACTGGCTGTTTTCCAAGTATGGCAGCCTAATACGGTGGGTTATTCAAGAGGGGTTAAAAGGATTGTGAATAAAAATGAGTAAAAAATGAAATGGGCAAAGAAGCTTCTAAACTGAATTTCACGAAGATACACACAAATGCTGTAATGCAAAAAAATGTTGTAATCGTTGGGCTGCTTTAATAGGGAGGCTAATCCAAAATGGAACCTATTCAAAAGGAGATTAATTCAAAATGGAACCTATTCAAAACTCAATGCTTGAAGGTAGGGATTATTCGGGAAGTTATAAAAGTGTTTTGAAAAGGAATTTCAAATGAAGAAACAGTGGTCATCATTAATAATAACCAAGGTGAAATCATAAGAAATTGAAAACAAACATCAGTGTTCAGAAAATCAGTAATTGAGATTTTCAAAGGAATTTGAAAAACTATTCTTAAAAAGCCTAGCAAATATGGATAAGAGATGATTCATACTCACATCCATAAAACCACAAGTCGCCATTTCCAGGAGAATACATCCTAAGCTCCAGATATCTGTTCTTTCATCATATCTAATCTTTTTGTTAAGCTTACAACACATAACAAAGCAAATAATGATGATTTCAAAAGCAGAAATGTTCACCATTTTGTTATTTCACATGATAACGATAAAACAAAACGACCAAAAAGATTTTAAATAACAGTAGAATCGAAAAGATAAGCATGAATCTGAAGATATAAAAAAGGATCGAAAATTGTCAAAAATAGTAACTTGCAAATATATCCAGATTAAGCTACGGTTGGTAGTTGGGAACGGAATGTCGTTTTGATCACCAAAGCTCTTTTAATGCAAGTCTAATTTTTCGTATAGAATGAGATGTTTTCAAAATATTAAGATGCTTTGGAAAAGATACGGTCTCTCCAGCACTTCTGGTGCCATCCAGTTCATGCTACCTATGAAATCAAGTGATTATTCTTGAAGCTAAGTTAATCTCGGACACGATATTAACCAGAAAGGAAGAAATCTACTAGAGTAAATGGGATTGAATGAAGGTAAAATATTCGAAAAAGAGGACAGTTTCTTGCCATATGCTAGATACAACATAACTGCTTTTTATTCTAAATTTTGACTTAATGTATGCAGCTTTTAAAACATGTTAGTCCTTATGGACCAGACGATTTTATGTCTTGTCCAACCATAAATGGTACAATTTGTGGTATTTGCTACCTCTAGTATGCAGAAATTGTTACCAAAATCTCCTTACAAAAATTGTACAAAGTCATAAAAAAAATAAAACTCATCAGTTGCTAACAAATACCCACCAACAGTTGTTCTGGTTCGCGTCCTTGCATCGCCCATGATTGTTGCAACCCCAAAGTCCCCTAGAGCAAAAATAATTGTACAATTATATGAAATTGGCTGTTTTGGGCTGCACCATATTATCTGCTAGAGATGTTCACGCCAACAAAAACAAGGCACTTGAATAATTGGAGATTACAAACAGCATAAATGTTACGATTGCAACTTGCACTGAAAATAAAAAGTTGGCAAAGGGTAAAAACAAGATATAGCAATTACCAAAATACATATACTGCACAGAACAGCAAGGCCTTGACAATGGTATCATACTTTTGCTGCATTTTAGCATACTTTTGTGCAGCAAGATTATATTTCAAACAAAGGTTTATTGATAAGATGGCATCAAGAGAAGGCGATAATAAAAAATTGGGGGCGCAACAGGCTTAGACATAAAGGGTTCATCTATGATGTATTGGGGGATAATCTGCATGCCTCTGCATCGTCAGTTTTCATATGCACTGTTGAGTTCTGTTGTCGATTCCAAATTCATACAGAAAACATCTGCGAATAAGAGTCTATAGTATTATCTGTTAGCCGGAATAGGTTCAAGGATTATGGGCACCGCATGGAATTTACGTTTCAAATGTGGTCCTAGGTTGAATCCAAGGTTTGTTTGATTCATTGTGTACATTCAAGTATTTTTAAAGTTACTGTATGTATAATTGTGTGATGGTGCGATGATTTGAAAAAGACAGAGTTTTAAATTTATATTGTTCTGTAAACAAAACTATTTCCAAGTTTTAATACAGATTTTATTTTTCAAAAGATGATGGAATGCTTCTAACTTTCAACCTGTTAGTTCTTAGAAAACATGCTTCAAATAAGCGGGTAATTAAGCATTTCAAAAGCAGCACGACGACAGGCTTTTGTTCTGATGGATTTCTTAAAACTTAATTGCTCCACGTCAATAAAAAACATGAAAAAGCTTCTCATACCTATTGATATTGATAGATTATCCGCCATGAAAATATTGCTAGGCTTCAAATCCCTACAAAAGCAGACATAGACATAATAACACTGAAATTACAGACAACGATATAACTTTTGCCAGGACATACAGTGCTATCTAAAGATCTATCCAGATTTCAACCTGGCAAAATAAGCACATATTATGAGACTTAATAGTTTCAAGTTAGAATTCCCAAAGCATTGCAATCTCACAATTCATACCAACACGGCTCTGATCACGAATTTGACATTCACGCTTTCCCAATACAACGTCAGAAAGAGCCAACGAGTTGTATTGCAATGAAAGAGAAATACCTGTGGATCATTCCCTTTTTGTGGACAAACACCATGGCTTCTAGCATCTGCCCAAACCACTTCTTTAATATCTACAGATAAAGGTAAAAAATAGCACTTGAAAAAGATGCGGCAATAACTAATGCATATCCTCCCATGCTTGCTTATAGCTCTTCACTTATGAATAAAGTCTTTGGTTGACAGCTCTGACCCTGCCCAACCAGCAGCTTAACCCTGAGAAAAGACCAGATTTGTTCCTTACTCCTCAAGACTTGCCAACGCTTTGGAGATAGTGGTAGCCTATACGTATTTGACCATAGTTCTCCTGAAGAGTTTAAACTTTCACTTTCCTTTTACAAAATAAAACCGTTCGTTTACAATAACTATAACTTCTCGAGGTTTTATCAGCAAATATTGACCCATCGCCCTTAGGTAAAGGTTTAGCTTTCGACAATATAATTCCCTTTATAAATAGGAAAAAAAGTTAGTTGTCGGTAATTTCCAAAACTTCAAAAACCAAAGACTTTACTAAACACTTTTGCCACAGAAAAGTTGTCGACTTTGTAAACAGTAGCCTGGTTCATTTCAACAAATATAAGCATTCAGTGACAGACTTAGAGGTCCAAAATGGGAATCAGGTATCTATTAGATCAGTAGAAATAGAAAAATAGCCAAAGTATTTAGTAGATGGAAGATTAAGCTTGTTTTTGCCTTCAGGTAAGATTGTGAAATTGTCATGAATGGAAATCTAAGAACTGAACGTTTTTAAAGTCGACCTCTAAAAAAATTCCTACTTGCACCATTGCTGCTCAAAGAAAAACTAAAATCATTGTTAGAAGATCCAGCATATAACTGAAATATTCTTTGAAAAATAATAAATTCAATTTATTTGACTGCAATTGTTCCCAGAAAAGCAATTGGCAGACTTGCTTTTGACATAATCTATATATATATGTGAAAAACATTTCATATATAATGACATTTCTAGTCAGTGTGAACTAAACCAACCAATGTTGGTTCATTGGAGCTATGGAGAAAATTCATCATCGAACAAACTTAATTGAGACGAGACATTTTTCAGATCATGAAGGTACAGAACTAATTACCACTTCTTCTATTGCCTCCGCCTTAGCCCGTTTCTGCTTTAGTGCTCTGTCCAGATCACCTGCAATGATATTATCATCACTTTGGTAATATGACGTCATACTACTTGTGTATTAATATTGCTACTGAGACCTAAAATGACTAGCAAAAATGCTTAAGTTCAAAAATCGAATTTTCTAGGGGTAACATTTCTTTTCTAATAATTGCCTAAAACATTTTCAGAAAAATAATTTCAGAAGTTTATATCTCCACAGCTTCATTCTATGGAGATATATGTTTCTTATCTCCACAGCTTCGTTCAATGGTGCAAATTGGGTAACTGCTCTGAAACGGAGACTTAGCTTCAATTGTAATTATTCTTGTAAAAACAATTGAATAACATAGCAATACAGTCTTTGAGTACTTGACATAGAGAAATTACATCTAAATCTTTATCTTACACACCTCTAACTGATAAAACTCCAACTGGAAAAAGTCAATATAAAATCCCTCCAAAAGTTGCAAATGCAAAGTTTGTTTCACCACAACCTACTTAGTATGGATATTTTTCAATGGTTCAGGTTTTGAGGTGAAGAAGGCATATTAAAAACATGCAACAAAAAATATGACTTTTAAGTTCTATAATAAGTTGAACTTACCTAATTTATAGTAATCCATCACAATGCACACAAACATGGCTGATTCCTTTAGAAAATAAAAATTGTAACCATTTTTCAAATATGTTCTTTACAAAAATGACCAAATTGGAAAATATTAACATGTTGACATTGCATCAAAAATGAATGAGCTGAAGCTTGCAGGTCAGATTGCAATCTATTCTATATATGTGCTGCATATTCCCACTAAAGTTTTGATAATAAACAAATCTCTACTAACAAAATGCTTTAATCACTAAAACAAATTTGCAAAAAACTACTTGAAAGAGACATGACAAGATTTTTTCCAAGAGTATGTTTTTTCATGACATTTTCTTCCATGTTAACAATTTCTTAATTCACACCTTTGATTTACTGGCAGTTGAATCATGTTGAACAAATTGACTTATTTTCCCAGGCCTTCAAACCCTACATTTACTACAAGAATTTAAACAGAATTACACAAACTTGATAGAAAAATGTGAACAATTTTTTAGCCACACAGAACTTGAAAATGGCTTTTAAAAAAGCAAACCTTTCACAATGTATCGACTAAAGGTTTTCTCGTCTGACACCCCTCAGAGCATAAAACATCAGAATAAGGGTCCGAAAGAACATGATGAAAAATATATACCCAGTTGTGGATCAAAATAGGCCAATCAGAAAAACGCAAGCACAAGATCGGCATAGTTGACCAATCAGTGGCCTAAAGAAAAATTATTATTGGAGTCCAAGAGAGAAAACGAACTTCTTCTGTCTACAAAATGGCAGCTTTTTCGTTTGTATGTAGATCAATTCCAAAATTGCTAGATGGAAGGACGGCAGGGCTCTGCCAATTATCCGAAACATGTTGTCACTATAAAGTTATGCACAACCTGGGTTGTCTAAAAGTTATTGGCTGATGGCAGAATCATTTGTTTTAACAGTGTTTCTAGACCTACAAGATCGAGGAGGCTGTTCTCTTTGAAGGGCAGTTTTGTTTCTTATGTTCATTTCAATGGTAACAATAATACTTGGTCAAGATTCAAGGAAGACTTTCAAAAGGATCATAGCTAACCTCCTTATCCCAAGTAACAAAAAACTCTTTATACCCACAGATATATGGGTGTCTGAGCTCCTTCAGTGCCAGGGCCTATAAAAATAGAATTGTAAGATTACAAAAATCTGTTATTGAATTAGAAACAAATAAATTATACATCAAATTCAAAAAAAGATTTGATTGTTATAAGAAATGATTAGACTATTTCCCATAATACTAAAAAAATTGGCTTTCTGGCCTTCCCTTTAAAAATTGGCTTATCATTTTCAAGATACTTTAAATTTAAAATACATCAATGACATCATTGGAAAAGTCGATTTTTAATAAGAATTGCAGGCCTGGCTGTTTGTATTTTCATAGGTGAGCTGTGAATCGCTCCCCTCATTTGCTGAGGCAAGCTAAATCAGTAACACATAGAATGTACTTTAAAGACAATCGACAAATGACTTAATAAGCCCCTTTAGTATCTGTGGGTTGCCTTAATGTAATAGCCTCAGTCAGGAGTGTCATGTTTTACTTCTTTCAATTTGTATTTGCTTTAACCGTAACTTAGGCACCCCCTTTACTTGAAGTATTCATAAGAACAGACTCTTTCAGTTTTATGTAAAGCTGGCACAACGCAAAAACAACAATTCTCTTGCCAAACAATCTTTTTATTGCACAGAATTTGAAAATGGCTTTGAAAAAAAAAATTAAAAAAAGCTGAAGTTATACATCTAGCACTCTTCAGAGAATAAAACGTCAGAACATAGATGGAAAACTCTACGCTAAAATACACAGTTTTGGATCTAAATAGGCCAATCAGGAAACGCAAGCACATAACTGTTGAGGTTATGTCTACACAAAAGCGGTCGGTCATGTTTATATAGTAGATAGATTCGCAAACTGCTAGATGGAACGATGATCAGGCTTTGCCAATAACGCGAAACATGTCGCCGTTATAGTTTTTCACCCAATCTAGGTTTTTCAGTAAATGCTGCTGGATAGTGGAATTCCATGTTTTGGTTGTCGTTTTTGATCTGCAAGACAGAGTACCTTGTTCTCTTTGAGGGATAGTTTTGTTTCTATTGCTGGAAGGGACCTGCTGTCTTATTATATCCCCAATCTACAATTCCTACCAATTTCTTCGACTTTCCTTCCAAAAATATTCCTGTTTTATTAAGATTGAAAGGTTCTAATCGCTACAAACGTACTTTCCCGTTAACTATCCTTTGCAGAATAGATCGAAGTTTGTGCCTACCATAAAAAACTGCTCAACAAGCATAAAGTTAATTGCAAAAAATGCAATGACGGGAGAAATTGCTGTTACAAAAATAAACCAATTAACCCTTGTACGTTTTCAGGGTTCTCTGAATAGGAAAAGGGTAAATGGATGGAAATTTTAGGGGAGCGATTCTCCCTTCATGTTCTGTTTAGGAGAGCAATTCATAGCTCGCCTCAGGTTGCGAGGGGAGCGTGGAGGCGAGCGCGAGCTATCGCTCGCCTCAAACGGCCAGGCCTGAATTGAAGAAGGACTCTTAAAAATCTTTCTCTGTATTGAAGACATATAAATACTTATGATATCCCTTCTACCTAATTTGACTCTAACCTCAGACAACCCCTTCTCCAACTCCTATTGTAGGTGCAAGGAATGCCCCTGTGGCTGAACAGTCTCTGTATGCAAACAAATGTATATACTTCCAAGCCATCTGAAGAGAAGCAAATGGTAAATCTACAAATTGTAAATATTTGTTTCAAATCTGCATCCATTAGTTTAGAGATTCAAAGTTTAAAACATCCCCATTAAAAATATTGATCTCTGATATACCTCTTTAAAGGCCTTGTTTGCTTCATTTTCATCATTGCACTCTACCTGATGAAAAGTAATATTTATTGTGATGATCAATGTTGTGACATGCCTTCTATAACACATTTTTGAAAAGTGATCTGAAAATTTTGAGCAAGCACAATTACCAATGAAGACAGAATAAAATATATTATAGATAGAAATACGATTTTAGAAAATCATCATAGAAGAAACAATGTTGGACATGAAGACAGTTTATTATTAGCGAGCAAAATTTCATCCCCCTGTAGGCAGTAAGTCATGATAAAATGAGAGGGTATACCCAAAAACACTGAATCATGATTTTCATGTTGCAATGCTGTTGGCTGGCCTGGTACTAGTCACACAAACTTGCTTCATACTGATTCACAAAACAGCTTCATTCAATAGCAGGTTGTCAACAATTGATGTTGATATTACATGAAACTACAGCGATGATGCTGAAACCAAGTGACTCCCTGAGAAGGCATACTTACTTATGCCTTTAAGCTAGAAATGGAAGCACAACGATGCACAAGGAGGCTGTCTTCCTCAGACAACCAGGCCTAACACTACATATTATTGATCCACACTTATTTATTTATTCAAACTTATTTGTCCTGAGGTACACTATCTTACCTTTTTCAAGACATATTTCTTCTTGTCCTCTTTGCTTTCAACAAGAAAAACTGAGCCTTGTGCTCCTTTGCCAAGTCTTTGAAGGAGCTAAAAATATATTCCATAGCATAGAAAGCATTAATGTTATTATATAACTTTATTTATATGAAGGTATTATTTACTTTATAAATAGGAACCTAACATACAGTTCCTTCTTTCTATAAAAGATCCTGCACACAATCAAGAGAGTTTGTTGAGTAAAACATGCAAAGATGATATCTATACAAAAAACTTGAAAATAAAAAAAAACTTTTAAGCTTAAAAACAAAAATTGTTTCCTTATTCAAAAGCTTGTCAAATGGTGGTACTGAATTACCAGGTGTGTGCCACCTTTTTGACATCTAGTACATAAATTCCAAATTTCAGGTATATGCAGTTTATTCAGCCAAAATTCATAATACATTGCCAGTTAACATTTGGGGTTGGGTTAAAACTTATTTTCACAAGTGCAATTAGGTCATTATACTTTTGATCATCATGCTTCAACTCTAGGTTCAAGTAAGGAAGGTTTCTTTCTTTAAATCATAACTGTCAGGCTTTTGTGGGGAAAATATAGCAGGCGTGCTGACCACCGCATGCCTGAAAACATCTAGGCATGTGGTGGCTTGTGACATTTTTTCACAAAAATCTAAGGTTATAATAAAAGATCTATGCAGAAATTGCCAACACAACAATGACAACACCAATAATTTTGATGAGATTTACTTTGCTGAATTTGTGGCATCACTACTTACATTTTAACAAAAACTGAGTATTAAGCTATTTCTGTTATTTCTGAAGACTTGAGCAAGTTTCTACACAAGTATAAATTGAGCTGTCAGATTTGTTTGGATTTGTTCATTGAAATGCCATGAAGCCCTTGAGAAGGTGTAAACTTTGCACAAATCTCTTCTTCATTTTTTGCATCATGAAAAGTGAAATTTTATGGGGTTCAGCAGAATCCAAGGGGTCAGACATATTTTTGTTATACTGGAAAATTAGTTATAGTCAGGTTTCATATTATCAGGATTCCACTGTAGATTAGCAGGAGTGGTGGCATGGGGGGCAAGGGGGGCTTAAGCCCCCCCCTAAGATTTTAGTTTGCCCCCCGTCAGCAGCCAATCAATTTTTGCTTTCTCAATACCGTCGGCATTTGATTGATGTCACCCCATTTACATGTTGTTTGAATGACATAAAAAATCGATGAGAAAACTGCACTGGCTGGTTTATGGTTTTCTCAATGGCTTTTCTTCGGCAATTTTACTATCATAGTGGCATTATATCCTGTCGCTTCCGTGAAAGCTGTTACATTGTTTCATGGTGCTCCCTCGCATGACCCACAATACCATGGTGCTCCTCTCGGTTGAAATCCCTGTGGCTGCTTGGAATTCATGCAAAACGTGCAGAGATGCTTGATTTGGATCATGTTTTGGACATTATTATTGCCAATGAAAACATTTTGATCATGAGCACATTTTGTGTAATAAATTTTTTAAAAAGCACTTCTTGTCCTTTTTCATCAACTATTTTCAATAGCATTGTTCACCGCATAGCTTGCGACAAACAGATGGTTTAGATAAAACCATTGATTAACTGACTATTCTAAAGTTTATGTTTTTTTCCTTTTTCTATGTAAATTAGATAGGAAGAAATATTCAACAATATGCAATATTTGCGCATTAAGTTTCTTACAAGGCACAAATTGCTGAGAAAATCTCGCGGACTCCAACACAGGTTGGAAAGTGTGGGGGGGGGAGGTGGCAAGGGAAAATTTTGCACCCACAACAAAAGATTTTGGAAAAATGCTCTATTGCTCTGTAAAAAAGTGGGGGCCATGACCCCTCAGTGCCCCTTCGTTGGAGGCCCTGCTCAGGGGCGTCGCAACCGCAAATCAGTAACACATAGAATTTACTTTAAAGACAATCGACAGATGACTTAATAAGCCCCTTTAGTATCTGTTGGTTGCCTTAATATAATAGCCTCAGTCAGGAGTGTGCTGTTTTACTTCTTTCAATTTGCATTTGCTTTAACCGTGACTTAGGCCCCCCCTTTACTTGAAGTATTTGAAAGAACAGACTTTCTCCGTTTTATGTAAAGCTGGCACAACACAAAAACAACAATTCTCTTGCAAAACAATCTCTTTGTTGCACAGAATTTGAAAATGGCTTTAAAAACAAATTTTGAAACAAACTTAATTATACATCTAGCACTCTTCAGAGAATAAAAGGTCAGAACATAGATGGAAAACTCTACGCTAAGATACCCAGTTTTGGATCGAAATAGGCTATCAGAAAACACGAGGACATGACTGTTGAGGTTTTCCAATAAGTGCCCCTTTCCTATTGAAAATGTTACCAACGGAGTCCTAAGGTGAAAACGAACTCACTTATGTCTACACAAAAGCAGTCGGCCATGTTTATATAGTAGATAGATTCACAAACTGCTACATAGATGGAACGATGATCAGGCTTTGCCAATAATGCAAAACATGTTGCCATTATAGTTTTTCACCCAATCTGGGTTTTTCAGTAAATGCTGCTGGATAGTGGAATTCCATGTTTTGGTTGTCGTTTTTGATCTGCAAGACAGAGTACCCTGTTCTCTTTGAGGGATAGTTTTGTTTCTATTGCTGGAAGGGACCTGCTGTCTTATTATATCCCCAATCTACAATTCCTACCCATTTCTTCGACTTTCCTTCCGAAAATATTCCTGTTTTCTTAAGATTGAAAGGCTCTAATCGCTACAAACGTACCTTTCGGTTAACTATCCTTTTCCAAATAGATCGAAGTTTATGCCTATCATAACAAAAACCGCTCAACAAGCAAAAAGTTAATTGCAAAAAATGCAGTGACGGGAGAAATCGCTGTTACAAAAATAAGCCAATTAACCCGTTTTCAGGGTTCTCTGAATAGGAAAAGGGCAAATGAATAGAAATTTTAGGGGAGCGATTCTCCCTTCATGTTCTGTTTAGGAGAGCAATTCATAGCTCGCCTCAGGTTGCGAGGGGAGCATGGAGGCGAGCGCGAGCTATCGCTCGCCTCAAACGGCCAGGCCTGGGGTGTGAGAGGTGTCACACCCCCCCTCCCCCCAATTAGTATCTCAATAGGAAATTTCAGGTAAAATCCGCTCGGTGGAAGAAACGCTTTAGGTATTTCAGAGACCTTCCTTTCATCACTGTCATAAAATCATGAGGCATGCTAAGATGGAGAGAGGGATCTAAATTTAGAAGTAACTGACAACCTGGTTATTTTCAAGACCACGGCAAAATTGTTGTTTTTATCTGCTGTAAAAAAGTTTTGCAAAAAGACAATAATTTTCAATAGGATTAGAAGGATTGCTTTAGTCCTATGACTATTTTAAAATCTTATATCAATTAATCTGCAATCCTGACAAGGTATTAAGCCTTTTTGAATTGGCATGAAGCAATAGTAATAGTACCAAGGAAAGATTTACATTTAAACCCATCTCAAAAACCAACAAAACCAATCATTGATAGAGAATTTTGCTCTCAGAATAAAAAAAGGCGTGTGACATTTTGCACTCCTTGAAAGCAGCAGTCATTTAAGCACTACATCATACCAATAAAAGCAACTGAGTGCACTCTGTTGAAATGTTTTTTGCAAAACTGAAGTAGTCCAAATATCCGAGTTAGCTAGTTTAAAAGCCCCTAAAAGCAGCTTTGAAAAATACAGTCAAAAAAGACTGCACTTCTCAAGGCTCATATTCGTAAAAAAATTTAGTCAAACAAAGTGGTCACCCGTGTCTTTCATTTTGTTTGTTCAGCTTGCTTGTATCGATAAAAGTCTGTAAGTAATACAAATAAAAAACCGGAAAAAAATATCTGCAAATTACTTTGCAAGCATGTATGTAGACTAGATACCTTGTATCCCTCCATCCAGCTTGCACTGTCCTTTCCAAAGCACTTTGGCTCGCAGCTCGCATGCACGTATCTCTGTCAACAAACAAATCAAAATGGCGGTTTTCCGTAGTCTCGTCATCAAAAAGAGTTTGGGGCGTGGTGGGTCGATTGAATCCGGGTGTCAGTTCCCTACACTGGGTGTCAATTTTTTGGAATGACAGACCAGAAGCCAGAAGCAACACCTAGCTATTGGTAGCATAAAATTAACTCAGGAAACATCCTAGGCAATTTTTGTGAGCTTTCTTTTATCCCTTTGTAAGTTTACATGAAAATGGAGAAGGACCGAGAAGGACTTGCCCAGTTTTCACTCTGAGGGTCTCACTGTGGGAACTGTTCCTGTGTTCCCTTTGAAAAAACGACATTCCCGTGTTTTCATCGAGAAATAAATATTTGCAGCTTAATGCAACTTGATCGGAAATATATTCTTATAATAATGATTAAATTAAATTTCATCAGAGTTAATTTCACGACGGGTTTTTGAGCTTTAGCCAATTCGCTTAAGATTGTTCTTATTTCTTATTCATTATGGTCTCTTGTTTCACGTTTCCTCGCGTTTTTCTTGCATCTCCTTTAGGGGAGTCTTTCGGCCTCCTGAGAGCTTGATTTGTAAAGCTAGGGTAAGATGTGTGTTTCGTGGCGTTTTCATTCCCTTGGTTAATATAGGGTAATGAAGGTTTTGGCATAGCGTGGGTCTTACCTTGCGTAGTGAAGCAACAATACACATAGGCTGTTTTATTTTTCCAGCCTCCCCTGAGGTCCGGAGTCCCCTCCCTCATTTTTTATGCAATATGCCTTTTCAGTATAGCTTTTCGTGTTGAGTTTCTTTTACGTTTTTTGATGCTATTAGGCAGGACTGGTGCATCGGCCATTAATGGAGAAGCGAGGCTGTTCCTGTCCATTCCTTCCCAATTATCAATCATATTTGGGGGGTTATTGTGTAACTTCCCTTAGCAACCCCTTTTAGTGATATATGGTAGGTTGAGCGATTTGAGCCGATGCACCAGTCGCCGATGATGTGGGAACGTAGCCTCATGACTGACCTTCTGATGTCTGAGTTAGCAAATTAATGGAGATGTAGGGAGGAAGCATCTCCCAAATAAGGGTACCATCCTAAACAGGCTCAGGAATGTAGTGATAAGGGAGGCTCAGGGTGATGCAGTGCCCCTTGTTAAAATTTTCGAAAAAGTGGGGGCTCTCAGCCCCCTCAATGTTTGTGCATGGATGCAGCCAAGAATCATGTAATGCAATAAATCTGCAAAGAATTGTTACCTCACCACAGGTCAGCTATTGACGATTAAACCAGAAAAAGAAAAGAGAGTAACTGAAAGATTTAGACGCAGTGCAAACTTTATATGCATGAAAATATACACAAAGTTTGACATATATATATAGAAAAGTCCTCTTTTGTTAACACAAGAGAAATTGTGTCATTTCAAAATCCAACCAATGGGTTATTAATTTTAGAAATAAGGCTTTTTCTTATCGATGCTATGAATATTTTATGTTCTTTTTCTGGTCATTCTTAGAATGTCATAGTGCAAAACTTTTCTCGCCGCCAACCGTAGTGGCGGCTTTCAATAAAGCAATATAAACATTTTGCCCCTAACTTGCAATGAAAGTTTTCCCCCGTCCTTTCCATGGTATCAATGTTCTGACCTCAGGTGCCCGCTGAAACAATTAATGTACATGCCTGACTGCTCAACCAATGATCGGAAAAACATAAACCCTTGTCATGCTTAAAATGTACTTACTACATGAAAGGAAAAACTTAGAAATTTCAAAGACCCCCCCCGTGTTACAATTATACGACTATATCCCTGCTAGAAATGTATGCAAAAATTTTGTCGGTTTATTAAGTGTCTTTGCCCCCCCCCCCAGGAAAAATGCTCAATTTCCGCCACTGGTCAATTATACCTATTAAGAAAGAGCTTTTGTAACAGTTGGTCAGCCCAACAAATATTTGCATGGAATAAGCGGGCTATAGAAACTACCCCTATTTATTTACAAAACCATAATCTTATTTATGCCCTCAATTCAAACTCAAATTCAAAAACCTTTTTCATCAAACAGAAATATCAATAACAATATAATAACAAATAATATCATTTTTTGGAAATTTCAAATGTTAGAACATTAGGAAGCTCCAATTTATGTATTTTCAAATATGCCAAATTATTTTGACAAAAATCTCAGCCTCAATTTTTTTGAAGGAAATCCATGTAAATGAAACCTGATAACAAGTTTTTGAATAAAATTAGGTCCGCATAGAAAGAACGCATAATTTTCCTGGGGGCTTCACCCACAAACATCCGACCTTTTCTCTCTGGGCAGGACCATCACCTACAACAAGGCTTTGCCACTGGCTAAATGATGAGAACAGTGGAGAACCAGATGATGTTCTGCCCCATATCATATGTACCTGTTTTGACAGAAGCAAAGTCCAAAGACGTATTGGCCATTTGTAGATGCATATTGATACAAAAAATATTAATGTGAAGGTAACAAAACACGAATAAAGTCTAGTATATGTTACAAGTGTTAAAGCCTGAAGTTTGATGAAGACTGACAAAAGTCTGAAAGACAAAAAAAATTATCGAGGAAGAATTCAAATGAATCGTCGCATTCTAGATATTACTCCATGAAATTTTGTACAACTTTGGTGAAATCTTATTGTTTTATCTGAAAAACCTTGGAAATCATTTACTGCGAAAATCTCGTGTGCTTTATGTAAGAGCGAATGACCCCTCGAATATCATCATTTTCCTTTAAAGGTCATTTCAGGGACATTCCCATGAAATGCCTGATCATTAGAAGCAACATTTTTGAGCTTGTTCTTCTTTCGCAAATACAGAAGTTGATTCAGAAACATCAATCAAATAAAGTGTTTTCGAAGAAGAACTAAGGCAGAGGATCGTTGTTTTATATTTCTTGTGAATCCATTCGAGAGAAGTTGTTGATTGTGGTATGCGAGAGACCTGAGAAATTCAGGGTTCGGTAGGATTCAACGCAATTGGCCATTTTATGATAACGTAGTCCACGAGCAGTTGCATGGTACCATAATATCTTTGAAAGTACGGGACCGTGCCATTATTCAGGTTAACCCTGCAAAATTGCGGAATAATCGGCATCATGTGCAGTTTACCTGTGTCAAATGCCTTTAACAAAAATAATGTCCATTCGAACAAAATGCAGTGCCCGCGCCACCGATTCTAAAAGGGGGGCCAAAAGGGGGCTACCTATTTAATACTTGAAAGGGGGATTTGATGCCCATAGTTAGAAAGAAAATTGGGGGCAATGGCCCCCGGCCCTCCTGTGGCCCGGGCCCTGCAAATGACACGTCCCCGTCCAAAATTAGGCTTAGTTACTACCTCCACTCCCAGTCCGAACATAGGCTTTTTTTCTGTCAAGGCTCGTCATCTGCAATCAATATACAAAATTCTTTAAAATTGCATTTAAAAATTGTTCTCTTTAAGTGGAAAATGCGTTAGGTGACACTTTCAGTCACTATGCTTCAGTGGTGGTTTACAAGCTGTATGTCTGGATTTCACGGTGGTTTACAAGCTAGGATCCGAAATTTGTATTCAACCCATGCTAGGTGAGGTTACACATGTGAAACGTTGAAAAATAAGATTGTTATTCATCCGAAAAAATACGAAGGTTTTTGACAAGATGTTTATACTTGGAAAATACATCTGCGCGTATGGCCTTCCACGGCCCCATGATTCACAACAAAATTGTAAAACCTGTTAGATGAAGACAGTTATCAACAAATGTTTAATTCGCAGATTCTTGTTTACAAAATGTCGACAAGGCACGATTGCATGACTCTGACTCATGACGATGATCAATAAATGGTTATTAAAACAGCATTCGGGTACCCGTTAAAACGCCAGACGACCCGTGGGGTTAGAATTTTACTTTGTGCTTTTGCATGACTCAAAGATAACTGCTTTCTGTTCCCTAGATACCAACTCAAACAAATCATTTTGATCTACCAACAAAAGAACACAAAGTCTACAAACGCAAAAGGAGAATCTATATTTTGATCACATCGTAGGGACCTTGTGTTTTGACTTCTAACTGTTCTCTAACCATGAAAATGACAAGTGAATAATCAGACCTTTACTTTTTGCTAATGCTTTTAAAGCATTAGCAAAAATTTAATCCTTTCCGTGGGGAGTAGACAATGAGGGAGGGGGGAAGGGTGTGCATTTCTTTCAGTACCGCAGGAAGGAGAGAATTACTAGGGATAAAATTGTTTCAGAACAATAGTGACAAATGGTGGCTTTTTCACTGAAAGCCAAAATTTACATATTTCGCGGCCCTTCATTTATTACAGAGACTTTTGAAGGAATTACATTGTCTGTATCTAAAGTTCTATGCCAAACATTTAAGAACATAATTTGGAAATTGCGAAATTTTAGTTTTTTGCTTCTTCATAGTTGTAGTGGTTTTAATTTTTTTTCGTCGATTACTCGTTTCTTGTTTTAGAATATTTGAAAAAAATTTGCTTCATTATCATGCCACGTTTGCAAGATGTGAAAATATTAGAGTAGGGCTTGAGCTCATAATCTGGAGGGGGCTCATAATCTATCAGCCTCTAGACCCCCTAACACTTCTTTCAGGTTATAAATATCGTTTTAGCATGTCCCTCTACAAGGCATTGAAGTAAATCGATTTCAAATATCACAGTAAAAGGAAAAGATTTTGCTTGAGACTTTTTCTTCTGCTTTCAGCTTTGAGTCCGGATCTTTGTCCCCCACGATGAATTGCTAAATTCTCCTTAATGGACCGCACCGAGCGTCTTCAAATTTAAATGTTGAATGCCTCCCTTTCAAACATCAACTGTTCTGTTTGAGTTGCATTCAAGATGGCTTTCGAAGCTAAGATTTGAAATATACGAAAGATTTGCAGCATAATGCAATTGTCATCTTGATGCTATATGAAAGAAAATCGATAGCAACAATTAGCATTTGCACCTATATAAGTGGAATTTTCAAGGATTTGCCTTTTCGTTCTTTCTGTACTGGATAGCTTTGCGATTCTCAAAGACAAACATTGAAGTGGCCAGTCACTATTGATGCTGCAGATAAGGGAAGTTTTCTGTAATGTTAACCTTGTACACTGATTTTCTCGGATGCATAGAATTAAAATGGATGCAAAGAAGGTTCATGCAGTCTCTGCATATCGTTGAACTTGGAGTTCTTTTCTGTTAGCATTGATACTGTTTTTCTTTTGAATTCTCAAACTTGTTTCCAGAAATCCATACACACCATGATGTACAAGCTTGTAAGGTTTGCAATTACGCTGCAGCTTCTTCCCTTTTGTTTCAAGATAGCAGAGTCAACCTGTACAAATAATGCACCATGTACACCACCACCTCCACAGAATCTCCTTCGAGATGGGAGAACGAATCAGACATATATTAGTGTTAGTGCCCCGTGTGGCAACCCAGTTGAAGAATTTTGCTCTCCAACAACTTGTGGTCTCTTTTGCAATGCATCAGATCCAAATAGAAGATATCAAATACAAGATATGATTGATGCTGAATCAAACCCTACTTACTGGAAAAGCAAAAACTTTGATGCCCCAGTGACAATTCAAATTGACCTGAACCAGAAACTTTTACTTCATCAAGTAACAGTTATATTTGAATTTGACTACCCATCATACGTCTTTATAGAGCGATCTCAAGATTTTGGAAGATCATATGGCCTGATACACCATTCAGCTATAAACTGTCTTACATCTTCTGGAATAAGCCCATCAACAAGCTATCGCGCAAAGCTACCAGTGTGTATGGAAATCTCACTAACACTTTCTCCAAAAGCGGTATGAAGAAAATCTTTTCAATTTAGATTTCTATAAATGTTTATCAGCCAGTCTGCAAAGTATAGCAGTGATATCTTACAAATTCACAGTCATTTTAACCACATCTTCTGTGTGCAAACCCAGGGTGGAGTCCTTGTAAAGATCACACTGGATGTGCACCAACAAACAATGTTAGTCCATGCCGGATATCTTGAAAATAAGTGATGTAAACTCTACACTCAGTGCAAACGTCAATAAAAAAGCATATTGTATGCCAGAGTGGAAAGTTTTTCATAGGCAGACAATTAATCCCATTTATTCTGTTTGCTATTAATCCCATTCCATAACAGAGCAGTTTTAAATATTTCAAAGTTCAGTGTGCTGCACAACCATGATGTCATGCCTTCATCAGCAATACTCTGCAGACTTGTTTTTCAGGACAACAGAGAGACGTGGTTGTATTCTTAATCATGACCATCAATGTGCATGATTTATTTCCAGTGCTTTCTAGTTATTAATCTCAACAACCTGCAAATTTTCAATGCGAGGGCATCCTCATAAAAAATCATCCCAAGTTTAGAATATTGATATTGGGGGCCTATTTGTCACAGTATATGATACACCATTTGCTTGTCACCTGTGTAGAAAGCCATTTTTCCAACCCAGCAATGCCTGGAATGAAGGAAGAAATTGGTCATGTAAAAAATATTTCTATATGCTGTGAAATATTTAGTGGAGAATGAGCTATAAATCCTTAAATTCAGTTCTCTTTGGGAAAGGCATGCAGTCTAATCACACCTGCTGGTAAATGTTCATTTCAAGAAGTTTGTTTAAGTCGCACAGAATTACACATCTACATTTTGAATGCAAGAGAAAGGCTTGATGAAATGAAAGGAATGTTAAAAAATCACATTTAATTGTTTTCATTTTTTACATCCACCAATCAGCTATCATAACAGTGCATTTTAGATAATTTATACTTACCTGCTCAAATTAAGTGTAAATATACCATTACTATTGAAACATTATTGCCCTTGCTTACACTTTCTACATTTTAGTAAGATCTATAATACTTAATCCTTCTTATTTGTTGAATTACCCACGATCCTTTTTAGGTATCATACATGCCAAGGACTGATGAAACGATTATGAATCAAATTCAAACAGATCTCACAGTTAGAGATTACTTCATTTTCACCAATCTGAGATATGTCCTCAGCAGCTATCGAACTCCACCAGGTTTTGACAGAAACAGTGCACAACTAAAATATTATTTTGCAATAAAGAACTTTGATCTCCAAGGCTCATGTTACTGTAATGGAATGGGAGACCAATGCAGTGCAAGTGTAAGTTTTATTCTTAACTATTTCAATATGAATTAGTTGACTTAACTATATAGAGGCACTATATCATGCTAGATATTTTACAATTACAATTTGGATTTTCTTGTTTCTGAATCAACACCTGATGTATAAATTGACTGAAAATTTATTTCTTTATAAATTTCCCCTTTCCCTAACAGAAGGATAGTTACTTGCTTTTAAAAATCAGCAAGAGTTTATGTTATGTTTTCCACTTTTTCAAGTCTGGTGCATGTAAGCAATGGCTTTGGTGTAATTTATTGTCCACTGGCTTCAAATTTCTTGCTGGTCGGTTTTCGATTACTGGTATACGCAGTGGCATACCCAGGGCTGTAGCAATGGGGGGAGGGGGTCTGGGGCATAGCCCCCAAAAAATTTTTTGGGCCACGCCCTTCAAACACTCGCAAATGCAAGGAAACACCTTTTTGCAAAATTTCCCCCCATTATTTGATTCATTCTAGCTACGGTAAATAGCAAAGTATTTTACATATTATTGACACAAGCATACAGTATACTACCCCCCCTTCCCCCAATGAGTTTTACATTGTTTTTGGACATATCTCGAGGACCATATTTTAGGAAAGTGGGGGGTCTGGACCCCCTATTCCCCTCCTTGGGTATGCCACTGGGTATACGATTTCCCTTAACACTCAACAACAGATATTATGTTAATTTCACACAGCTGTTGCAGGCCTTGACCTGGAAAGGCGCTCCTTCGACCACACCAAAAAAAGCCTTGGAGAGCGATTTATCGAGCCCCTCAAAACCTAACAACAATATGCCACGGAGCAAAATAATTTTTTGACCTTTTTTGAATAAACTTGATCCAGTATAAAAAAACTTCCCAGCTGACCACAATATCATGTTTTGCATAGGATTACCCCTCAAGAAAACAATTCAGCAATTTCAACATTGGGTTTTCAATACCTTTTTTTGATCTAATAACCCTCTACACCAAGGACACAACAGGTCGTCAAGCGTATTTCCCGGCAGATTTATTTGATTTTTGAGCAAGCGTTAAACTTTTGTTCTGTTGAATTATTATTTCCTGTTTTTTCTAAATAACCCAAAATCATCAGTGTAATTCAGAGCTCAAATTTCTGTCCAAATTATAGCATTGCTTTTCAGTTTTTGTTTGCTTTCGTGAGTAGTAGGCAGGGGCGTTATGACTGGGGGTGTGGGGGGTGTCACGGATGCATAACATCATATTTTTCAACATTTCACATGGGTAACCTCACCTAACATGGGTTGAATACAACTTTCGGATCCTAGCTTGTAAACAGGGGCGTCGTGACCAGGGGTGTGGGGAATTGGGAAGGGTACTAGGGAAAGATAATCAATAATCAGATGGCCTATCACTTTCCCTGCTCTGTATTAATCATGGTTCACTGAAACTAGTCTTCCAAAAGCCATAACTTTTAGAACTGCTGAAACAAATAGGTTGAATCAGTGATTGAACTGTGTCAAGTTTTTATAGTGATAACGCCATTGTGAAGTAGAAAAGCATTCTAAGTTGGAAGAAAGTTTTAGTATGTTTGAAGTAAGATAGTCAAAATTCCGCTTTTCCTGTATTTGGTCACTATTATCTATTTTTTTATATCAATTCTGATTAAATTTTCACCATGTCTATCCAAATCATTTTCAATAATGCTAATTCATTATTTTCTAGAATAACAGTAAGTGTATCTGCCAAAAGAACACTCAAGGTGACAACTGTCAAGAGTGCCAACCATTTTTCAACAATAAGCCTTGGCGATATGGAATTGCTTGTGAATGTAAGTTTTTACCCTGCTTAAACTGTTAAATTTTTCATAGCTATACTTTTTTTATTTCCATATCAACTGAAATTTCATGCAGGGTTTTTGTAGAAAAATTTCAGTTAGGATAGTTTGTATGCCCTTGCAAAAGTCCTCTTGGGCTTCTTCTTCTTCTTCTAAAGATTTGTTTTACTCTTTTAAAGCACAGTTAAGAACAAACTTTGTAATTAATTTTCTTTATTTGGCGTTTCTCGAAAGTCCAAAAAGATCAAAATTGTGAAGTTTCCTTCTCTACCTGCAAATTTACTACCTTGATTTGCAGTTTATTTTTAAATATTCAAATATTTAAAAAAAAAACTTTTTATAATTTGTATCCGTTTGTGACAGTAGCCATTTTGAAATGATTTAATTGGTAACCAGAAATGAGCTACCATGCACACCTGCCAAACAGTTAGAACCACTGCTGAATAAGTACTCCTGTGTCAAACTAATTGTTACAAGCATCTTTAAGCAAATTATTCTAAGAGAGGACTGCTTATCAAAGTAAATTTTAACCCAACAGGGATGCTTGGATTTAAACAGTCATTTATAAGAACAATTTTATTGTTGGGATTGTTAACACTGGGTGCTTTTTTCTGTCATTTACTGTTAGTATAATGTGAATGAAGCATTGTTTGATTTGTTTTTGTTTCTTATTTTGCAGCGTGCAATTGCAGTTCACTTGCCACGAGCTGTGTTTATGATGCTGCAAAAGGACATGGTGTCTGCCAAAACTGTACAAGAAATACAACTGGAGACTTCTGCAATCAGTGTCTCTCAGGATTCCACCGTAATCCTCAGAGAATCTGTGTTGGTATGTTGATTCTGAAATGTTTGATCTGTTTTTATGCCATTGCACCTAATGGTACATCATGACATTATCACTTGTCTCAAGTTGAAAAATTCATTCTGTTGAATTTGCCTTTAGCTGCTGGCTTTCTGGACAATTATTTATCACCATAACGTTTTGGATGATAAATATTTAACAGAAGGTCAAGATCTCTTTTCCAATGATGTTGCTAACAAATATTATTGTACATCTGTATGCCCAGGCTGTTGCAGTACAGCCAATAAGATATTGATGCTTATGCTCATTCTAATTCTAATTTGTAGGTGTATAATTAAACTCATATTACTAGCAGTACCAATATCAGTGCTAATATTAGTACTAACAGGGCCGGCGCCACCAATTTGAAAGTGGGGGGGCCAAGACTAAAAAAGTTGCAGGCCAAGACTTCCTATCCTTTTTACTGCAACTTTTAAACTACTTGCTCTGCAAAAAGTGGGGGGCCAAGGCCACCCTGCCCCAACCCCCCCCCTCGGTGGCACGGGCCCTGACTTATACCAACACTAATATTAATACCAATATCTGCTACTACCAAATCTGATATATACCAATTCTAATACTGTATTAAAACTTGAAACTTATATATACTAATGCTAAAATTAGTTTTTCTAATGCCTATACTGATACTACTGATAATGGTTGATGCAGTAATTATCGCCTCAGTGATGATTTCTACTAAACTTGTATGATAACTAAAGACCTTTTTAGTACTACTTTTAGATCATATTTGAAATTCCTTTACATTATTGTATATTTTTTCACAGATTGCGGGTGTGACTTGAGGGGCGTGAGTGTCAGTGGCCGTATTTGTAATGAAACCACGGGGTTGTGCAATTGCAAGCAGAATGTCCAAGGTTCTAAATGCGACACTTGTAAAGAACAATTCTGGGGACTTAATATGTCAAATGCAAATGGCTGCAATGGTAGGTAGTGAAGAAGCTTTTAACCTAAAAAGGCTCTTTGATCGTCACCCAATTTTTTTGCAAAGAATTTTGTTGGCAAGCCTCAGATCATGTGAGTTACACGGTAAAGGAAGTTTCCGTTGTAAAAGGCAGAAAATGGAGGAGAACCCGGTCCAAACGGTCCATTATTGATTTCAAAGAGTCTAAATGAAAGCGAGGGGCAATTCACTCTTGGAATTAGCGTACAAGATTTTCCCTAAAACAAAAGGATTTCCAGTGATTTTCAGATAAAATAATAAGATTTTTGCAAACGTAGTACAAGTTTTTATTGAAATGATTTGCCCCTCGAATGAAAATTCCACATCGCAGTGACACCGCTTGATGAATTTTTTTGTGTTTATTTTGTAGCATGTGGATGTATGGCTTGGGCTACCGTCAATGGAAGTAACATTTGCGATTCACATACGGGACAATGTTCGTGTCGTCTCGGGTTTGCGGGAAGGACCTGCAATCAGTGTCGTGTAAGAATTTTAACTTTAAGCCAACAGACCTTTCTCACTATTATCTTGTTTATATGTCTAGGTCGAGTGATTAACCGAAAAACCCATTTAGAATAAAGAAATCTTTCTTGATAAAAATTTCAAACTGCAAATGAACGGTTTTGAAGGGAGACGTAGATCCAACTCACTCTTAAACAGTGGCGGTGTCAGTCATTGAAATGTGCTTGTTGGACAAAATTAATTATTATTACCACGCCCTTTTCAAGGGAGAACGCCCATTTCACAAATAAGTTATGTACGTGACTAAATTCGGGTAACGTAAAGCCAGTTTCAAATCATTTCATCACGATGTGTACTTTGCCAAAATAATACCCCTTCTACAACATTTTCTCGTATAGAGGAGGGACGTGTCCCCTAGTCTCCTTTTCCCCATGGTGCACGCCAATTCCTTTCATAAGTTTTTCGTTGGAATTTTTTCCTGCACCAAACCATGTTTTCCTGTACTCCTATAATGTTCAAATAAAAAAGCATAAAACTTGATAACAAATCCAGTATCAGTTTTCCCCTTGACATACCATAACGGGATACACTTTGTCAACCTTTAAAGGTCTTTTGGGGTTTTTCTCACCCTTAAGTGATTTCTCTCTTCAAATATAACGGTTTTACAAGAATTATAAACCCTACGTATTCAATATGACTGCAATACCCATTGTTAGCTACTTTAAATTTCTGGTCATTTCGCAATTTTGACAATTCTGAATCGAAGCGGCTCCCATAATTCGGTTTCATCAAAATGTTTAGTAACATTTTTCTCAAAAAGATGTCAGCATTCTGCAATTTACTAAACCGATTACATTTCCAGGTTGATTATTACAGCATCCAGTCGGTCAACCCTACCCAGTGTACAGCATGTCTGTGTAACCCGTCTGGTTCAATGAACACGAGCTGCTCAAATACCGGGTCCTGCTACTGTAGGCCCAATTACTCAGGCGAAAAGTGCGAAGTTCTTGCGTCTGGATATTACTCCGCAAGTGTTTCACAGTTACTGTTTTCGTCTCTCCAGGCTGTAGTTTCATCTTCAGTAAGTATCTTACACCCATTTATCGAAATAAATGTGTGGTTTTTTACATATGCATTCAGTATATACACTTTATAAGAACCTGTGCAAGGGGTTGGCACTCAATATCTTTTTGTTTTGTTGATTTCAATGCAAGATTTCTTTGAGATTTCTTAAATGCCTGATGCTAGAGAGCTTCTTTTTAGAAGCAAAACATAAAACAGAAGGTAACACAAAATAGGATACTAGTAACTCACAAGGAGTTCTTCTTTCTTTTTATTTATGTCAATTAAACAGGGAATAGACAGTATCTAGTCTCCGAAAAGAATCTTTCTCACCCATTCCTTTAAAGAAAGATTTTCAAGCAGTTTCGTGAAGTTTACAAGGATATTTTCTTATAGACAGTTCCTTATTAAAAAGTGAATGTATATGAGGAGAATATAGATAACAAATAGAAATTTTGAAGTCATATTGTAGAGAGACCTGCCGTTGCAATCGAATGCGGGATGAAAACTATGTTACATCAGGATTTCAAGTTGCCGACGATACAATTTATATCAATTGGCAATTCTTATGCAGACAGCTTATATCTTAAAAAAAACAGTGTTTATCTAGTCTGAGCTACTTCTGCAGTTTATTTTATATTGCTGTCAATGACATATAAGCCGTTTCGCCATTTCTTAAGTAAACAGTTGAATAGATATTTAACTCAATGGTAATGCATTTTTCACAGGCAGCGTTTTATTCATCGTCATCTCGGTTTGTCAATTCAAGAGGATCAGTCTTTCATTATGTTGGATACTCCTTAGGACTTGATGTCAGAACCCGTACAAGCACTGTTCTGTCCTTCAGCATGACCCTACCTGCAACCACTGGCTATGAGTTTGTTTTGCGGTATCTGGTAAGTTTGATGAAAAAACTTCGAATTAAGTAGCCACTCCGTCCTTCTTGTGAAAAGGCATGCATAGCCGTGATTGACTTTAAATCACACGTGGGGTTTGCTAATTCATTTCTTAATTTTAGCTCCATACCTGGGATCATGAGGTGTTTAGCACTTTCAATTGTCCAATCCATTTTCTATCACTTATGATTATCAGAAATATTTATCAGTCATGACAGCAAGGGTGAATACCTGAGAAAATATTTATTTTCATCTTAGTTAGAAATCCACTCTGCTGAAAAAGAGAAAATTTTTGTTTTTGAAAAAGAGACGATTTTCCACCACGAGACAGTCAAACGTGTGTCATGTATGATTATATTAAGAAATACAACTTTTTGTTGGTCATTTTATTCAATTTACTGTCTAATTTTTTCAAGATCCTAGCATTATTTTGCTTTTCTTCTTTTGTGCGGTGTTAAAATACTTTTAATCCCACTTAGAAAATCTTCACTCTACAACACTTCCATGAATATAGAGTTTACCAGATCATCATAGCCTACCTTCTATTTTCCTTCAGTCGAGTTATACCTTCAGTAACACCATGCTAACGATTAGCCGCCAGTTTGCTTTCCAACCCTATGCCTGCCAAATGGATGGATCGACCGAGCAGATAACCGTTGGTGGAAATATTGTACTATATAACAATCTACCTTTCAATAATCAAAGTCGCAGTTTTGGGTCGGTGTGTCTTTCGCAAGGAGCATACAGCATCTCACTTAGTATCCCGTTTAACAGCTCTGTCGCTAACGCAAGAATTCTTGTCACGTCTGTAAGTATCTGGTTAAATTTCTGGCATTTGAATTTAATGCACAGCTATAAATGTAAATAGACAGAAGAGAGCTTTCATCTTATTTAACTGTCATTTTTAAAATTTACAAAACATTCCTAAAAAGCTACAGAACAATAACGATACAATCTACATACACTGGTACGGGATGTGCCATTATTTGGGGTTTTTAAAACATTTGGGGTTTCATCTATGGTAATATCAAGTATTGTCATAAATTTTGTTTTTTGAAAGATTTTTTTCACGGTCTAAATTTTGGGGTATCATTTTTAAAAAAGGTAGAATTTTTTCATACTTTATTTATCATTTCTCATTTACTCTCATTTACTTGATTTTTGCATGTTTGAATTAGTTTTAAAGGTATGGCATTACATATTGTATCTAAATTTTGACGTAGGGTATTTTGTAATATATTTTTATATATCAAAATGGCACACCCCCGTCCTCAGCCTATAAACTTTACCCCCGGGAGGTACCACAGGGGGGGGGGGGCATAACATTTCATAACAATCCTGTGTCCATATACAATTAATTCATGGTCTGTTCCAAAAAGATGCTTAGCGAGACACCCAGGAAGTGAAATATATGCCAATGTCATTCATTCAGCTTTTTCTGAAATGTTTCTTTTAAAACATTTGCCTTTTTTATTAGCAATGCTTGAATTCCCTGCTTTTTTTGTCATAACTAATTATCTTTTTCGTCAGCTGCTAGTCCTGCCGTCATATCGATACTCCGCTTTATACATGGCTGCCAACACAACAACACAGTCACGTATTCGATTCTACTACAATCAAGCGTACAGCCAATCATCATGGTCAGTTTACCAGGCTGAAGGAGCATTTTACATGGGCTATCTGTACGGTGCAGTGGTTTCGTCGTCTCAAAGTAGGTCATTCACTGTTTGAGTAACCGTTAGCCGGTTTTCAACTTGGCGGAATATTTCGCGAGAAGCGGAGCGGCTGCTTTTTAGGATATCGGATCGATTTCAACTTGCTGCTCTTGCTGCACAAATGCGCCAGCCAAATAGATCGCATAGCAACCTCTCGAGAATTATGCGTATAATATTCCGCCTTGGTACTGTGCATTGCTTAATATCATCTTTTCTAATGCACAGCTAACCCCCATCTTTCACACAGAGTCCATGGTCTGTACAACTGAACCTACACATTGAAAATAATACCTCATAGTCACATTGGGTACTGTTGTTTGCGCATTTGTAGTTTGTTCAAATTCGTCTAGCTTTCATGATATTTCACGATAAGGCGTTTGGAGACGTCTTGGAGTAGATCGTCATCTCTATTCATGCCATTTCGTTTTGTATTTCTTATATACTGTAGCGCCATCAGCCAAGTTTGGCTGCTTTTCAGGAAACCGTGTCAAAACCTAATTAAAATCTTCTTAAAATGAAAATGTTCACGATGTTAAATTAGAGTAAATGTAATTTTCTCTATGAGTTCTCTAAATTATGAGTTATTTTCTTCTTAATCTACATTTAAAAGTAGACAGACAAATAGTTTTACAAATGGTCCACGAATGGAATCGATAGCTTCTTTGCCTTGGCCTAAGCTAAAAATCAAAGAGTTTCCCTCATTTTTATAGCCAAAGCCACCAAGATGTTAAAATGTTAAGCAACATAATAGTATTTTTCTTTCAAGGTTGCCAGTGTAACAATATTGGATCAATCACAACGGCATCATGTGATCAGTATGGTGGACAATGCCGTTGCAAAGCGAATGTCACAGGGTTACGTTGTGATTCTTGCCTTCCTAACCACGCGAATTTTTCTTCAGGTCTTGGATGTTCAGGTGAGTTTATGGGTATTTCTAAAAACATTCGAACCTTTTGTAATATATCTTTGATATCAATCAGATCTTAATAACTATTGATATCCAATCAATGAGCAAAAACCGTCGCTACAATTTAACATGCATACAGTTTTTTGCCAAAAATTTGCTTGATATTTTTTATAGATAATGCTTGCTGCTGCATAGACCTCTACAGGTCATCAGGCAACTTATTCTGGCCGGTGGATGCTATTATTTTTCAATATCGTGTCAATGGGATTAGTATTGAAAATCACTGTCTTGCCGGTCTGTCAAATAGTGCTCGATGCTGTTTAAGTTGAGCTGTACATGTTTTGGTGCATAGATATTTGCAACACAGACATTCACGCATAATCCAGTTATCAGGCAACAGTGACATCGGGCATCAAAATAAATTTTTTTCAGTTATTTGATTTGGAGTTATTATGTAAAGCTTTTTATAACATAGCTATATTGATAACAAAAATTATATTGTCTATCCAGTGGTGGACACCTGGGGGGGGGCAAGAGGGCGGTCTCCCCTCGATATTTTGTAAGACAATGGTCTTTTGTTCTCAAAAAATGGGGGAAATGTGACGTCATCTTATCAAAACAAAAGAATTGCCCCCCCCCCAATATTTGATCAAGTGTCCGGCACTGTGTCTGTGTATTTTTTTTCAAAGCACTAGTGAATTTGATGCTTGAAGTTCAGTTCAGTTAAACCTTTCTTTTCATTTTATGTTCATCATTATTTAGAATTTCGATACTACTTCATGTCACTTTATCGACTGTCTGTTGCTTTAACCATTAGCCTGCGGCTGCCATCCGTTTGGATCTCAAAATACAAGCTGTCATCCACAAACTGGGCAGTGTTTCTGCGAAGCTAATGTTGTTGGTGCCAAGTGTGACCAATGTCGATCCGACTATCATGGCGTCAACACTGGTAGAGGATGCGTGCCATGCAACTGTTCTAGTGTGTATGCCTCAAGACAGCAATGCTACGAAAACGGAACCTGCGCATGCAAGCAAGGCATTGGAGGAGAGAAATGCTCTCAGTGCTTGCCGGGCTTTCATACTCTCACTACATCAGGTAAATTGAATTTATATATATGTTTTTTTATTAATTTTTCGATTTGCTTTGAGTAACTTCTTTTTCCGCTGTATTTGTCAGACTCAGTTGTCTTAAGGCTCACAAAACCTCTTTTTATTGGTCTGCCAAACAGTAGTACTGTTGTATCAGAACAAAGCAATCCTTAACGCTCACTATTCATTGAAATTCAACTTATAAAAACCAATAATAATGGCCACAGAATGCCCTAAGCAATCTATTTGATAGTGTAATCTGAAAAACCCATTGTTAAAAGGTTTTGCATAGTGTGCATCTCTTCCCTTTTTAATTGGCTGTAATGATATCTAAAGTCTATGAAAATTATCCTTTCCTTTACCCGTTTTGCTTAGCAGCAAGTGGGAAAAGTCCTTGTTCTCGTCAAACTTTATCGCTATCTGAATACCTACCGCTGCATATTGCTGTTTGCAATTAAAGAGCCTAAAGTTTACACTCGATTGTAGGTTATTTATATTTTGTTTTTTTTTCAGGTTGTACTCGCTGCAGTTGCAACCCCATCGGAAGTGTGAATTCTGTTTGCAATACATCGTCAGCCTCTTGTCATTGCAAGCCGAACACCTCTGGCCCGTCATGCAGTCAGTGCAGGCCCAGTTACTATGGATACAGTAATCAGTTCCCTGATATTTGTATTCGGTGCTATTGTTCCGGAAAAACACAGCAATGTACAACGGCTAGAGGGTTCTTTCATACAACGATCAACACGACTTTACTGACAACTGTTAACAATGTTGCCTTGGATGGATGGACATCAGTGAATGGCAATGGTTTTGCTTCAGGAAGCCTGTTTTTGAGTTGGTTTGGGCCTTTCAGGTTGGTTTGGATCTTTTGTATTGCACTTCTATTTGTAACTCACACTCTCTTTTTTTATAAGAACCAGTAAATTTAGGTTCAGGCTGACTGTTCTCAATTTTTTCGAAAATCTGAGGCTGGATTATTCTTAATTTGTTCTTAAATTAAGAGGGTGTAAGCAGTGCTATTGCTAGCTTTTTCGCTCTAAGGAGGTGTTCAGGCCTCATTTGCCAACAAAGTGAGTGAGACAGCTTTAATTTGCTGACAAATTTGAATATCCACCGAAAAAGCACCCACACATCGCTAAAAATCCTCGATTTTGAGAAAAAACGTTGTTCAAAATTGCATTTTGCAGAAGCTCAGCCTCAGCTTGTTCTTAATTTGTTCTTGGTTTTTGACCAGTTTTGAGGCCCGTGTTCTTATAAAATTGTTCTTATAAAAAAAGAGTGTATATGGAATGGTAATGACATAAAATGACTAAATTACTAAGGCAGCCTTTCCACTAGCAAAACTGATTTAAAATGTATCCGTCTTTAAAGTGAGTCAATGGAAACGCCAGTTTGCTTCAAACTCGTTCTAACCCATATGTGATCGTTTCCTTTGAGCTGGGTTGAAATGAACCCGGGCTTAAAATGTATCCTTAACCCGCTACACTTCATGTAAATCGGATTTAGATTAATATAAACAGCAGTCAAAACACGCAGAACGTGTTTTTGTTGTGAGTGGATCAAAAGTTATCCGGGTTTGACGTTCCCTCTAGCCCACAGTTGGGTTAAAAGATACCCGGGTCAAAATACTTATCCGTTTTTCAAGTGTGTTAGTGGGAACGCAGCGCAAAAACGGATAACTTTTAACCTAAGCCGGGTTAATGGAAAGGCTGCCTATGAAGCAAAACTTTAAAATTAAACTTTGCAAATCCAAAAATTGAATGTCTAAATTGTAATTCACCATAGTGTTTTTTGTGCAAGTTAACGAAATTCTCTACTCTTATCATTGAATGAGTGATCGGCTAGCATAAACTCTTTGTCAAAATCTTTGTTATTTGTAGTTTTGTTTTAAGTTTCAAGGAGATCTTTAAGTTTTATTTCAATTCGATTATCTTGATTGCTACTTCTTTTATGTCTTATTTGCAAGCTTGGTTGTGGCTTTAGATTGTTCTCTCAACACCACATTTGCCAATAGTTTTAATACACTATTCTAATATCAACAGAGGTTCGGTTCAGTTGCAGAACACCAGAGAGGAAAGTGAGCTTTTCTTTGTTGCCCCATCCAAATATCTTGGCGATAAACGAGCTTCATACATGCTGAGCCTAACGTTTTTATTGAGTCAAGATACCACAAATCAGCCAATCAATTCATCACTTGGTGACGTCATATTGCGAGGAAACAATGCATCGTACACATTGGTAACAAAGCTGAATGCTGCACCTCTACAACATCCATCGTTCAGAAGCTACAAGGTATTGCCGGTTCCCCAATTATGCTTCAAACTTTTTTGCTTTTGTTAAACATATAACAAAAACAGAATGCAAGCTAGTCCATATAGAATAACGAATACCTATGTTCCTCGTTGAAATCCAGTCTATTACTGTATTTACCTAGAAGCAAAGCTGTGTTCGAAAAAGAGATTGCATCGAATGTCTAGTAGAAATGAATAAACTGGCGATTGGTTGCTTATTAATAGATGCTAGTTGTATTTCTATTGATTTCCTTAAATTAGTGCTGGCTAGTTAGATTGACATAAACTAAGTTGAAGTACATATACGACGGATATTGGTATCTACTTGCCCTTAACAAAAGCTCAAAACAACAAGCTATATGTCGCAAAAAATGTTTTAACTATGAAGATTTTTTGCAATATTGCTGGCTGCTTTTATTAGTTTTTCCAACCATGGAATTTGCACGTTTGGTCTTAGCGTGAATTTCATAGCAGTATATATCGAAAAATGATCAGAAAAAACGTTGATCATTTCTCTGTTTGCTTTGACATTGAGGTAATTGTTTCGTGTCCTTTTTCGATCGACACTTCAATTTGAATCCTTGTTTTAGGTCATGTTTCAAGAAAGATATTGGGCTAAAAACCAGATCGGCGGAGCCTCGGTTACGAGCGAAGAATTCATTGCAGTCATAAGCAACCTACGATCTCTGCATATAAGAGGGAAGTGGACAACGGTGGGTTTGTGTGCTTAACAGCTTCTTGCAATTCGTAGTAGATTTTTGTTTATGTCACTGTTCATCCCCATATCACTCTCTATCATATAATTCCAAATTATAAAACGGTCCTTGCTATTCCAACCCAGATTGAAATCCCAACTGGTAGTATTTGCCTGTACTCTACCATCAACAATTGTATCCCCGCGAATGATTTAATATGACAATTTGTTTAGATCTTATACTTTGGGAGGTTTACCACTTTTGGGTTGTTCTGTCACTCTTCTGAGCAAATTAAAAATGCCGTAGCAAAGACAGTCAAATTGCAAAAATTCAAATCTCTCAGTATCGAGCAGAAGTTTTTCATTTTATTGTCTCTTTTGTTAATGCTTATTCTAAGAGTAACCGTACTTTCAAGAGGCAAGTTCTGGAAACTTCCCATCAATTTCAAATCTTAATCCTTCAGACAAATTTGTTTTCAACCAGGAAATCCAGAACATAAAACGGAACAAGCTGATGAAAACTGAGTACGAGGAACTAACTTTTTAAACCAGCTTTCGTCATGTGAAGTCTTAATAAACTCAAATAAAAATTTATACTTTATCAATCGGACTTTGAGAAATCGTGAAGCTGCATTTGTTCTCGTTTAGTAATTTAGTTTTTTCGATTTGGTAAGTTACAAAAAGTATAAAACTGGAATGCTTTTAGATTAAAGGTTGAAATGCTACTGTTTTATTGTAATGGAAACAACGTTATATCTTTCACAGGCATCCAGACAAAGTTCTTATCTCGCGAACATTCAAATGGAGTATAGTACAAACACTGCTGTTTCCAGTAATGCTTCATATAACGTCGAAAATTGTTCGTGTCCTCTTGGCTATACTGGTTTATCGTGCGAGCGTTGCGATCGTGGTTACACAAGAAGTACACCATATGGTGCAGCAAGCACGTCTTGCGTTCCATGTAGATGCAACAATCATTCATCTACGTGTAATCCAGTAAATGGCGTGTGTGATCAGTGTCAACATTCTACCACGGGTAAGTGCCACAAATTACAACTTCCTATACAAAACTTCTGGTACTGTACTAAAACTGGTGAAGCGAACGGAAGTTAAATGAATTCCGATGCAAAAGTTAACTTGTTTGATTGAAATTAAAACTTAATTCCCTTTTTTGTTACTCAAGATGACATGCATAACATTAAAGCCAGGGGCGGTCACTTTGTCAAATATTGGGTGCAAGCCTACTGTTTTGATAAGATGACATCATATTTTCCCACTATTTTAGAACAAAAGATTTTTGTCCTCCAAAAAATTTGGGGCACCCCCTTACCACAGATTGAAGCCCTGGAACCACATCCCAATAGAGTCCTTGAAATCTGATTACCCGCATTCAAATATGTTACGAAAGAAATCAATTAATGTTTTGCAATAATAAAACTGGCTTTGAAAAAAGCAAACATTTTGAAACATGAAAAACACGTTACTAAAGCTTTTCCTCTGACACTCGACGTTTTGTACTCTGAAGAGTGTAAAGATGGATGCTAATCTTTCGAAGTCTCTCACCGCCTCGTCTCACTTGCCCTGTTACTTTGTTGAATACCGTATTTGTATTTCAACTCAATCAGTTACGACACCTCAGTATTCACATTCTGATTCAGACTAAGTAGCTACTAATTATTTTGCAGAATATGCTCATAATTCTAGCCTTGACAGACAATAATTTTATTCACTGTCTGTTGAATCGTTCGTGTCCTGGGAACAGGGTGATGGCAAGTCCTTTTTTCCGCCAAGAAATGTGTTATCATGCATTTTGAAAAATCACTTTTGCACCTTGAAGTTTCACTGCTCACTTGATGGTTGAGATTTATGTGTTGTAGTATACGCACACGAACTTCAATATGAATTAAGATACGCTTTTAAAAATTGTATTATCTATGTATCACCAGAGCTTATAACACTGTCCTGCTGAAGTATAAAGTGACAATAATTAAAGGGAGTGTTTTCTTTAGAAAGAGGCATGTCCCTTTGCACTACTTTAAGGGCTTACTTACTAGCCTGGTTATTGACAGCAACATAGGCCAAGATGAGTAACGAAAATTGTGCTTTTTCTGTAGCTCGTCGGTTGCTTCTTGTGTAATTATGTGCTATGACGTATGATTTACCAATTATGAGTGATAACTTCAACTGCATTTAGTTTAATTTTTCTGAGATGTTTCTTTTCTGCTCAATAAGCTCTTTCTTGCATTTCTTTTCATTTTCTGCACCTTTTCCCACCCCCTTCCTCCCGTTAAAAGTAATGTTTATTGGTGCGTTTGAAGGCTTATCCAGCAGAGACTGGCTGTTCATTACCTTCCTCGTGATTCCTATACCAGGAATTATAAAAAGCGGGGTGATTCCATGTTTAGTCAGAGTAATCAATTGAAAGGCCGATTCCTTAGATTTGAAGTCACACAGCGCCACCAGCGAGTTTCCTTGACATGTGACTTTAGGAGAGGGGAGGGGGGTGTATTGGAAACCATTGCTGCATAATTTTCAATGTGATCATGGGCAACAAACCTCGCAACAAACGATATTCAACGTAACTTGAATTACGGTTTTCACTTCCAGGTACAAACTGTCAAAGCTGCCGCGCAGGTTACTATGGTAATGCCACTCAAGGCACTCCGCTTGACTGCAGCCCTTGTCGATGCCCTGGAGGACCTGGGGCATCCAATCAGTATTCTCCTGTCTGTGCCTTAGCCAACGACGGGTCGCCCAACTGCACGGCCTGTGAATCTGGCTACAAAGGCAGGCGTTGCGAGATGTGTCAAGAGGGGTTTTTCGGCAACCCACTGGTAAGAATATTATTATGAAAAGAGAGGCTTAATCTGATTACGTTGTATATTTACTTCGCTGGGTGGATGTGATTTTGATTGATATACTACACTTCTATTGGATGATAGGCTCGATCTATTTTTAGAGTTTTCGCTCGTCGGAACAGTACTCTTTTGTCTTCGCACAAACCCTTTAGCAATCCACAAACAACGGCATTACAATTAAGATCATGGCTTGTTATCATCATCGTCGACATTGTCGTCGTCAGTGTCGACCCCATCGTCATAATCGTCGTTATCATTGTTAACGTAAAACTTGGCGTAATTTTTGCAAAAATTGTCATAATCATCATGTTTATCATGGATGTTGGTCTTTGCCATCGTCATAATCGTCGTTTTCGTTATTGAAGTAAAAATTGTCATAATTTTCGTAAAAATTGTCACAATTTTCGTAAAAATTGTCATAACTTTCGTAAAAATTGTCATAATTTTCGTAAAAATTGTCATAACTTTCGTAAAAATTGTCATAATTTTCGTAAATATTGTCATAATTTTCGTAAAAATAGTCATAATTTTCATAAAAATTGTCATAACTTTCGTAAAGATTGTCGTAACTTTCGTAAAAATAGTCATAACTTTCGTAAAAATTTTCATAATAGTTGTGATTGTGATAGTTGATGTAATTGTTGTCATTTTTCGTCGCCGTTTTCATTAGTTATTGACTTTAACTCCATGATGCCATGACCAACCTTTTGAAAGTTTTGTGGAAATAGAATTTTTAATTTTGCCAACTGCTCTCACATACAGCTAAATTTTGTATTTTAAAGATTCCTGGGAGAAGATGCGTCCAATGTCAATGTAGTGGCAACTCGCTAAGTTGCAATAACGCAACAGGAGAATGTATGAACTGCCTATACAATACCACTGGTTTTAATTGTGAACGATGCAGAAATGGCACATATGGCAATGCATTAAGCACGAATCCTGTGAAATGTCAAGGTACTTCTTCTAAAGCTCTTTTTGATTTCGTTAAGATACAGAGGGCAGAACTGTATTATCGGAAACAATATAGGTGACGTCATGTTTTGGATATTTATTCTGTGTGATCTTGAAATGCTTCTTATTATTCCTTTATATCTTGTCTTCTATGAAAAACGTATTTGCTTTTTAATCCTTGCACAGTAAATACGAGTTTGTATCTGTCTACTTTTCATGTTCTGTATATTATTTTCTGCATATCTTCGTTCTTAGATTGTAACTGCGATGCCATAGGATCACCTAGCAACACTTGTAATTCAATCACTGGACGGTGTTCTTGCAAGACGAATGTATACGGTCGTACATGTAATCAATGTGTCCCAAATAGTTATAACTTTAGCAGTGGCGTTGGCTGTACTCTGTGCCATTGTAACACATTTGGATCTGCTAACCTCCAATGCCGTAATGTAAGTACATAAATGCTACAAGAACGTCCTTAACTCACTTCCTCATTGAGATTTATGAGTGGTACGACGGAAAGCGCAATGAGTTTTCAGTGTCAAAATATCTAATTTTAGAGTGGATTTTCCGTATTATGTCGAACCAAAAGTTTGGGGTACTACCTCCTAATCCCAAATGTATTTGCTGCTAAACCCCTCCCCTCTATTCTTCTCCAATTTCAAAGTAGAGTTATACTTCTTAGAAAAGATGGATTTTTCAGTGATAGCAAATAGAATCATTATTACAAACGGCTTGGAAAACCCCAAAACGAAACACAGTTAGAAATTTGTTGGTTCAGAATTACTTTGCTTATTGATAGTCATTGCATATAACAGTGAGTTTATAAAGAATAAGACTGTCATCTCCTTTCAACAGATTGGATAAAACACTATGATTCGTTTGTTGTGGATTGCATTTCAGCCTTTGCAATAAAATCCCATCCACAATGTTTTCAGTAGAGCAACCTCGCTCTTTGCCGAAACGATGACGGCAGTAAATCAGGCGAAGTGAATTTTTCACTATCGCAGGCGTGAAGTATTTTCTTACCAATACATTTTAATGATAACATTGTTTGTTCGTTTGTCTTAACTTGAATATTTCATGTTATCTAGAACGGAACATGTCACTGTAAAGCACGTGTCACTGGCGAGAAATGTGATCGCTGCATGCCTGGCTATTACAATTTGGCTGCTGGCTGCCTGCGTGAGTATCATCTTTTCGTATCATCTTTACTAGGAATAGAAAAAAGGAGTGTTGTTGAAAATTGTTCTGTCAAGTTTTCATTATTCTAAGATATTTTGTATCAGTTAGAAGATAACGCAACTTTTCGCACTGCGTGGCGTGAATTGTTGTTTACATTGCTTCTGCGCATAAGTGGCAATAAAATACGTCCCGGAGCGACAGTGTACCGGATTCATGAGTTTGCAGAAAAACTTGAATCGATTCGTCCTCTATCGATGTTAGGTGTAACCGCTCCGCCAAAAACTATACAGGATGTATGGAACAGTGATGGACGTATGTCATAAAGAAACGTCCAGAATCTGTGACGCAGTTAAAATGTTCACCTTCAAAATCTTACTACAGTGATTACCAGCCACTTTTTTTAACTATAAACTTCGAATGAAACAATAAACTCTTAAAGTTTGCGACATCTTTGCATAATCATGAACTATTGTAAATGAATGCAAATGGTTGTAAACCAGCATTAATCACCATTAAGCAGTGTTAATAATCGTGAATCATTGTGAGTGATCGAGAATCATCATGAGTCATAATAAATCTGCGTCATCGTGGATCAGCTCAAACAATCATGAATCATTGTAAATCGGCATCCCGTAAAAGCTCTATTAATCTCTCTCTCTGTGAAGCCAAATTACCATGCTAAAATTTGAAATAAGCCACCCCTCTCCATTAAGTCCCCACTTCGGCCCCTGATGTCAAACAAAGAAAACATGCGCATTGAGTGGTTCTCTTGACGGGTCAGGGTTGCCTTGTGCGCCTTAGAAATCAAGAGGATACTGATGTTGATTATTTCGAAGAAATCCGAAATCATTGTGGCATTTTTATTCTATGTTTTATTTTGAATAATTAATAAGCCCTCCTTGCAAATAAGCTTCCCTTTCAAAGAAGCCCCCCCCCCCCGGGTTATAATAGAGCTTTTACGGTAAATCAAAGCAAATCAGCCCGATAGATCGTACTCCATCGTCAATGACAATGTGAACGGAAGTAAATTCTCGTCGAGAACCTGTATTCTGGTATTGTTTCTTTATAAACATCTTCATAGAAAAGCCCAATCCGTCTACCTACCGCTCTTCACCTACCGAGCTCATCTTTACCGAGCTCATATTACGTACCAGATATCTTTATCGTACATAGCCATTGAACCCCTTTGTTTGTAGAAGTATTGGCATTTGGAAGCAGGCCTTAAACCTGTCGGCAAAAGGCGAAGACGATTCGTACTTGTTTCGTACTTGTAAGTTTTGATAGAGCTAGCTGGACCTCCAAACAGGACTTCCAAATATTGTCTCAAAGAAAAGATGTTCTAGGGCTTTTTTATTGGACTCTTTTCATGCCAAACGGGATTTCTCTTCATATGCATTGCAGCAAGACCTTGTTTTGTTTTATTTGTTTTATTTTCACATTTCTTGATTAATCTCTTTCAGCATGCAATTGTAGTTCCAACTACACCATTGAAAATACGACATGTAATGCGAACACTGGCCTATGTCAATGTAAAAGCACAACCTCTGGCGGACGGTATGGCGGTCGCCAGTGTTCCCAGTGTGGATCAAACGCATTTGGTACGTATATACTTTTTTTTAGGGCAAGCAAATTTTTTCTGCAAACTTTGACTAAAGTCTTTTTTCGAAGAGCTTTAAACGTCACTTTATTAGCAAAGAGCGTTTCTTTTTACGGCAGCTAATATGCAAATGTTTTTTGGCGTTGCAGGAACGCCTCCGAATTGTGAGCTGTGTGTCGAAGAATGCTACAACAACTGGAATGGCTACATTTCAACGGAAACTGGCAGACTAGCAAACCTTATGGCAAACACTTCTGCATTGCTTGCAAGGTTTGGTAGCATGTCTTATTCACAAATCAACACAGAAATACAGATCTTGAACAATAATTTGACGTATGCTTCAACTGTATTTGAAGGGGCGCAGTACGATACAAGGGCTAAAGAGGCGCAGTTTAGACAGGTAAGCCAGTGTTCTTGAGTGTTGAATATTGGTATTGATGCTTTTGAAATACTTTTGACTGAAAAATAAGCACATCATATCATTGATACTACAATCCATGTCAAAGTTAGTCGAACAGACACAAACGCTTCCCATCTTCCCAGTTATTCGAACAGCCCCCCTTTACAGTGCTCATAAAACTTGTATTAGATGTATAAAAACCTGAAATAGCAGATGTAGATTAGAAGTTTAACAGCAGCGTTGATAATTTAAGAGATTCATCTTTCGAACTTGAATATTGTGGTGTTACAGCTTTTTTGAAAAAACTGTAGATGCACTTGGAATGCTCATGATATTCTTAGTCACTGTGCCTTTAAGATAAAGCACTGCTGAAAATTGAGTAATGATTGGCAGGTCGATTTAAAAATGCCTCAGTTGCTTAATGGTTGAGTAACTGATTGCGCTACTGAGCCAGTTACTCGTTCGCCTGATTGATTACAGATTTACCATTCTTACCGATTTACAACTCGCCCGATCAGAAGTGGCGGATTTACACCAGGAATTTGCTTTTGACTGTCCCTAATGCATCATGTACAACATAATTTCTCGTAAACTAAACAGAAATGATTAGATTTATAGTCTTTTTTGTCACACAACAGCGAAAAACATTCATGGATGACATCTATGTTTTCCTATTGTTATCCTGTTCTACTGTAGCTTATTATTTTTCTTTCAAACTATATCTACATTATGTATGACATCAATTTTGAACATGCTTTTGAGCTGAATATGTCTTGCTAATGCAATGAATATGTCTTGCTAATGCAAACATTTGGATATTTGTTTACCGGCCTATCGGCATTTTTGCAGCACATATATACTTAATTGTACATGATATTGGCTTCTTCAATAGATCGAGACAAGTATCATTACATTCGAGTCATCGGTGAACAGATCCAATGAACAGCTGCAGTCTTTAGAGCAGTACTTTACAGCCACAAGATCATTCAACGGCGTAGTCAACTTAGATTCAAGCACACCCTCTTCCTTTCCATCGCCATTCACAAACCTACAAGTGACGTCACTCACTTTCAGCGTTCCTGCGACTGCCAGCCCGGCATCGATCACCACAATGGCCCAGGGATATCTGTCTTCTTCAAACGCGAATAATGCTTCAGCTACTATCCTTTATTCGACAATACTTCAAAATCACAATCAGGTTTGTCTAAATTGCTTTTTGGTTGCCTGATTTTAGTTACTTTGATGCCATGGCATATACAAGAAACACTTCAATATCCGAGTTATATGTATATAGATGTACACTGAGAGGACAAAAGTATGGAAACGATAGTCAATAATGGCGGCTCACAGTGGCCAAGGGCCCAAGGCGATAAATCTTCGAAACAAAATTACTAGGTGACGTGGTCTTCGTTGCTAGTGACGTCGGCAGGAAAACAATGCGTCATTTCAAAGGCTTTGGAATAAAAACAAATTTGGAGGATTATTCAACTGTTTTTATGAACAAAAATACGGGGAAACGTTGAACCAACATTCAGAAAAAATCTGAAAAAAATTACCGAAGCATTGATAAACAATTACGATAAAATGTTGCCAATTTTGAGGAAGCGCAACATACTTTGTTCATACTGAAATCTGGATACGTTATGTTTAAACTGACAATAAAATTATTACTTGGAAGATTCTTTTTGGTTAGATGTTAGCCTGCAGATTATTGATAATGAAATAAGACGCACACGGTTCAAAGGTGATGTTTAGCGATCAAAATAATTTATTGTCTAAAAAACATGAACAGCTTGGATTTGAATTATTCTATTCACGATTTACAAAAGGACAATGAAGAAAAAACGTTTTACTTAATGTTTTTGAATTGTTACTTGTGTAGATGATGAACATATTAAAGATTCAAAAACCAGTCTTTTTAGTCAAATTAACAGCGACTTACCTGGTGTCAATAGTGAAACTTTCAAGCCCTAGATTTCTGCTAAAACAGTCTTCTAAGTAATAATTTTGTCATCAGAGCTAAGCTTGAAGTTTCTTTACCAATATTTTTACTTAAGCGTTATATCCTTTTTCAAAAAAGCTTCATTTCATTGTCACTATTTACAAATGCTTCAGATATTTTGTAGAGAAAAAATTTGAAGCAGTGCTTCAATGTTTTACTGAATTTCCTCCTTTAAACAGCAACTAAACGCTCAATTTTGTTTTCGACTGAAACTCTGTAAAATGACGAATGCATTTTCGCGTCATTAACTATCGTCCCCAAGCCCCTTCACCTAGTAATTATGTTTCAGAAATTTATCGCCTTAGGCCCTTGGCCACTGCGAGCCGCCATTTTTAACGACCGTTTCCATACTTTTGTCCCCGAAGTGTATATATAAGTAATATGTGGATGCGTCTCCAAATGATATATTTGTATAGTCCATACGATACATCTATATAGTTCTTTTCAATGAAATGAAAGTTACTGTTTACTGATCTGTCATTAAGTGCTCGATGCCGTATAGGCAGAACTGTACGGTTCCTGATGATCGCATAAACTCTGTGTAGCAACTTAGAACCGTCCTGTTCTATACACCGTAGTCTTTTATGTTTCCCTCCATTTTTGCTTTCTCTTTCTAAAAGATTTAAGGCCTTATTTTAAGGAACCGAATCTGCAGGAAACATTAAAGGAAATTGCTTTGTCTCATTGCAAGTTTAAGTAAAACAAATCTAAAATTATGAAGGTGAGATATCTCTAGGGAATTTGCAAAAAGAAATTCGATTCCTTTTTGGATGACACCATGTTGCAAAATGTTAGGCTACATTTGATCACAGCAATTGTTGTTGTCTTTGGTCGTGCATAAGACATTTACGCCTGTTGATCTTTTATAGATTCAAACGGCAAACCAAAGCATCAACCAAGCTGCCTCCGATATTTCTGCCTCAATGGCCAGGCTGTTCCAAGCGGCAACAGAACGAGCTAGGGCATCAACATTCCTAGATGCGAGTTTCCAGACTACTTTCCAGGCCAACGCAGTCGAGCTGCAGCAAATAAACAGCCTGGTCCAGGGGATCAAAAAACTCCTGGATAGTACAGCAACAACACACTCTGAAGCAACACAGCTACTTAGTACTGCGCAGGCAACAATGACTACTGCGGAGTCAATTCTAAATACAAGTCGAAACCAAGCTAATGCGGCTTCGCAGGCTGCCAGTGAAATGCTGCTTAGTGGCTCGAGTTTGCAAGCTAATACACAACAGACACAGTCTTTAGCAATCAGACTAAAGGTATTTGTTTTGACTGCTCACAATTCTATCATTTTAAATGCACAGAGGGATGTTTAATGGAACAGCTAGACGAAATGTCTATGCTGAAATTGAATCTTTTATCAGGGTTGTGTCCCATAAAAGCCAATTAAGTAGCCACCAACATAAGGTCAATTCGTTTATCGGTTGAAAGAAAAGCATTCCTGCTGTCAAATGTTTTTACAAGCTGTTATTAACAGCCAATTAAAGTAGTAGAAAATGAAAAATGCACTGACTGATGACAACAAGCATTTATGAAAAAGGACGATTTGCAAATGTACTCGCTGCTCATACATTCAGTTGATTTCAATGCTATCTTTACCTACTTATATATCTGTGTACAGTGCATAAAATGAGGTTCTTTCGCAAATTTGACTTTTAATGATTCTATCAATTACTATTTAACACTAGAACCGATGTAGCTTTTTTTGAAATGTATGAAAAATAAAACAGAAAGGAACCTAACGGTGACATTTGCAACGATTTTTTTACTTTAGTCGAACGCCGATGCTCTTTTGTATGATGCCCAACAAACTACTTCCAGTGTTGCGACGTCGATAAATAAAGTTGCGACCATTCGAAATCAAACCGAGGAAGCTACGAGGACAGCGAACCAAGCCATCAATCAAACTCTCCCCGTCAGCTTATCTAGAATCCAGTCACTTTCTGCACAAATCATGGCAACAACAATTAACGAATCGCAGATAAACCAAACATTGAAAGGAGCTACGGATGGTTTAAGGCGCGCCCAGGAAGTTCAAATATTGTCTCAGCAAGCCCAGTAAGTATTTTTGCCGCTTGCTTATATTTTGAACTGAAATGATGAATAAATGTAAATAAGGAATGTAGTGATGTTTATTTTGTTTTGCTTGCAAGGAAAATAGTAAATGCTTTATATTATAAAATCATTTTAGAGAAATGTTTGAAACATGTCTTCCAAGTTGTTGAATGAAATACACGATTCTTTTATTTTCTCAAAGGAACTCTTCCCAGTCAACTTTGGCCAATATTCAATCTGTTGAAGCCTCATTACTGTCTGCAGAAACGCTGCAAAACTCTACACGGCAAATGCATTTAGACAATGACAAAAAAGTTACAGAAATAAAAAATATCAGTAGAACTGTTGAAAGCCAGTTCAGAGGTCTTCAAGGAACAGGCCAACAGGTCCTGGCCCTCGTAAACTCAACGATCACTCAAGTTAATGACAGTTTGATGTGCTTTGCGAACGCCAAGAGCACAGTTGATAACGCAACGTCAATAGCCCAATCAGCTCAGAGTTTATCTACAAGTGCTCTTTTGGTAAGTAGAAAATACACTTGTTGTTTATACGCAGAAAATTTTGATCTTCGTTTGTTATTTCGTGCCAAGGTGATAGGATTGGCCACCGTATGTCGTTTCATCCACTGTGCTATCCTATATGATTTAAAGTCAAGTAAAAAAAGTAAGATTTATCAGTATGAAGCCAGAGAATTCATTGTTTTGACGCAAGAGGAATTGTAATTTTTTCTGTTAAACGGACCGTCTGTTTAAACCAACTTTTCCTCTTGCACTTATTTAATTTCAGTATCAAGTTCTTTTCTTCTGTCGGAAGCAAGGAATTGCCACACACAAGGGGCGAAGCCTATTTCTTTCACATTGTAAGAAAGATTCGGCCATTTCCATTTAAGATGACTATAAGATCTGGAAACTTGAAATGCAAAGATTTCAGTATTTTGTTGTCTGCAATAGCTAAATTTAACGTTTTCTGTAAGTATGAAAATAATCGACAAAAAGAAGGCGACAAAACTTCCAAATTTATCGTAATAGCAAGCAGAAATACCTTTCAATATCTACCTATTTCAGCGAGTAATTTGAAACAATAAGGTATTCTTCACACAAACACTGTCAAAGCAGGTTTTTTTCTCAAGAGCAAGAGATGCACTTGGATGGAAATATCTATGATTTTGTGAAAGAAATACTCTTACAATACAGGTGCTGTCGCAAAAAGTACAAGAATTTATTTTGCAATATCAGCTACTTCCTTTAACGTTAGGTTTTCCAGAGGTTCATACTTCAATCTGACACTGTAATTTTGTTCTTTCACTGTTAGTTAAAATGTTGTTTTTGATTTGTGTTTATCTAGATACATCAAAGCAATACACAGAGAATTACAAGCTACTCCACTCAAATAAACACTGCACACGCTACAACAACTGCTCAGTACAGTGAAGTTCAAAAAGTTCAAGCTAATGCAACCCAGCTACTAAGTGATGTCACCGAGGCAGAACGTGAGTTCACTGTTTGCATCAATCATTACTAAAAATTATAGCTTTTTTCATGTATACTAAAATCCTCTAAAATATGACTTGGACTCCAGCTAATTCAAAATGTTTAGGCAGTTACGTTTCAAATATAGATTTTTTTCAAACTTTTGCAATGTAAATTGGTATTTTGGTCCTTTCATTGACTTTTTTCTAATCTTCTTGCATTTAGGTTCTCTCTTATACTATGTAATTAATTACACTGTAGTAACAGAACATTCAATCATTTGTAGGATTGCTGGCACAAGTCATAGAACAAAATTCCGAGCTGACAAGGCTACAAGCAGAGTCAGCAGCACTTGAGACGGAACTTGATGCCTTGATAACAAAATACGACCAAGCCGTTGCAAAGTTCAGTACTTGCAGCAGGAACTGAAGTACCTCTAACTCCATTACAACAAGAAGTAGAGTAGATGGTCTACACTATTTGTTGCCAGTAAGACATTCCTAGGCCGATTTTAATCCTATTTTTTTCAGATCAATGCATGCGAGCCAGGTCATTGAATGGTTAATACCCCCTCTGATGTTTTCATACTACCAAAGTCTCAACTAGATGTATTAGTTTTTTTCCGTTGAGGTTTACCGTAGGCTGTCCATCTGGTGAGGAAAGATGCTTCTATTTATATTAATTATAGTAGGATCTTAGAGAACGTTCTAACAAACACAGTCTTAACTTGGAGAACATCCGTTTAAAATATAGGGCGCTCTATTGTAGTCTTTTCAGCTTTATTCTGTAGATTTCAAGAATAAATTAACAACGATCTAATGTATATAATGAATAATTTTGATATGTGATTTATTAGAAATAGGTTCTTAATTGTATATCTTTTGGTATTGCATTATTCTATAGTATTTTCTTCATTTAGAAACAGGTACAGTTGACTCAGATTATAGTCACTCTGCCTAAAGTCACACTATTGGTGACGGTCAAAGAATTTTGATCCAAATATCCACAACTATTCAATTTAGTTCTGTTGACAATCACACGCCTTTCACAGTCAAATTTTCAAGCAACATTTTGTTTGACTTTATCCGGAGTCTACTGTATCTATTTTCCTTTTGGTAGATTAAATAAAAATCAAGCCAATTTCTCATAAAGCTGTGAGCTCCTACTAAATTTCGCTGTAAACCTTCTTGAAAAAAAATTGCTACTTGATGTTTTAAAATTTGTTGAGCAAGTGGACATTCAATGCTAGCAATTTTCATTTTAAAAATGAAAGCGTATTGTAAGCACAGCAAAGATGATGCAAAACAACGTTTCTCTGTCTCGAAATATCAGGCAGTGGAGAGTATTGCATGGTTGCTCATCGTTTTAAAAAATACTGGCGCTGTTTTGTTATTGGAACCGTTGAAAGGTCAGTGGAAATGGAGTCTTTCAGGCCTCTATGCGTGATCCAACTAACCTTCTGGTTTAATGAGAAATTGGCTAAATTTACTATACATAAGTATGTGATCAAAAGTGAAGATGCACCTTTAAGGATTGCACTTTTTAATATTTAAGAGTTATGGTCTTAGAAGCACTTCTCCTAACATGCCGATTGATACAGATATTGTTGCTTTGTTTGTGTATATGCATGTTTGTGTATAATAGCAAAAATATTTTGGATTTTAGTAGGAAGAAAGCTAAGAAAAAACTAGGTGGTGACGAAATTAGACTTTTTAGAGAGTTAGAATGAAGGAACTTCAACTTCTCTGCACCCCTGTCTCCTAATTAAATATGTAAAGCTCTTCTTTCTTCGGGTATTTGCATAGAAAACAGTAGCTGGGGACCATTTTACTTATGACGAGGCTTTGAGAATAGATGATTTTGATGCTATTTCTAACCCAACCATTACCACTTTAGATTTGCAGGGATTGTGGTCACTGACAAGTGGTCAACTTTTTTCAACTCAAAATTCATCAAATTGAAGTCTTGATCAGATTGTTCCCATGTTTGGAAAAACCCACCAACTATGAATGCATAATTATACACAAAATCAAAGCAACACATTTATAATTAATATGATAATCAATCATCTCCTTTGTAAATTTGGTGTAGCTTTGAATCAGTGTTAATGGGTCATTTCTAGAGATATATTGCACAACTAAGAATATTCGAATTTCTGTATGATTGCTCTTCCGCCCTATTTTTTGATTCATGGGTAGGCCCACTAAGAGCGGTGCCTAAAAATTGCCTAGGGGCATGGGTTAAAAAGATAACTGAGATTTGAAGGGAATTCAAGAAGCGACGAAATCCAAAAAGGACGTAGGATTTTATATCTTGATATTTGATTACTATGAGAATGTGCACACCGTTGTGAACTTCACTAAGCCCACTCCAGAGTATTCCTAGTCCCAGTTCTTAATCTAAGTTTCTAAAGCTGGGGACCTCTACACACATTAAGGAATAGGGGGAAATTAAGTAAAAAGGGCATAAATTTTTTACGCAGGAAAGAAACAACAAAAGAAGCTCTTGAATTTAAATAAAATAGCCCCCTGAAAAGAAATTGCCATATCCCTCGTCAAGTCTTGGGGCACAAGGTGTTCTACCGTACCCATTTAAAAACCCTGAACCTTGAATATAACATGATAATGAGGGGGGGAAGAGAAAAATAACTTACTTAGTGGACCGAGTCAATCTTAAAAAACACAAAGAACTGGGAAAATGTTTTCCTTGTAATAAGTCCTGAAAAGTATGAACGGAAGAAAAGGACAGAAAACCAGGCCCAAAGCATTTTAATACATTTGTCTTGGTCAAGGGACAAACTTTCGTGTAATTTCCAATCCAAAGCTACATAGCTCCCACTTTTTTATTATTCCAAAGGCATCAAAAACAGTACATAAAGGTATATAAGATAAGACTGAAAGCATTAACCTTGACACCCAAATGTGAACAACACAATTCAGTTAAAATATGAACCAGGCCCTAGTGAAATAAAAATTCTACCACATCCCACGTAGAATTAGCTCTGGTTAAATTTCATTCGACCATTATTAAATAGGGATTTCATCTCCAGGGGTGTTGTGCTAGGGGGCTTTATACCGAGAATTAGCCAACTTCTACTTTGGCTATTGTTTTTGGCAACACTATGTGCAAGAGCCCCCTTGTTATTTTCAGAGCACTACACCACTGGATTTCACACCACACCACTGTATTTTGCCCTAATTCACTTCTCCAAAGCCATGTGCAACGACCAGGTTAACGTGTATGTAGTTTGGAAACGAGGCGGGTGAAGGCGGTCCTTCGCCAAACCCTTGGACGATGCCGCCAGGAGGAAAGTAGGCCTCCAAAACAAAGTTCATCGTAACCATAGAACTCTGTCATACTAAGGAGAATTTGATATGACACACAACGAAGAAAGACAGTCTGCTTTAAGAGAAGGCTTAATTGGCCTTGGAGGTAATTATCTTTCTACCGGTCCATTTTCTACCTAGAGTCGTCGAGAATAGGACAGAAAATCATCATACTAGACTCTATTAAAAATTAGAATTCGAGAAAAGGCAGATTAATAAGCATGATTAATCCTTACATTAAAAATTTATTTTGCTAAATGATCAAGTGCTCTATTCGCCCTTTAAATTTGTTGTTGCAACTTGCAAGATCTTCGAGCCAGACTGTAGAGTAAAGAAAGTGCAACCCCGAGATATTTTTTCAAAGGTAGGTATCCTGTCGCTGTGTACAAAAAATACTGGTACTCTTAGAAGCTGTTGAAGACAGTTATGAATACGTCGAAATGAGTAAATTTTCTATGTACACAAAAACTCGTTTATTTGTTGCTACAAAAATAAAATAGATGCGGTGAATTTCTTCATTGACAGGTTCGTTAGAGTCAATGATGAACTTTATCTGCCTGCCTTGTTTTTGCTTTAGGCATAAACATATCTCAGGGCACTAGAAGTTAAGTCTTGCAAAGCTAGGAAGGGCAGAGTTAGAGAGGGAAACTGATTTCTAGAAAAAGAGGGTCTTCTCTGCAAATTTTTAAGAGGAAACCAGTAAAACAATGTGCGCTTTACTAAAAAGAGGACGTACCTCCCTTGACTCCGGCTCGCTAACCCTGACATTTCATGTGCTACAGTCGACATTCTTTTGAATAACTACTTTTCTGCTGGTTATTTTTCAGTTTGTTAAGCTATAAGCCTGAGTTCCAGATCCCTGACCATAAGTATCGGTAGTAAGTAAGGCTCGGGCAATTAAACTATTAGATAGCTTGTCTGTAAAAGTCCTCTACAGAGCTTTTGCTTTTTGAAGTCAAACCATAAAAGGTGCATAATGTGGCTTTATTTTAGTTCTATTAACAGTATTACCTGGATGCATTTAGGATTCAGTTTGGATTTTCAGTAATTAGAGTGCATGCGGAGGTAGCTTCAAGGTAGGCGCACAGGACCCTTTCATGCAAAGAAAAACAATGACAAAATTGACAATACCAATACATTTTTACCAATCCAAATATTTTTGCCACTATATCTGTATCTTAAATTACATGATGCCACAAAGGGTCCATTGTTTCTGCTAAAAGCTGTCCCAACTTCCCTTCTGGCAATGAGACAATAGTTCTGAATCGTTGGCTTGCTGACAACTGCGTTGAGTTGACGGGGATTTTGTAGCCACAAGCAATAGAAATCGGCACACTAATCACAGGGAAACAAGCATGCTTTGCATAGCAAAAAAGTTAAGGAAAAGCGTCTATATATGTATATATATATACATACATGTATGTGTTCCCCTTCGACCCACCACGTAGTGTACTCATTCTTCATGCACAAAAATGCCCCTGCCCACCTTGTAAAGGTTGTGGCATTTTTAGATCTGGGCGTGCCATAGTTGTGTCCTATATAGGCCTATTTCTTTGGGCAAATGAAGAATTAAGTTCCCTCAAGATCAACATTATCTTGCAATGGTTTAACAACATCTGCTACTACTACAATCACTACAATTATTTAATTGAATATCCACTGGGGGAAAACAATGATTTTGATTGACTTCTTTCTTGTTTTACCTTATACAACATAACTGCATTAATTTTCAAATCTGGGACAAAATTTTCAAAAATCTGGTGATGGACACAAAATTGGCTGTCATGGTCTTCAATATCAAATAAAGATATAATTTATGGCCAATATTGACCAATTTCTATAGCCAAATTTGGTCATTAAAGATTCCCATTTTATCTGACATCATCCGAGCAGCAAATCACACTATGGTAGAAATCTGTAAATCCTGAGAAATCATTTTTATTTGTGTAAATATAGTATTTTCTTTACAAAAGTGAATTGCCCCCCAAAACTATGGTACATAAGTACAAGTAATTTATGTTGCTAAAAATTTGAGAATTATATACTGCTCAAGTCAGAGAATTTTGTGACAAAACAATGATATTTCCAAAAATCCCTCAAATTTTGAAATCCACGACCCCCCTGCCCCCTGGCCACGACACCCCTGGGGGTACTGTTTTTATTGAGCCACCATCTCTAGCTAGCTGTTCATTGGCTCACAGGGGTGCTCCTCCACTGTGACAGGTATTGCTTTTTTTAATCTTGCCAGGTAGCCTCCCTTCTCACCCCCAACAAGTTGTGATGGGGGAGCCTGTTAAGTCACTGACCAAACAACCATGTGCACAATTGTACCAATGTGCACACTTGAATTTTTGCTCTTGCAAACCCAGAATCTCATTGGACACTACGGTACTCTTCATTCCAGATTTTGAGTTTGCATATTTGATTTAGCCTTTACTATTTGTATCTGTTTTTGTATTTGTCTCTACCTAGCATCCGAAGGTAGTTTTTTGGACGCTGAAAAGCCATGCTTACCAAGCATTGTCCTGGTCCTTCCTCTCGATGCAATCATACTCTTAACTTTGACTCTTATCAAAGGAATCATGATTAGCCTAAGGTATATTTCTGCTTTGGAAAATATTGTTTTCTTATACCTATGACAGTTCATTGAAAATAATAATGCTTTAAGCGTGTAGAATGGATGGATGGAGAACTTATGAGCTTGGGTATTGATTAAATCTGCTAATGAATATGGTTAATGTAAAAATCCCAACTGAAAATTGTTTGAACATATAAGATAACAAATTTTCCTAGGGATACCAGTGAGCAACTTAGAAAATTTCCACATTATGAAGAGACATTCAATATTGAAGTAAGTTGGGCCACAATAAAGAAATGGTACAAATTTAAACATTTTTCTTTGGGAAGTGACAGATGGTGAGATGATTTGGAAAGTGATAATTAAAAATAATTAAAAGTTTCACGAAGTTTCTTTGCAAAAATAATGAAAAAAGTCACAATTCAAGATATAAAAATGTGGCTAGGACCAGGGTGCACTCCATATAAACCTAATACAAAAGGTATGTCCAGGCTAGGCCAGGTGTCCAAGTGTGCATCAAGGTACACCAAAAGATCTTATGCTGGCTGAGCCAATATAAGGGAAGTAGATAGTGGATTAAAATGTTACTTTTAAGTTTTTTTGTGAAATTTCTTTGTTATACCTGTCCTACGTCTAGTGATCTAAAGTTTTTAGATACAGTATTGGTACACTGTTCTGTTTTATGGATATATAAAATAATTTTGCAATGTTTTTCAGTTGGTGTCCTCTATGGGGTCACTAATGTTTGTGCTGGCCACCCATTTGATACAATTAAAACAAAGATGCAAGCCCAGACTGGATTTGAAAATCAAGGAATGTTTAAGTCTTTCATCAAAACCTTGAGAACTGATGGAATCAGAGGTTTATACAGGTGACTTTTCATTTGTGCATTGAATCTGTTCAGGATAGATGAAGCCCTGTATGTCAGGGTGAAATATTAGTATGATTCAACACTCGTTGCAAGATTCACAGAATCCGGCGGACAGCCTATCCTGCAGTTCTTCCTTCTTACACATTGAATCTGCTGCTGTCTGTGTCTTGATAAATCTTTATAATAAAAAATTAATTAAAATAATCTCATGAATTGGATACAAAATATCATATTATCCCTTTTATGATGCAACTCAAACAGATTTGTTGATGGTTGAGTGAGAATCTTTGCTTATGCTAATGGTTGTCAAAAAATTTTGTCAAAATATGTACCTCAAGCTTAAGCTTTATGACACATTTATGTGTATCTAAATCAGCAAGAAAAAATGTCAAGCAGTCAAGCCCACTGTTTGTTATTTAATTTGCAATATACATGTGTTCTAATTTCCCTATTTGTGTCTTTTAGAGGATGTGTACCGCCACTTTGGGGGTCAGGAATTTACAGATCAACACAATTTGCTGTATTTGAAGGAGTGTTAGTAGCTTTATTGTTAAGTTTTTTAAAGCTCTAAGCTGACCAAGAATGAAATTATGTTAATTTTTTGTCTCTGACAATCAAATACTACCACTAAATTCTCCTTTAAAGTGTCTTAAATGCGGAAGCATACCGGATCGTGGCTCCTTGTTGATGGATGCTTTGGCCCTATTTGATGTTCATCACTCCCCTTTATTTGAAGATATTGCTCATTTATTCTTTTATTTTTCTCTTGATTCTCAACCTATGGTATTTTCTAAGGCTGCATATCATATACACTTCCATTTTTCTGTATTCCATAACTATTATAACATTATCCTAATTTTTCACAGGTATACTTATTGCAATGATTTTGGGAAAACACAGATACCACTAACTGGAGGTCTTCAAATGTAAGTTGATCTATCATAGCTGTTGCTTACTATAGGCAAAATTTTAGGCCAAGTGTCTGTTCCATTGCTAAGAAGTCTTTAATGGTTACTGCACTTTGAAACAGAAAGCATGGAAGCAGCGTACCTAAACTTCTTTTGAACCTGCATATAGCAAATACATGTGTGGCTTGAGTAACTGTCCTTTCTAATAATTTAATAATAATAATTGTCCTTAATAATAATTTTTTTAACAAGAAACTTAAGTCTCATTAATTAATTTCTAGATTATTATAGACACAAAGACAAAACGTGGCTTTAAAAACTTTGGTCATTCTGCTTTATTTTTTGTGAAATTCGAGTGCTTGCTGTACCTACCATACAAAATATATCCACCCTGTTCTGCAATGACTTTGGCTTCAGTTTTTTTATTTGATCAACTCTACTAGTTTGATTCTTTGCAAACATTTGTGCAATAAAACATGAACACAGCTGATTGTCAGTGGTGGAGGGACATTTGTTTCCCTTATTGTAAACCTTGAGTTGTTTTCCACTGGTTCACAATGCCCAGCTGTTCACCATTTCAGATCTCATACCTGTATTTGGAATCCAAGGAAAATGAATGGTCATTTAAAGATATTTTCTAGATTATTTTTGAAACACAAGCCCTGTCTTTAAGATACTGCTTAGGTATGAATTTATATCGTTTCGAGGTGAAAATTACCCATGTTGCTAACTGTATTGAAAAACGAGCAATTGCGAAGATAAAAAGTTTGCAGACGGGCAGTCTCGTATCAGTGTAAATGCTTAAGAACACAATAATAGACAGTGTATCAATGACATAAATCTAAAATGGTGTGGTTTGTTGATTAGAAGCCTGTTATGGTCCGATTCCGTACTTTTTTCGTTTTAAGGAAGGTATAGGTATATTTTGTATTGTTATTGCTTTTCATTTTAGACGTGTTTTGATTGGTGGTGCAGCGGCATCAACAGCGAGAGCAATCATCGAGACACCGTTAGAATTGGCTAAGGTATCGTTGAATTCATGTCACATTTTCAAAGCCCTTCTACCGGGTAAAACTACTTCTGTGTTTGCCGGCACATTCAAGCTTCTTCGTTTCTCTCATCTTTAGTCGGAGCTAGTCGAATATTCCAGAATTCTAGCCTAATGCTAAAATGATTTTGCCTCTCAGAAAATCAAAGTTGTGGAAGGAGAACTTTTAATATCTTCTTGTTTGCATCTTTTTATTATTTAAATCAGGATATAGTTTGCCAGCTTTACTTTTATTCATTTAGCTTTTTATCTGTCTGCATTAACAGGCTATTGTCGATAGAGCTCTAAAAATACGAAAAAATTGCTAACTATTTTTGTTGCTACAAATCTAATTGTTTTGAATTTAAATAGGCATCTTAGATTAAGTGCCGTTTTTGTCACGTCTTTATAGAGTTTTCTAAATTGTTTAAGGTAAGACGACAAACTGGACAATCGTGGCATCTGCGGGGTCTATATAAGGTATGTTCATCTCTAACACATACACTATCCACGTGAGACAGTTTTCTGTCGATCTTTGTCTGTATAAGGATGTATGTTATCTTACGCCTACTTCTTCTATGTAGGGTTAGCTACTGTTTCATGCATTACTTCGTCTAAATAAGGCTATTTTTGTCTATCATTCAATTTCATTTCCGCCTTCTGTCTAGCAGGTTATATCGGCTATATAGGCTACCCTTTCTCTGACATTTCATTTCATCTACGTTGAATAATCTTTATTATATAGCATCACTTGGCCTATTTACAGCAAACTCTTTTCTAACGAAAAGCTTCTTTCTTTGTGTTGGCTTGCAAAATTTCCAGCCTGCTTGTTAAAGAAAAATATTATTATATTCAAGAAACGTGAGAATACATAATATACTCATTAACAATTTTTGCAGAAATATTCTGATTATGTAGCGTCTTCCAGATTTTAAAAGAGTATATAAAACCTAAATTTATAAAAAAACAAGCGTATAAATACCAACGTTCATTTAGTCTTATTTAAACATGGCACTTTAAAATTACGATTGGCTCATTTAACTGTTTTCTGCCTAGTTTTAGAGCAGAAAATTGGCCAATAGTTTTTAATCCAATTGTTACAGTACGCTATGTTAAGGGACAACTTATTTCCAGGACGTCACAATAGTATTCAGTGATGCTCCATACCGAATGGTACCCCCATTCCTATCACGCAATTTCTATAGCGATAAGGACTCAAAAGCATTTATCTCTCTATGGCGATTTCAGCCGCTTGTCTCAAGAGAGGAATTCTTCGCGTGCAGTGCGACCAAATTTTTTCAATTTTAATTATGGTTATTTTACTTTTTTGATTAACTATGTTAGAATCAACATAAAATGACCACTTTTTATAATATTTTTAATAATCTGACGACCGACCACTCGAGCGGTAATGGCGGCAGTCTGGATCCGCCATTGTATTCCTGTCTACATTTACAGAACAGAAGTTTCACATGATAGACTTCTGGAGCCATTATTTATTTTTAATTGTTTACACTTAATTATTGCAAATTTATATGTTTTGAGCTACCAGGGACTTTCATTATCAGTATTGGTAAAATGAAAGTTTTAATCAGCACGCAATTAAGTTGCTCGGTACGACTCTGGGCTCCAAATATTTTAATCTGTGTAAGTCTTTCAATAACAATTTTTGTACTTTCATTACATTGAGCACTTATGTCGTTTCTTTAGCCTAAGTGTTAAGTTATTCATTTTGGATGCCTCGAAAAGCCAAATACTTTTATTGCCAAATACAAAGATCTAAGGAAGGAAATTTTGTATTACAGAATATTTTTTTTCTTGATTGCAAGTTAATATCAGCTTAGTTAAATTTTTCTAACTTTTTTAGAGTTTGATTCTTCTTAAATTCCTGATTTTTCATAAAAAACGTGTTACCCAATTGGTTGAGGATACATAATTAAGATTTCTTGATTTCAACTCGTTTCCTTATTCATCCATTCATCAATTCTTCATCTATCTCACTTCCAATGTTGATCTACAATATTTTAGAGATAAGCCTGAAAAAATTAGTTTAGTTACGCCAGGGATTGATTCACACATACCATATCTACTTTTTTCTTACCTTATCGTACACAAAACTCTTGTTTCCTGTTAACTTAATGTGTATATTCAATAGATCAGTCAATACTTCACTTGTATTTTTTTAGTCTGTAATTCCATTGCAATTTATGTCTTTATGGATTATTTCCTGGCGTAATATTACCTTCATGTATCTTGCAATTTTGTGACTCTAGGGGTTTGGTGTCACATGGTGTAGAACAGTTGGTTTGATGTGTACATACTTCATTCTGGTCGACACATTTCGAAGAAACATGAGCGATCAGTTTAAGAGGCCGATTCTGGGACCTTTTCTCATTTCTGGAGTTGCTGCCACGTATCCTTGAGTTAAAGAATTATTTTATTAGTATACCGGATTGGAATATGGTTGAGGACTTTAACATAGATGTTTTTTCGTACTCTTGTCAGGACTTTCTAGTCCACCTTTCCCATTAGTCTTGCGAAGTAGTTATCGAGGAAAAATTACTGAAACTAAATGCAGGCAAGCCATGTGCAGAGCTTCCAAACCTGGTCCTGACCAGGGCTGTCGATAGCTTTTGTACACAAGGGGAGGGGGATACGCAAAGGCAGTTTCTGTCAAAGAGCGCTTTAAGCCCCAAATATTATAGCTAGCCCCCCCCCCCAATTCCCCCTATTTCTGCTTCCAAGCAACATTTGCAATTCACAGACCTCCAATTACGTTTGTCTCTAGCGCCAACCCTGATAGCTTAAACTTTTCACTAAAGATAACGCATATTGTCTTAGTTTGGGGAATGGGTATTCGATCAAGCTTTATTGATGAATTCTTGTTTAGGACAGCTGTGTCACAGTTATCATAGAAATTATCTAATAGTGATAATATTGAAAACTATTGTTAGGTATTAGAAAACATTGCTGCTTGTAGCAAAATATGTAGATAACGGGCGGAAAATTTGCAGCGACTCTAGCATGTGTATTTGGACAGGATGGATATTTGCTTTCGTCTATTAGCCGTTTCAGAGAACTGATTTGAAATTGCCTTAACTTTTTAAAGCCTTGGTTGGTGGGTAGTTTGGCCTTTGGAATACATGAAATCACAAGTGCAAGGAAATTACGGACAGTAAGTTTTCTCAATCCTAGGCACTTTAAGATGATGGCTCGCAGCTTTTTTTGCTCCATTTTTCATAGATGCAACGAATTTAGATTAAAGTGGGGTCGAAACCCTTACCTTTTCTGCTGCAAGTGATATCGAGCATGTCAACTCTAGTGGAAAATGCAGTATATTTGACCGATCAAGACTTTTCAACATTGGCTTCGATCGATAGCAAGCTTAAGGCTGTTGCAAATTATGACAAGACACTCGATCTTTCACGCTAAGGTAAACTCTCAAGAGGAGGATCGTATTAGGCTTCTTCTCTTGAATTATTTTTTTCAACCAGCGGCAAATGTAGAAAGCTTCTGAAAGGCGATACATATTACAAAAATATGCCCATCTCCTGATGAAGGGAGGTTTTTAAAGGCATCTAACATGAATAAGTACTGCGAATCCGAAAATAACTTCTATCAAATTAATCAGAGCACGCGCACAAGAAAGGAATTGGAAACTGCTCACGTGAAAACTCACATGTTCAGATGTTTTTCTCTGTGCGCAATTTGATTGGTCAACCGCTCGTGGACGAGTGGCTGTAAGCCTTTTTTACCTGTGTCGAATGCCTTTAATTGATCTGCTACCTTTCGCGAAATTATGATGAACGCTTAATATGATGAACTTTTTAATTGTAATGTTCTTTAGTATATCGATACAATTAGTTAAATAGAGGACCCTCATGAAAAGCACCCTCGAATGACTGAAGCCTTCCTCTGTAAATATTTGTATTATTATTAATTGTCTCTGCCTTGAAAATAGTGCAAATGTGGGACTTTTCCAAATGTTTTTCCGGGCATTGTTTTTGTATGCTTTTGTCTTTGCAACCCCTTGCTGTTGCCTTTTTTGTCGTTTTTAAAGATCTGTTTTGAGCAACCCAATTTCGGCTTTCATGTTTCCCAAACTCATGCTAATTTCGATAAAGTCGTGCTTCTTCAGCAGTTCTGTTGTGGAATCCTTCACCTAAAACTGAGAACCAAGCACCTTGCCTTAATCTATTTTTTTCTCCTAGGATAAGCCGGAGTTTATTTAAACGTCATTAATCCCGAAATTTCATGTCGTTTCCTTCTCTGAGGTTTTCTAAGCAGACTAATCACAATTTATTAGTGGTCGCTCAAAGTCGAGTAAGACCCTCATCAAAATTTTATGACTTGGGAATGAATAAAAGGAGGAAACTCTAATACGGTTAAGATGTTAGGTGAACCTTCAAATAGGGCAGTGGACAACACGTTTTTGGTTGTCCAGCAAAGCCTTGTTTTGTCATCCCGATGTATAAACTATTTACAAAACCTTTTAAGGGTTTATCATCTTTGCTATAGGATCAATAACTAGTAATCAACGTACCGTGGTGATTTTTACACCAACTTAATTGAATCCTATTGTCGCTTAACCAGACTCTGAATTTGAAATTACATTTGTTTGCACTTCTGATTTTCTGTTTAATGAATCCTCGGTTCTAATGAAAAAAATTTTGCAAATTTTATCTTACCTCTGTAATAAAGTCTCATTTCCCTTAAGAAAAGAATGAAGGTAATTAGAATCTGTTTGATGCCAAGAGATATTTTTAATTCAAGATTGGCATCTGTTTTGCTCATGACTGTCCCTTAAAAATAAGTAAATTATATCTTAGTGATTTAGATTTTAACTTGAAAGTTTATTTGCTGTTCAGATTTCTTAGACAATGTTTTATCAAAACTGCGTTAGATTTCGGTCTTGTTATTCGAAATTCCCAGTCCAAAGCTCATTGCACATCATGCACTTCGAATGTTAGGGGCTTGATCCTCTGTCACCAGTTTAAGTGTAGGCATCTTCGTTTCTGAATTCATATATTTGTATAAAATTCGACTGGATATCGCCCTTCTAAATTTACACGATCCAATTTATTTGTGTTGTTCAGTAGTTGTTTTGGATTTTAATTGGTACAATCCTTCCTAAAAGTCTTGGTGCACTACACTTCTTGGTCGATTCCTGTCAGATAGTTTAGCTTTTAACTCTACAACCCCCGTTAGAGGCTCAGAGGTATGGTTTTGCCTTTTCTACCGGAAAAAAAATGATTTTTCATAACAACACCTAAGGGATACAGAGAATTTTGGCAGGGATTGTATGTCGATTAATAATGGGGAGCAGACTGATCACCGAAATACTTGGTTTTCGTGGTTTCTGTGCCCCCATTTCCTTATCCATTCGTAATTGTTTGCAATTTCTCTTCATGATGTAGCATAAATTTTCCTCTGCCCTTACGTAGCACCCAAGCTTTGATTAAATCGTCTATACATATTCATAACTTATTTATGATGCTTGTTGCATCTGCTGTGGGGTCAGTTATCAATTCAGTTAGATTTCGCATATTTTAAGTATTTGTTACTTAATTAATTAAGTGGGGCACTTGGCTCGATAGCTGATACAAATTTTTTTCAACTATCTTGAGCTCAACTGCATTTTTTTTGTCTCGCGTTTGTGACGCAGTTAACTTTCTGACCACCAATATCTGCTAATAAACGCTATCTGTCACATACAAGCTTGGTTCCATCTAACCCCAATTTAGATGGCGCATTCTTTATCACTATCTTTATACGCCACATTGCTGTAACTAGAGGGCCTTCTACAGAAAAGCTTCAGTTGAGCATTCTTGTTTCCAAAACTAACGAGCCTCTAATGACGAGCTTTCAGTTCTAATCTGTTATACACGCGAACATTCGATAAAGTTTGACTCCGGCTTAGGCCCGATTAGCCTCTGTCTCATGTTTTCATTTACTTGTAATGATTTCTAGATTACTAAAATCTCGCTTGATACTATTATTCTTCAAAATGATTTCCCAATCTTCGGAGGTGCGAGACAGCCAAACAAAAATATGAAATATAATGGCGGCGAATTTGCTACTTTTTAAAGTCACAGTTCACGCAGGAATGGCCACACATAACAGCTTAGGCCGCTTATTCCTTCGCGATTTCGATCAAATGAAGGGACTAATCTGTCTTCGCATGGTAATGATGATTAAGCTCAAATTTGAAAGTCATAATCGAATGGGAAAAAGATTCCAAAACGTGTGGAATGGGCAAATTAAGTTTATTCAAACACGCACAAATTTTAGGCCACCCTCCTTTTACTGTCAGAAAACGTGTTTACCAAACAGGGAACGCTTATTTTTCCGCCAGGGAAGGCCTATGATTGACTTTTGTTTAAAATCATAGAGTCATATCCCTTCCTCGGCATTTTTTTTGTCCAATATGGACAAAATGCAAAATCCATCCTACGAAGAACTGGGAAAGGGACGTGTCAATCCTGTCCCCGCAACGACGTCATAACGTACCAGACCAAATACACCTAATCTTCAGGGACAGCCAATTATCTACAGTCTACAATCACCTTTAACGTCATTTTTCTGGAATCTCCCTCCCATTAAATATTTTGGAAGATATTAAAGTTTCTCGAGAGCCTAGCAGTCTTGCAGATAACAAATCAATTTCTAGCGAGAGTAGTAAGGATCGATCTAATAGCTTGAGATTTACCAGTGTAGTGTGATATTTATAATTTAATATATTCTACCTTGCTTCTTTTGTGATTTTTTCGGTTAGAACGGTAGACAAATATCTGCGTTTCAACTTCCCAACTTTTTGAACCGTTGTTCTTGTACCATTGATTTCCCTAACATATGATTTAAAATGTGAAACATTTGTAGATAAACTTTTGCACATAATCAGTCTTGTTAGTTTTGGTCTATTTTTCTACTTGCAGAGATATGTCAACTTGGAAGCGTTTGAATATGGTTTTTCGGGAACGAGGTGGATTTTTCGGACTTTACCGTGGTATAGTTCCAGGGTCGATACGAAGTTTTCTAGCTAATGGATGTGCAATGATCGTGATGTCTTATGCCCAAAGAAAGGTCTCGGAGCTCGGCATTAGAGGATGATAGAGTGAGTAGCATAAAAGTCTTTATTGATTTTATTCCAAGATCGCTAGATTAAGTCTTTTTATAAACAGTCATGAAACTCTCAAAGTTAAGTCACTGCTCCATCCCTGTAGTTCGGTTAATTATTTCTCAGTGTCCCCTTATACTGGATTTCACCCTATTGTGTTCCGTGTTAACCTTGCATCCACTTTGTTGAAGCTGTATAGAAGTCTACTTTGGTATTTGACACGACATGATACATAAACTCTTCAAGTACCTGTTTATTAAATCTCTCCATTCGCACACTTCCCGTCTCTTTACAAATATGAATAAATTTTTTTATAGTATTTTAATTTTTGGTGAGTCACAATATGCTTCAAAATTTGTTTTTCTGAGCAATATATAGTTCTTCGTTCGTTCGTTCGTTCGTTCGTTCGTTCGTTCGTTCGTTCCTTCGTTCGTTCCTTCGTTCGTTCCTTCGTTCGTTCCTTCGTTCGTTCCTTCGTTCGTTCCTTCGTTCGTTCCTTCGTTCGTTCCTTCGTTCGTTCCTTCGTTCGTTCCTTCGTTCGTTCGTTCCTTCGTTCGTTCCTTCGTTCGTTCCTTCGTTCCTTCGTTCGTTCCTTCGTTCGTTCCTTCGTTCGTAAGTTGTAGAAAATGAAGCGTATTTCTACAATTTAAGCTAGATGGATGTACCTCAAAGTGTCTGCGTGAAAATCATGGTTTTTATGTTCCTCAAAAAACACATTTAGAAAAAAAGTCAAGCTGTCGATTAAATTAATGTCTGGCTTTCATTCTTAATCAATTGTTAAATTTCTTGATTCTTCAATCCCGACCCTCAACATTCTTATACAATTAATATTTAATGAAGATGAGTGCCCTAACAAGTACGTGAGCAAGTCATTGGTCAACAATACTACATTTTATTTGTTCGAACCACTGCTATGCAAACGATTTGTTATTCTCCTTGAAGCCCCGAATAAGTGGGATTCTACAGTGACTTGTGAAATCTAAGGCCGGTCTTTTTCACAATTCTACTCCTTGGGCCTTCACCCAGCCCTACAGTTTACATTTGAAAAGGAAGAAAATAACACCTTGCCATTACTAAATGTTTTGGTTGAAAAATCTGGCGCTGGATTTCTTACCAGCGTATGCCGTAAACCCACATTTTCGGGGTTATACACTCGAAAAAGTTCATTTTACCCAAAACAAAGAAAAATCAGCCTCATCAAAACGCTTACATTTAGGGCACTGATGATTTGTTCCAAGTCTAAACTCGACTCGGAACTTGAACAACTTAAAAAGATTTTTCTGGAGAACGGCTATCGAGAGAATGTCATTTCAGTTTACATTAAGGAGAAGATTATTTTTCGGCTGACGTAAAGTTCGGTCCCCAAAAGTGCCCAGTCTATCTTAAACTACCACCTTCGATCGGTAACAGTTCCTTGCGTTTCGAAAAACAGATAAAACAGGCCGTCACAAATTAGTTCTTTGCCGTGAATCCACGCATTGTTTACGGTACAGAAAAGGCCCTTTCCTCCATTCAAAAGGATTGCGTTCCTACCTCACAAAAGAGTTCCGTTGTATATGAATTTACGTGCCAGTTGCTAATACTTAGTAGATTCTGGCTACGTAGGAAGCACTACCCAAAGATTGGAGGATAGAATAAAACAACATGTTCCGTCTAATATTAGAAACAAAACTCATCCCCAAAGAGAACAGCGACCTCGGTCTTGCAGATCTTAAATTACAACTAAAACCTGCGATTCTGCTATCGGGCAGCATTTACTGGAAAACCCAGATTGTGCAAAATACTATAATGGCGACATGTTTCGAATTATTGGTAAAGCCCGATCGTCGTTCCACCTAGCAGTTTTAGAATCTATCTACATAAGCACGAAAAAACCGCTACTGTGTAGACAAAAGATGTTCGTTTTCACCATTGGTAACATTCTCAATAGGCAAGCGGCACTGATTGGTCAACCTATACAGTCATGTGCTCGCGTTTCTGATTGGCCTATTTCGATCGACAACTGGGTATATCTATTTCCTAGCGTAGAGTTTTCGATCTATGTTCTGACGTTTTAAACTCTGAAGAGTGTCAGACGAAAAGCTTTAGTTTACTCAAATGTTTGCTTTTTTCAAAGCCATTTTAAAGTTTTGTACCACCAAAATATTGTTAGCAAGCACACAGATTATCCAGATTGATAATTGATTATGTGCTTTTTGCCCTAACAAAGTCTTTGTTGCAATGTGGTATTTTCGTCACTGCTTTTTCAAGTTCCAGCCATTGGAACCAAATGTACATTCAAAGTCCTATCCGAAGTCCGTCTTAAGAAGCCTGTCACTTCCATTCTTTTGGTAACATTTTCTGTCACTCTTGACTAAGATCCTCGTATTTCATTCGCTGTGTAAAAACTTCTCGTTTTCCTAATCTATAACAATAGCTACCTTCTAACACTCAATCAATGCTTCTCCTTTTCACATATATTTATTTACCATCTTATTGTATTGTAATATTATCATTTTTAGCTCTTCGATGGGAACCAACTTAAAGATGGAGTGAAAACTGAAGTAGTTAGGATCTTGTTTGCACATTCTCAATGGTAAGTGGATTTTTTGTCTCAGTCAAACATAGAACTCTTTTATTTATCTAAAATAAAATGAAAATTGTACTTATTTTGAAACGCCCGTTTATTTATGTTTCAATTTGTACCGGTATATTAAATGAAGTAGGATTTTTGAATGTCAATGCAATACAATTTTACATGTTTTGTTTTTTTGCTGGCAAGCCTTGTCTGAAGACGTTCTGAACTGGCATTGTTTTATGAAGCTATATTTGCGATAGTCTGTTGCTGTTTCTGAGTTCCTTACTGAAAATTGAGATCATTACTCATTGCCTAAGATAGACAAACTGATTGTCGAATGATTTCAAAAAATTGTCAGTACAGGCATTGCAGAGCAGATTTCTTTCATTTCTTTGATTTCGGAAAGTGACGGCTGACGAATTATGATACAAGATGTGTTGAGATAAAGAGACGTCAGGAGGAAATATCTGAAACCATAGACAACCTAGAATAATAGTTTTTTATATTAAACTGTGAGCAATAACTTGAATGTGTATTATGATATATTGTTTAACGAAGAATATAGGTGTAATCGCACATCAAATATTTCACGCCAAAATAGCCAAGTCTAGGTATTACGATCTGATCCCAAGTTCAAATTTTTCTCTCTTGAACAATGAAATGTGAGCATAATGGTGGAAAATATTTCTGTTTTGACGTCACCAGTAGCAAAAATGAGAACAAACGCTTTTTTTTTGCTCTGAATATTATATCATTAAAGTATTCCATAAGAAATCCTTGTCGTGATAAAGATCTTCATTGGAAATCTACTTGGAGAAGGCGTTTGGGTAGGGATAATCAGCGGGAATAACCTTTCTGTTATCTGGTTTCAAAGGTTAGGGTGTATTTTTTCCTTCTTTGATATTATGACGTAGAGAATTATCATTTGCCTGCAGCCCTATTTGCTGGTCAAGCTCGGGACCCCGGATACCAAGCCTGGCTACGCCTCTCCGCACTGCAACGCTGTTCCCCACGTCTGCTCTGTCCTTTCCTGTATAATTTCCTCGAATAACTGAAAATCTTTTTCTTCATTTTAATCGACTTTGGCATCGAATCATTACTTTGTGAACTTTCCTTTATTGGTAACCTCGTTTCAGGCATCCCACATCGCTTTCAATGATATAGAAGTGCTTAGAAACTCTTTTGCCCTTTTGTTCAATTATGAATCAATGCAGAGTAATCAGAGTAAAATTAATATGGAAGGGGGCTGCAGTACCTGCTTTTTTCTGCTATGGGAACTATTTCTGCAAACACATCAGTCCCCCTCTAGCTCGCGTGCAGGCTCTTCGTTGTAGAGTCTGCACGCAAGTTAGCCCCCTCTATGTTCAAACGGTTTCGGTACTATTTTATTTACTGTCGTCATTTTCAGTTTAGATTTGCCATTGGTTTACTACCACGTTAGTTGGCTCGACATTTTCTTTTTAATTGGGACGGTAACTCATATTAGTCATTTCACTTTGATCAATTTACAGCTAACTAGGCGACCTTGCCACTGTATTTGTTTCTTTTTTCCTTTTGCTGTTGTTATCGCTTGGTGAGATTTTTATCTCGCTTATGGATAGCACGATCATTCTTTCATTTGTCCAGATTATTGCTCTTCAAATCGGTTTTGCATTTATCTGATTATACAGCTCATATGTTAGAGTTTCGGCTGATCATCTCATTGACCACCTAACCGTGTCATGGGTGGCTAGCTGACTTCTAAATATGCACCTTATGCAATATTTATAAATTCTGTTCTTTCCCTATGCTTTTACATAGTGATTTTAAAGTAATTGGGTTCTTAAATAGTATCAATTCAATTTGTGTGTCTTCATGAAATGGTAGGATTCTTCTTTAGATATCTGTGTTCGTCTCTTATAAGGTCTTTGCGTTTTCATCATTTTTGCTATCTTGTAATTGTATAAAGGAGATATGGCCCACTTTTACGGTCCCTGGACTGTTTCGGGGCTGAAAATTAATCGGACAATGGAATCGTAGCACTATTTTCGTAGTGTTTTCTATTTGAAACGCAAGTGACATTCTTTTGCTGCAATTTTTGGCGTGTAATGTTTATAATATGTTACAGAGCCCTAAGAAAGAAAATAACTTTTTTTCTCCTTTGTCCAGATTTTACATTTATCACCGACTACATTGAATTTGAATTTGCCTAAAAATCCATGCATTTATATTTGTAAACAATGTGACCACTTGCTAAATCTAATATTATAAATTTTCTCCATTTGGACCAGTAAATGAAAAAGTAAACGGGGTTTCCGCTTTGCTTTCTTCGATTACTCAGGCAAAGCTTCATGGAAAATACCACACGTTGGTCATCCACTAGCGTCACAATAAAATCTTATGCATGAATATACGTGATCTAATACACGTATGTCGAATAAGCCATGAAACAAAGAAGATCACCAGCGATGCCCACGAAAGCAGAAGAATCTGTGCGAATTCCCGATATGTTTTCGTTCAGTTTCCTCTGGAAGGTTTACAGAGCTTAAGGGAAGATCCTATTTCTATGGCGGAAACACTTTCCTGGCTTCGATTCAAAACTTCCTTGAAGTCTTTTTTGACTCTCAGCTTTAGGTGTAGAGTGGTAAGAATAGGCCATTTGGGGAAAATACCTTGTTGTTTGGTGAAAATGAAAGTCAGACATCTGTGCTATGTTTTCTGTAAAAAATATAAAGTTGATTCACTTATAACATGAGCTCAACTCAGGTTTTGTGAAAGTTAACCAATAATTTGCTGGAATATTTTGTAGCCAATTTTGCATAATCTTATAGGAAAAGTCATCATGATTTCTAAACATACGGAATATTTTCATTGATTGCCGTGCCCCACCTATTTACTGATGCAATATGCCCAAGGTCTTCACTATATAATGAATTAGTACTCTTAGAAGTGGGCACGTATCTGTTACAATATACTGTTTAAACTTCCATTTACCTCTAAGCCAAGACCAAGCTCTGCGTTCGAAGCTGTGATTTTTTGCAACAGATTGTCATATTTTAATTGTTCTAAAATAAAATCATGAAAGTCACGATCGGTTGTATGACGCATTTCCTTATAAGCAACAAGGGTGGGCTGCTTTCACGCTGCATAACCAATTTCTCCTTTGGAATTTGATGAGAAATTATCTCAAATATTTGCTCCATGTCTTTTAGTAAAATATACAAACGCACATTAGCTAGATCTTATAAAAAACCGTCGCAAACATAATTCTTGGTTTCGTTTTTGTAAGCACTGTTGGAGAAAAAGGCGTTGCGAAAGAAGCCACACAGAAACGGGACTGTTTGGGTTACTTCAAAATAGATGGTGCATTTAACCTCTTCGGTAATCACAAGTTATAGGATTCATTAAGGTTGAAAACTTCATCATGTCTACCTTCAATAACATGGACTAGTTGAATGGAAGCTATCAAGCTGAATCAAGAACATCAACAGTCTCGACAACTACTCATAGTTTTAGCTAGAAATAAAACCATTTAGGTTTATGTCATGAGTTATTCGACTGTTTTGAATTACCTCGCATTTGTTTTTACATTGTTAGCTTCTTCCTGTAAAGAAACCCTGAATTAAATTCTAGAAATTTTAAGTCGATAATGTCATAAAGATTTCATGGGCTTGGGTTTTAGAAAATGCAATTTTTAATCAACTGATCCAAATTTATTTTTGACGAAACTAGAGGATCTATTTACAAGAATATCGGTTAAGTAACTTAGTCTTGGTAAAGTAGTTGGTAATACTCGTCTCAAAAACAAACCAAAATTGAATCCGAGCCCTAGATTGTTTTTCTGTAAGGACAGTGGACCGTATAGCAGTTTGAAGGTGGGCTTGATTTAGGATGGGGTTGCATCATGTAAAGAGAACAATCATCTTGAGTCTAGAAGCCCTCTTCAGCGAAACTATTTGTAATCATGTGCCCCCCCCCCTTATATTGTGCTTGGTATAGATCTGAGCATGGTTATGGCCTGTGTTATTGTATTTATGATCACATCCTTCTAAGACAATGAAATTTAAAAGTGTCATTAACTTTCTGAGGCATCACAGAAACCGAAGATATGAACATCTTCATTCATTTGTCTGCCCCAAGATACCCCAATCATGCCTGCCTATTTATATGGCATTCCTATTCATCGGTAGATGCTAGCCTTGAATGTGGGAGTGGAATACAGATTTATTCTGTGGCAGACCCCTTAACTCCATGGTTATTCAAGACGAGCGAGGATCTGCTTATTCCCTCGTTATATTAGTCTCACTAACTCAGATCGCCAATGTGGATTCGCGTTGGCCAATCATACATGGCATCTCGTCAGATCCTGATTCAGGCCCAAACCTCTTTCCCACAGCGCCCCCCCCCCTCCCGTGTAGGCCATTGCCATCACCCTCTTTTGTGCGTTGTCTCCTTGCCGTAACCCGAGTTGATTAACACGTTTTCCTGAAAAGAACTTTTTAACATTGAAATCGAAAATTGGAAAGCAGGCTTGCAACAGGTATCTCCAATAAAAATGCAAGTGGCCTCTCCATGCAACACAATGTGTAAAAAATATACAAACTGATAAAAATATGTATGTTGGCATTGGAAGAAAATCAAAGTACATTTTTCATCTCTTCAACCCTCTTTTGTGGGTAGATCAACTAAACACATATTGCACTTTATGTGCACACGTATTGGGCACTGCACCACGGACAACTACATGGACATATATTAGTTATCTACTTAAAGTTCAAAGGCAATTGATCTGGTTCTTTTCCATGAAAGTATTTCCCAGTTCCAGTTCCAGTCTCTGCACTGTCTTTTTTGGATACTGAAACGGAAGTTATCCATCAATAGTTGTTATTTCGATCTTTTTGATTCGCATTTGTTGGTTTTTATAGCATCTAGAAATAAATTGTTAGCCTGCAACCATTCGTAAAGTATTGGACAACTTTTAGTAGGTTATTGAGTTGGATAGGAAGCAGAAATGGGCATAAACGCGATCCTTGTGGAACACCGCGCTCGATGTATTTGATGTCAGCTCCTCTGCAAAATCCAAAGCTGCTTTGTGATTTGAGTGGAAGGATATGAAAGTCACCGCTCAAAAAAAGCTCTTTTATACAAAGAATCTCATGATACACCATATCAAGGGCTCACCTTTTTCGATGAATACTAAACCAGTACATCGTCCTTTAGGATCAAAACCTGATTTTTCAGCCGCCAGAAAGCTGTTCTCTTGTAAATATTGGTTGGGTTTTGCTGCGAAATCACATTCCCAGAACCACAGCAAGCTTAAGGCCCCCTTGAAGGGTGGTCAGCCTGGTTTAGGACCTAGTTTAGTGGGACGCCAATGCTCATTAGGATCAAAGTGACCATATTGTAACTGACCACGAATGTGTTAATTAGAATCAAACCATGTAGCACATTGAGTCAAGTACTGCATGCTCTAATTACACCTACGTATTATTCAAAGATTGAAGGACTTGTCAGATGTCTTGAGGAAGACTGCACCCAAATTCCTTGGAACACTCTGCTGGCCCTTGCATCCGATATATCGTGGGCTGTTCAAATACCGAAACTGTTCGAAAGGGTCATAATACAGGTAAGATCTGCGACTGTTCTTGTCAACATTTTGCCAACGGGTTGTGAAAACAATTAAAAATGTATTCTAAATTCTAGCGTAGTGTTGCAGACTTCTTTTGTTTCTTTCCTATCCTTGGTGCCAGAATCCCCACAACGGGTTTCAGAAATATAATCTAAATCTCGTTTCCGATTTATGTATTGGATTGGGGATTAGAAAAACAGAAACCTTCTTCCTTCGCAGTCTACTCCTTTGCCATTACTTTTGTCTATGATACGGCCTCGTCGGTTTCTTGAGACTCTGGTTACCCTGAGATCAGACCTGTACGTAAAAAGCTAGACGGAAGGAAAAAATAGAAAAATTTATTAAGAGAGAAGATAGACTGAAAGACGTCATTCATAATCAAACGTTCTTATTTACTTCTCATCCCGTCGTCCCGAGCCCCGATCCTTACGAGTTCCGAGCCCCGAGCCTGAATTCAGACCAGGCCTTCGTACCAAAGGTACTTCTTTCCTTAATGCAACTCAAGAACAACCAACTAATCATAGGACAGGTATTTATTGACACCATGACGTCACAAAATAAGATTTTTTCAAATATATTCATCACCTAGGAAGATATTAAACTTGTAAATGCATGTTGGTTACTGTTTGTTTTCTGTATTTTTGCCTTATGTTTGTACGATTAAGTTTGCGAGAAAAATTGAATAACGACGAAATCCACCAGTCAGACGCATCTAAAATTATTTTGGAGTTACATTAGTCACTGATTTATTCATTTCCTTAATTTTACGGTACGGAAACCAATAATTACGGAAGCGCCCAAAATGGAACCATTCTTTTAGCAAGTATTCCCAGCTAAACAATCGATTTAATTTCTCAGGACGAAGTTATAGCTAGTTTTACTAAACTTAATGCACAGCCCAGATATAAGGCAGAGAACCAATATTCGTTTTTTCTTATTGACGGCTTTCTATAGTTCCATTTTAGCATGTTAGGCCCACAGATAGAAATCTGCTTGACAAGACACTCTAACTGTTTTTTGAAAGAGGATTGAGTATTGTTTTCACATTTTAGGCCTTCTAGAAAAAGTGTATACGCAATCTGGTCCAATAAGGTCCTTCCGCTTATCATAGTTACACTTAGTATCGATAGTTAAAAATTGAATTGTAAAGATGTTAGCAAGGGCATTAAACAACTAGACTCAGACAATCCTTTTCGTTTGAAAACGTCATGCGAAAGAATTTTTGGTAGATTTCCCGCGCAAAGAAAAAACGCGAATGACAGCATAATTTTGGCCTGTGCCCCAGTCCACAAATGCCGCCACATTTATGGATTGTGCATTATTGATAAATATCCTGTCCGTAGTTTCCACCAGAATCTGGTGGTAATTTATGCAACCCTACAGAATTATGCAATTAGTTGAAATTGTCAACGGTTCAAGCCTCGCAGGACTCATTTTTATAAACTAGACCCAGTCCTCTGCCTGGACAGGATATTTATCAATATCGCACAGTCCATAAATGTGGCAGCATTGTGGACTGGGGCGCAGGCTGCATAGTCTTTGAATTAATACCAGTTGTTAATCTTCAGTGTCTCTCAACTTTAAGCCTGGTGGAGTCTCGAGAGTTTGTCAATTATTAAATGAACCAAATGAGAAAGAAGCTATTTTTTAATGAATATTAGGAATTCGGTGGGTCTTGGGTGCAAACAAATGTAAGCTTCAACGACAATATGACTTTCAGGTAGACATTCAACCAGTTTGGATAATTTCTCACCAGCTTAAAGCTCACCACTGAATCAGTAACTTTTTAATCAAAGCAAGATTTATTACAGCCATAGGCTTTGTATGACGTAATGAAATAAGACTAAATTGGCCCTGTTATGGCATTAAAGGCTGTTGCACAATCAGCATGCTTAGTGGTGTAGTTGTCTTGAGAAATTGACTGTTTTGTATTTTCATGCAGCACGATATTAGGCTGGTTCTTCGAATTATAGGCGGTTGTGCAAGAGCCTTCAATGATATCCACGGTGTTGTCGCAGAGGGCACGGATACACAGGTCTTCTTGAAACCTTGTCTACTTTCCAATTACTGCCAGGGAAAAGCCAAAGTTAGAATTTCCGCAATGATTAGATCTTCTTGAAGACCTTAGCTAAACAACACCATGTCCGGAGTAAATCAAGTGGGGAGGTGAAGGAATCATGAAGGGGTCTTACAGCAATACCACAAGGATGCTTACTTGCTAGCATGCTTGAAATAAATAGCATTCATTTTTTGATACATTTCTAAGAGTCTCTACAAATCTCAAATCAACATCTAAAAAGAATTTTTTGAAAAGAAATTGGACAAAGTAAATGGTTATTGCTCCAACCATGCCCCTTGTAGCTACGCTATTTGAATCAAATTTTTAAAATGGACTATATATAAAATGGACTTAAAGCAAATTCACAGCAAAAGAAATATTCATAGACATGGAAATATATTGCCTGCAGGTGCGGATCAGCGAGGTGCGTAATCTCGACCCAGGCGACCATCAAGTAACGGCAAACAGTTTCCTCTTGAAATGTACACTGAACAATGCAACTACATGAAATTTCGGCCTCGCGTAATCCCTCGGCCTTCATCCCGAATCAGGATCACGCAGGGGAAACTTTTTTATATAATCCCGTTAATTTTTATTCAAAGATTCCTGCAGCCATGAAAATTTGTTTACGAAATCTGACTGGGCTGGTTTTGTTTACAAAGTCTTAGTAACTGCGTTCTCGATCAACATCGGTAGGATGGTGTTTGTGGCGCCCTTGTGCCTCGCATTATACATCAAAGGCATTCCAAAGCAATTGACCAGAAGCTGCAAAACTGCAAATTAGCACCAGGTTTACATGGCATTAGAAGGAAGACGCTGCCTCTACCCCTGTTTATTTTCAGCTGCCCAAAAAAACCATCTTTGTTTATTCGGCGTGAGATATGGCATTCTTGACCTCCTTACACAAACAACACAAAACTAAATTTAGAATATCGCAAGGGACATGGTATTTAGAACCCTGTTAAGCGGTTTCCAATAGTCTTTCTGCCTTATCTTCAGGGCCGTGAATCTGCCATGTCAATTGGAGGGGGGTGGGGGGGGGGTCAGCAAAGCGAATGAATATAAAGTGTGCAGGGGGTCATGGCACCACCAAGCAAGTTATGGTATGTGTACATGGAAACAGTTTGAGGGGCAAACGACTTAATAAAGAAGAAAGATTTTTAGATTTAGTAAGGTTTTCAGCTTTATAGAAGGTATTTATAGATATTTCTTAGCACGTTGACTTTTTTAGTTGAGTTGATAACATTTTCCAGAGACAGCTTGAATAAATTGAGCCTGGGGGGGGGGGCCTGAGAATCACGTTTAGTGATGTAGGGGGACCCACCATGGTTGGGGCCGACGTGGAAGAAAATTTTTGAAATCATACCTTCTAAATAGCTAAAAAAGCATCTCCCTGGCCAAGTTTAACAAAATACTATACCGTTCAGATTAGACAAATCGACGTTTCTCAGAAGAACACAGATTATTGTTTCTCGGAGAGTCTAGTGACAGATGTTGGGGAAATGCTTAAACTCTAGTGACAGACGTTGGAGAAAAGAAAGAAAAGGTGTTTTCTATTCGAGAGCAAGCGTTTTTTTCTTGAAACCATATCGGATTCGAAATAACTCAATAACTCAGCAAAACTTTGTTAGGTTCTAACCCAGCTACTGGGGATTCCTTTCTTTAAAAGAAAATGACGATAATTTCTAAACAAATCGTTTTGCTCCAGATTTTTGGGGGTCCAGTCCCCCCGTCCCCCCCCCCGGGATTTACGGTCCTTGCTTATCTTAGTACTCCTCACCGTGAATCGTGTGTGTTCTGAACATTTTAATCGACGCGCCATCTTTTTATACATTTACCTCAGCACTCAAGCGCGAACCATTCCGCAAGATTTACATGTTTTGTCAGGCAAATTGTTAGCTTCAGCGTGAGCAAATAAAATTAGTTAGTTTGAGACATCGATTTTTGCTAAGACTTAATTTGCTGTAACGCATTTATGAGCCTCTTCTCTTCTGCCCTACACGGTCAGAACTCCGGTTAAGCTCTACAAGGTATATGTAAACACTTTTATAAAAACCAGAAAGTGTTTTCGAGGATCGATGTTGTTTTTTGAGAATATGAGGCTCGGGTGTTCAGAAAGTTATTCCAATTTCAACATCAGGTCTTTTACAACTATATACTCTACACATTTTATCTAAGACAACTTAATAACGGTTTGACAAGATTGTCTTAGCAGCACGACTGGCTGTGTTTTGTTTTGTTTACAAATTTTCGAAAAACACATTTTTTTTCATATTCTAATTTTATATCTGGGCTGTTCATGATCTTACGTTTTTCCTAGTTTCCTTCTTCTCGAATCGAGCGTCGGTGAAAAGCGTGTTATTATAGAGCAAAAGGCATGTACCTTGGAAAGTCGAGCTTGCAAATGAGTAAACTTTTTAGATTGCATGGAAGCATAATTTACCCATCCTACTTTTTACAAGAAGACAAAAAAGCCCCTTTGTCAGAAAGAGTGTCCCATTTTGTTCAGATAAGGGTAATGTCCAGAGAAGTGTCCCTTTTCCAAGATAAATGTGCTTTTGTCAGAAGAGAAAAGGGCCTTTTGTGAAAAAGGAGCAGTTTTTGGCTTTTACTCTACATCAGGTGCCTTTTCCCCTTAAAAGTTTGGGCCCGTTTCAGCATTTCATTGGAGTGCCCAACATTGGAACTTTGGAGACAGAAAGATCGAACTCGAATGCAAACTCTGCATGCAGAGCTCCAAGCTGGTGCTTTCAAAGTAGTATGGGACAAGCATCTCACTCCACTTAATAAAATGCTTGTTGAATCATAAAAATAAAAATTAATATTGATATTTGTTTTTTGCGCTTATCAAGAGCAAGCACGTGTTAAAACTTTCTCACCTTTTCACATACATCATTTAGATGTTCTGTTTTAAGGTTTTAAAGAAATTCCGTTTTGTGTGTTATTGTTAGAGCTGCTTTTACAGAATTTTCAGAAATGGAAGTCTCTCAATTTGCAAACGAATCGTAAAGCCAACGCTGCCCTCCGTTTCACTGGCGGAACTTTTCATAAGGCCAAAACAAGATATCATTTTATGCAGAAAGGCTAATAAGCGATTGAATGCGAAGGCTTTCTCTTCCTGACATGACTAATCGGACAGAGATGTCTTTCGATGCTTGAAAAATGGATTGGCTTGTGAGAAGAGCCCCCACATGGCAGATTACGGATTCGATTTTATCCACTTTTTGCACAAAACAGTTCTCAAATCCCGCAAATGTTTCCCAGGATTTTCAAACAAAAGGCTCCTAACCACGATAGAACCGAGGATTAGGCAGTCAGCTTACCCGCTGCGAGAGATCTGTGTTGCGCGTTGCACATTGAATCGAGGCCATGGGCAAATACGTCTGCCCAACTATCTATAAAGGAACGTATCGGAAGCACATGGTATGTGTAACTATTTCGAACAGTCCACATCGTATATCGATTGTGCACTGGTTCCATACGTATTTTTGTAGGCATAACACAGACAAGACCTCTTAAAATGATAAAAATCTCGAAACAGTGACCTTGCGGATACACTAAATAATGCAAACATTTCATGAATACATTGGCTGTGAAGTTACTTCTTTTTATCTTCTTTGCGTAATATGATTATGCGGGAAAAGACAAAATAGGTTAGATGAAAAGACGAGCTGTAAAGACCTGAGAGCGAGATCACTTTGCTTCCATATAAATCGCGTTGGTTTTTACACACAGCAGAGTGGCTATGCAGAATCATTAATCCTCGTGTATGTGTTCCTTCACCGTTTGGCGTCGGTTTGTTGTTGGTCTTTTACATGATCGCGTGAATCAAGTCAAACACGTAGTTAACACCACTAATCCTGGCGTTACACGAAGCCGAACATTACCGTATGTATAAAAAGAGGGGAAAGCAATTCAATCGAGGAAGCTATTTTCAAAGGCAGTAAACTGTTCGTGCAGCTATTAAGCGTGCTCCCGGATCTGCTTATACACACAAGTTTTTGACAAAGTTTTCATCTAAGGTAGAAGCACTGACGTGTAAAACTCGTTTGCGGATGGAATATCGTCGAATTGTTCTCGGCCATTGTCCGTAGTATATGTCAATTGAAGCAAAGAGGCAATTAGTTTGGAAGAGGTTTACTGATGACTCCAATGGGTCTGATTTTATTTTGAAGAATTTTATTCGAAGGGCAGCTCTAATCCTTCTTGCAAATCTCTATAAAATGCATCGCTGGAAATCATTTCCTTCCAAAATGGTCTGGAGAGGGGCTCACAACAATTTCGTGGAAGTATTTTATATGATTTTGTTACTTTTTTACGTCGTGAACTTCGGCAAGTGTGACGTAACGAAGGACAGTAGCGAGAAACGTCATGGTTTAGGCTTTCTCGATCTCGGCAGGAAAAAATTTGTAACAGGCAGAGAGGACAAATACCAAAACAATCTGGTTTTAACGCGCATAAGGAATGCGGAGAAACTGAATGCAACCTGTATTGGTGAGTAAGATTTCTCGTTATTGGTTTTTTAGTTTAGATTATTGAGTAAAACGTTTCATAAGGGCAATTCACACGTGGGCAGCATAACAAGTATTGGGTAATTGTTTGGTCGTGCGCGTGGCTCTAAATCTAGATTTATGAACGTTTATGGGAAAAACTTCAAACTAGATCAAACCCTGTTTTTCTCTTCGCCGAGTTCGAGGGGCAAATTACTACATAACATCTCGTACGCTTCTGTTCGAAATCCGATTGTTGAATCTGAAAATTCCTGGAAATCCTTTCGTGTAAATCTTGTTCTTTCCTTTGTTTTTCTTCTTTACCTTGGTTGTTTGAAATTAGTTTCCTACCTAATTTCCAATGTTTTATTGTTTGCTCTGAATGTTGATGAAAACACATGATATGATTAACTTCGTTCGTAAGATTTATCTCCAATGTTGAGATATTCGACAGGTGTCAGTGTTTTGGGTATGTTTCGTTCGACAAGGATAATAGTATAAAGCAGAGTTCAACCGCAAAGTCAAGGTGAAAATTAATCGTAATAAATTCACACCTTGATACTAACACCGGAATATTTTTAATGCGCAAAGCAATTTTATCTCGTATCAATTTTTGTATTGAGGAGGGGAGATATAAATATCAGTTGATAGGAATGTAACTACCCCTGTATTCAAATTTCTATTGGGACTTTTTGTATTCAATACCTCTGACGTCATAGAGTGGTAATAGACGTTTTGGCATGTATTAAGGGAAGGCCGTGGTGAATATTATAAATACCATATTTATATTGGCTGCAGCATCAAATATATTTTTAGAACACTTCTGTATAAGACAGTGACGATTACTGACAAGAGAGATACAATTTTATGATGAACCTTGGCTAAAAGTTTCAAAACTCGAATAGGTTGGGGCAAATGTCCCGATAATGACATGTTCTTGGAAATTTCTCTCCATTACCTTTTATCTTCAATACATCCTATGCTTATGGAAAAGATCAGCTGATTGTTATGCACTGAAAAATACCACCCCACCGTACCCCCAAACTAGCCCCATCCTACCCCAAACTGACCCCTTCTTACCGCAAACTGACCCCCATCCTACCCCAAACCGACCCCATCCCAACATAGCGTTTAGGTCTGTGTTTATCTTCCTATATTTAATGATTATTTGCGAGGGAAATAACTAGGGAAATAACTTTACCGCGTGCCACACGGGTAAATGTGTACTCTGCGTAAAAATGGGGGTGCAATTTTTGTTTGCGCAACTTCCTGCTGGCACATTCCTTATCATTTTTGCAGCATAAAGATATCAATTTATAATCTTTTCAAGAGAATACTTTATATGTGAAGTTTGATGGCAAACTGAGCTTGTATCATAGACGTGTCCATTTCTATATTTCTTTAAGAAATACTCCGGTGTTAATTAAGGAAATGATGTAATTGAAAAGGAACCAATATGACAAAATAGGCTAATAAGTTTCAAATACTGACGAGGCTAAGTCGCCATAAATTACCGGTAAAATGTCATTTCAGTTAAAAATTCAAAGAATGACACATTCATTGTCGGTGACTTTTTTAAATCAGCCCCAGATAGCATTCCTCCATTAATACGTCTCGTAAATACACATTGGCCCTGATAATTTTTGCAGTTTCTAAGACACAGCCAAGAAATCGTGAACCCCCTTCGTAGGTTTTTTAACACATTAACACAGGAAGTAATCACCAAGGGGTGTGGTTCTAGGGGCTGAGCTCCCTTGGCAATGCCAGGAGGTAGCCAAAACTGAAAAACCAAAATGAACCAGTTTGCCGACATATTTGAGAATTTGCACTCTACATAGCTGATAAGAAAGTCCTAGTTTTTGAAATGGAGATTTTTACGAATTAGTAAAATCTCACCCTGCTATCTTCCGCCAAGAGCCATGGCCAAAAGTACAGTACATACTTCTTTACGAAAGGCCCGTGTGGGTTAGAGGTGGATCACAGAAAATATATAGAAAGATACTCTCCCGATAACTATGACGAGTGACGTGTCAAATTCAGAAATGTCCCTCCACAACGAAAATCCCTCATCATTGTGATCCTACATTTTTGCCTAAAATTAAATTTAGTTAGGAGAGAAAGCACTGCCCTAGTTGTCGGTCAGTAATTGGGGACTGGGACCTATTTGTACAAAATGACACCTATCAAAAATGAAAGTCAGGCTATGACAGCGAATCACTGTCGCAGGGTCACAAAATCTCTTCTTAATCTTTACTTGAGGTAGCTTTTTACAAACGTCACGTGGCTTGGATATCGAATTAGACCGGTATCATATAAAGATGTGCCTATTTAATCACTGAGATAAGAAAATGACATTTTTCTGACAGGTATTTATCTCCAATGTGGTTACTGGAGTACTTTTTCTCGTCACAGACCATCTGCTTTGGAGACGTTCAATTTTAAACAGAGGGAGAACAGACTCGAAACCCGTTGATAGGGATATATACGCTCGCCGGTCTGAAAACATTGTTGCATTACTTTGGTCTGCCTGTGTCATATTATTTGTTTTGGGAATACTCAGAACCGGTTATCACTGGGTTAACCCGGACTTCACTCAGTTCTGTTCGGTTCGGTGGCAGAAATTATTGGTTTTTTGGGAGAAATGCCCACCCTGTTCGACATTACTCGGGGAATTTACCTGTAATTTGGTTATTTTATATTGGAAATAATAGGGAAAAGCCGCTGTTATAAGAAAATCGCAAAATTCACAGTACTTCTCTCAGTGGCGTCCAGAAAAAAATATGACATTATGACCAACATGCCACGCCCATTTCCCGGAAATGCCCAAGAAATTGATTTCAGTGTTTTAGGGGTGTAGTAATAAAAGTGGCAGACACCGAGGGGATTGAAGGGAGGCAGTTGCTCTCCAATTTTCTTGTAAGACAATGGTCTTTTATTATACAAAGAACGGACCAATGTGATGTCATCTTATCAAAACAATAGGCTTGCACTCCTCCCCTCATAATGTTGCCCAAATGTCCACCATTGAATAGAAACAACAATTATGCAACTTTAAAACATTTCTCAATATGCATAGCAACACTAGTAACTGAACATTGAGAAATGCAGGAAAAATAACACAAAGATCAAGCTGTATGGCAAAATGTGTGCAAATTGTCCATGGATTCCTAATAACTTAAGGTTGTGAAATTTCATAGAAAGAAGCGTAGTTTTGTGGACATCCAAATTAATGATAAAAACTTGAAAGCTACAAGACTAATCATAGAAGAGAATTATTTGTGGAAGTTGACCAATGCAGTTACTAAAAATGCAGGCACTTTTCAGAGTAAACAAGCAATAGAAACTTTGACAGCTCTTTAAATGCACCATATCTTTTGGCATACGATAATTGCACTTCTTTAGAGTAAAATATTTTTACATCAAAGTCAAAGTCTGCATGGAAGAAGAAGAAAATTCATGGAAGAAGAATTACTTGGGGATGACTGTTTATTTAGTAGATCCATCAAATTTAGATTTGAATTTTCTGAGGCCTGGTACTTTAGAAATAAATTTCCCTTTTCTTAGCTTTCAGAGGCACTTTCTTTTGCCCAAAGAATAAGAATCGAATTTTTTGGCTTTATCACTTTCTTAACAGGTTGTTGACCAAAGTTAGCTTCTAATCCAACCCACAACTCTATCAAAACTTTGTCTGGATAATAGACTCAATAAAATAAGCAAATTGAGGCTTTTCTCAACTTGTGAGAGTACTCCATTACTCCACTTCCTGTCGTACTACATTCTTGTATCACAAGTAAGAGAGATTTAGCTGGATTTAGATGACTCTTAATACCAATTACTGCATTTGAACATGCCTTAGAACAGATTCTATCTGCCTTTACTGTGTGTATTTACTGTCTACAATAATTTTATAAGCCCCCCTCGTATAAGCCCCCTCGAATAAGCCCACATCCAAAAATATCAAAAATAAATAAGCCCCCAGGGGGGCTAATTCGAGGATTTACGGTAATACAACATATCTTCAGGTATGAGAGCGCCTGACAACATCATTTGAATAATCATCAACCCATACAATGCCAGGAAACATTTTTCTTCCTTTGATGACCGAGCCACTTTAATTCAAATTCATCTAGGCTCATTGCAGCGGATATACACTAAAGAGAGTTTATGTAAAAGGTTGGGCGGACATGCCTCTGGCCCAAAGACCGAGCCTCTACTTTTTGTTTATGGGGAGGGGCTGTTCTTATAATTGAATGTAACACCTAATAGCCATTTTTTACCATATAGAGATATTTTGCTCATGCTGCTGAAAAATTTTGGGGAGAGGGGGGAGGCCCCTCCTGTATCTTGGTTCTTGATCTGGCAAAATTGGTCATAGTTCTTTTCTCACTTACTGAAACCCGATATAGAGATAAAGCTCTGTTTCCCATAATGTTCGTCACTGTTTTCTGCCCAATTTTATTGATTTTCCTTACTTTTATTTTCCATTCAATATTGATTGTTTGCAACTTCTAACAATTCCAATGCCGAGCCCAAGAGGCATTGCGGCCAAATAGTCAATGGCTGTAAGGAAAGCCATCGAATACAGAAAAATTCAAGTGTCACACCCAAACTCCGGTTCGTTTTTATTTTTTCCTGAGGATGGTTACAAAGTCTTGCGGGTAATGTCCGGAGGAAGGATAACGATTTTTTTGGTCTATCTCTTCTTTGATTGCAAACAATTTTTATCCCGCATGTCAGCTAATAGAAATTAGTGAGTTTCCAACCTTCCAATAGGCTTGAAATGAAGGTGAAGGAATACTTCGACGGGTAGATGTTTATTCAAATCGGTTGAGTTCCTTGACGGGGATATGTTTTTCAAGTCGATCAAGCTCCTTGACATAGGTGCAATCAAGCAATGGCGGCGCCAGCCACTTAACTCTGGGGGGGACAAACCAAGAATATTTAAGCCACGCCCTTTTTACCACAAGAAAACGCCCTTTTACCAACAGGGAACGCAAATTTACC